TTGTTGTACTAATAAAGGTGGTCAGGAAAGAGATATTTTTACCAAAGGATGTACATTGTAATAGAATTATTTGTGTGAATATCATATCATTGTCTAATTTAAGAATAGTTCAGATTCTGTGCATTATTTTAGTTTTAATGCACGAAGATGATTAGGATATAGATATATCTATCATTTAAGGTACATGTACCCGGATATAAGTTTTGTTCAATTTGTCATTAAAGGTACCTGGATATAAGTTTTGTTCAATTTGTCATGAAAGGTACTTAGATATAAATTTTGTTAAATTTGTCATTAAAGGTACCTAGAAATTAGTTTTGTTCAATATGTATATAATTATGCTTATAATCTGCTGCATGTATAAAAAAATTGAAAATATGAGCTGACAGGAATGAAAATTAGTGTTACATATGAATGTTATGTTGTAGAAATTATTCTCATTTCTTTATGATGAACAATGGTTAGGAAACTACCCGCCTATATGACTGAAATACTGTTGGGAAAAGGCGTAAAATGAAATAAACAAACAAACAAACTTTATGATGAAGAATAAGGTAGATGTATGTTAAGGTTTTTGTTGAAAAATATCTTTTTTTTATGGTGAAGAAAACAGTTAAAATATGTGAAGGTTTATGTTGAAAAATGTCATTTTAAAAGTATAAGTATCTTGATCTGTGACTTGTAAATGTTAAAAGTTTGCTTGGTCAGCTAGAGATCTCATTTGGTACTGACATGCTTGTGCCATTGTAGCTTATACAAGTCTTGGCTCAAGAAACTTTTATTGACATTGTTAGTCTGTATTATAGTGATTAAAGCTGTCAGTATGTATTTATATACTTATCTTAAAGTGGCCTACAGCTTTTCTAAAGGTTAAATACGTTATTTTTTGATAAATTGTTTCATATAAATGTAATTGTCAAATCAAAATAAGCGGAAAATGAAATTTGTCATCAATTAGAAACATTGAACGAGTCAGCTTCCTATATTTGAATTAGAAAAGCGGACGATTTGTTTTTATTTTTAGCTCGACTATTCGAAGAATATGAGAGCTATTGTAGTCGCCCCGGCGTCGGCGTCAGCGTCCGCGTCGGCGTCTGCGTTGGTTAAAGTTTTTTGTAAAGTCAAATATCTCAATTATTACTTGAGATATTCAATTGAAACTTACAATACTTATTTATAGTAACAAGGTACATCAGATTGACAAGTTGGATAACTCTGCCTACAATATTGACAGAATTATGCCCCTTTTTAACTTAGAAATTTTGGTTAAAGTTTTTTGTAAAGTCAAATATCTCAATTATTGCTTGAGATATTCAATTGAAATTTAAAATACTTTTTTATAGTAACAATGTACATCAGTTTGCAAAATTGCATAACTCTGCCTGCAATATTTGCAGAATTATTTGCCCCTTTGAAACTTAGAAATTTTGGTTAAAGGTTAAAAGTCTTCAAAGATATTTACTTGAAACTTTACACATGCACTTAGGGTCATAATTGGAGGGTCATAATTGTATGTCACTGACCAAGTTCCATAACTCTATCTTGCATTAAGGCTGATTCATATCCCCTTTTCTACTTAGTCTCTTGGTTAATGTTTACATGCAAGTTTTACATATCTCAATAACTATTAAAGATATTTATTTAAAACTTCACATATGCATTTAGGGTCATAATTGTAGGTCACTGACAAAGATCCATAATTCTATCTTGCATTTAGGCTGATTTTTCTCCCCTTTTTCAACTTAGAAATTCATGGTAAAGTTTTGCTTGTAAGCTGTTATCTCAATAACTACTGAAGGGTTTGTGCCTTTTTTGGGACAATTTTATGCATTCATAATAATAAAGCAGTGATTTACTTGATAAAACATCTTAATAACAAGCCTTTGTACCTTTTCTGTCAAATTTATGTATTCATAGGTAATTAGTATTATTACACTAAATAAAACACCCTTGTGACATTACATTCCGAATAGCCAAGCCAATACTGTATAATTAGAGTCTCTCTAAGGCCTATAACATGAACTTATAAAAAAAATTAGCCCTTTTGTGAACTTAAAAAATTTAACATTATCAAGGCTCTTTACTATCAAGCACTTAGAATAGTCGAGCATGCTGTCCTACTGACAGCTCTTGTTAGAAACAAAAGTCACATGTTATAATTAGCTCTTGGGATGCTGTTTTGAAGATGGCTTACAGTGATATAATGCACTTTTCCAAGATAAAAATACTGAAATACTTGGTTTGAATCCACACAGAATTGTTTTTTCCAACAAAAAATAAAAGCTGAAGGCAGCTTTAAAGATTTATGTATTTTATAATAATAATGGCCATTTCAAATGTTATTATATATTATTTTTGATTATTAAAACAAGGCTGTATTTAATTTTTATGATCAACCTTCTGGCTCCACAATTTATGTTGTGTTGTATTACTAATTATTTCAAACTGTTGAGTGGATGATAGAAGAGCTTTGCGAAAGTGTGTATATGACATATATATTACATGATGTACATGTGTATTAAATTAGTATAATGGGAGTTGCTGTAAATGTTCTATGTATATCTAGTGTCAATCATAAGTGTATACATGTATTAACATGTTCAAAACAGAGTTTATGTCCATGTATATTAAGAAAGGATTATGCTGGTAGTGATATACAGTGTTGCACACTATTAACAGAACTTGAATGCTTGCTACAATAAGAACAGGCCAGTATAAAACTGGCCAGTGCAGGCCAATATAGAGATGGCCAATACAGTCAAAATAGTACTGGCCAATACAGCCAATATAGAACTGGCCTATACAGTCAATATAGTGCTGGCCAATAAAGAGCTGGCCAATACAGTCAATATTAGTGCTGGCCAATATAGAGATGGCCAATACAGTCAATATAGTACTGGCCAATACAGCCAATATAGAACTGGCCTATACAGTCAATATAGTGCTGGCCAATATAAAACTAGCCAATATAGTGCTGGCCAATAAAGAGCTGGCCAATACAGCCAAGATAGTGCTGGCCAATAAAGAGCTGGCCAATACAGCCAAGATAGTGCTGGCCAATATAGAGATGGCCAATACTGTCAATATAGTACTGGCCAATACAGCCAATATAGAACTGGCCTATACAGTCAATATAGTGCTGGCCAATATAAAACTAGCCAATATAGTGCTGGCCAATAAAGAGCTGGCCAATACAGTCAATATAGTGCTGGCCAATATAAAGCTGGCCTATAGAGCCAATATAGTGCTGGCCAATACAGCCAAGATAAAGCTGGCCAAAACAGCCAATATAGAGTAGTCGGCCTATACAATATACACCCAATATTGTTGGATTGTTGGTTTTAACATTTTAGAAAGTGGATAAGTTTATTGCAAAGATTCAGCAAAGTTAAAAAAATGCATATATTTTATAAACAAGAAAAACCTGATATTAATATTGTGTAACACAGTATATCACTATGTTGGTGTTTCAGAGTAAATGTTAACCATGTCACTGTACCACAGGGTCAGTAAATTAACAGTACCCATTTTATAATGACATATAGATTATTAAGATGTATTATTGTTATATTCTTGTTTCAAAGATCGTTATTCACTGATCATTTGTATTATTTCATGATATTAGTCACAATCGCTTATTTTTGCCACATGCAAAAAGATTTTAATAAAGATATCATACATTTTTATGTGTTGCATATTTATTTATAAGATATATTATGCTCAAATTTGAAAAAAAACAACTTATAATCGCAATACAGTCGCTTGGTTAATGTAAAATAAACATATTTTAAGTCCACAGAAAATATATGTTACGTGTGTTTCATCCATAAAAGAAGAGACAAATGTAGAAATAAAAATTGCACTTCGCAGCTACAGTAACCAAGCCAAGAATAGATCCCTGTACAGTTGTTTAAGCCCCGTAAAACGCTCTTAAATATTTATTTTACGTTTATTCGGGAATATTTTTAAGTAACATTGTTGGACTTATGCAATCTTATTTTAATAAAACTATCAGGCCTTAAAGTTGCAAGACATGTATATACTATTCAGCACTTGTCCCCCACCGCTGTGGGTTCGAATCCGGACAGGGACTTTGGATTCTTTCATGTGAGGAAGCTATCCAGCTAGCTTACGGAACGTCGGTGTTTCTACTCAGGTGCCCATTCGTGCCTGAAATAATGCACGGAAGGGCCTGGAACGTCGCCATATGACCTATAATTAATGTGTCGGTGTGAAGTATAGCCCAATTAAACAAACAAACAAACAAATATACTATTCAGATGGAAACTAGTAATAAAATAAAAAGTTGGTGAACGAATTCAAAATATGTGAATGTCCTAACTAGTTATCATGAAGCGGTGGCCCGGTGGTTGCTGGGGTCACAACAATATTAACTCGTATGGTACTAGTATTGTTGAGCTCATGGAAGCGAACTAGTTGTTTAAATAAGTTTGAACAATCAGCAAAATTGAGCCAAATTAAATTATTATTATTTCCCAGTGAACAAATAAAGCTTTGTTTTTACAGTTCATAAGATGTAGCGAAGGTAAAATGTTCTAGTTCGCAATGAATTTCATATAGTTCAAAACGTGAAATATTTTCAAATTTGCTACAATTAATAGCTATATAGGCCGACAAATTAAGTACCTATTGACTGGTGGAAAGTTTACTTCCAAATAACCCTTATTAGTTTGCACACCTTAATACGCATTCACAAATTTTGACGGAACTTTTTTATCTACAGTAATAAGAAAAGCTTAGCCCATACATTGCTTAATCAGTGAGTAAAAGAAATGGGATTCACACTCGGTCACGGAGGCCAATATATATATATTATGTCAGGACAGTGACCGTTAATTAAATTAGGTCCATGTGCATAACAGTCTACGTTACATCAACGTAGCTATCTCTCTAATGAAATGATAAGCAGGTTGTAATTCCCATCGGATGTGCCGAAATTGTGCCTCCTACGGTGAAAGTTCATTATCTGACACACCACAAGTTAAAATGTGTCCGAATGTCGAAATATAGTGGTCTTATCTTTACGTTTGCCTTGATCAAACCAGTTGAATTGAGTTGACAAAATTGACAACATATCAAATTTTAAAATGAGATTTTGTGCAATATTCATCGTGACTTTTTCTATATACTTTGTACTAGTAAGTATATATTTTGTTACATTGTGGGGGCTTGATTTATACATCTGCAACACGTTGCGTCATTCACCCTAACGATACAATAACGTTTCTATTGTCATATAATGTATATCGTTATCTTGTCAAAAAGAAAGTTATATCACGTTTGCTTTTGAAGTTCATCCAGTGTAGTTCTTGTATCATGATTTTTCTGACCATATAATTTAAGGCACAGTCCTGTACGCAAGATTCGGATTGCCCAGGCGGATGTTGTTACTCTGACCGGCTACATGGAGCCAAATGTCACCAGTTTCAAAACGAATCACAAGGATGTCACCTCCCAAATCATAACCACACAGTGATGCTGTATCCATGTGGTTGTAAACAAGGTACGTAATCGAGAATTTACCGAGAGGATGCTCTAGATATCTCCCCTGACGCACATCTCACATTGATTACCTCCCTTGGCAGATTCTCTCAACTGATAAGGGGGATATCACTGCGTAGGGGATTGCATAACGTTAGCAAATGCATGTTTGTTAAAAAAAACGAGCTCTACTATTGAGAACTAAGCAATTTCTTTCATGTTTTCGATAATTTTACAGAAAGATCAATGACTCAGATGGCATTGTTTCTTAATTCTCAAAAATCGAAAATACACTATAATGATTTAAAATGATATTGTAAAAAAATTTATAGATCGCAAAATAGATCTATGTATGTATGGTATTCCGTATGGGCTACTATATTATTGCTGACTTTTTTTTTTATTTAGATATCCACACAATTGATATAATGGACAGTTCCCGTATAATTCCTTTTTTTATACAAGACTTATTATTTCAGGTCTAACATGCGATGAGATCCATTTCACTCCCGGATTAGGAGGTGACCCCGTTCATCAAGCAGAGCTGCTTTTACTTGGACATGGCTATGGTATTTGTACAAGTACTCCAGGACAAGTATTCGGATGAATTTAATAAGAAATAAAAGTTAAAAGACTTTTTATACTAGCAAATTGTTTTTATTGTTTCTCAATATGCTGCGATTCCTTCTAAACTTGGTGAAAATGAGTTACATTAAATTCGTTTGTTATGTAACGGCATGATGTCCGTCCCCAATTTGATTATATATATTTATCTATTTATCAATATTTATCGTATGCTCTTCAATGCGATATTGAAAAAATATCATCAAGATATAAGCCATATCACACTTTTTGTAAGATATACCGTTATATTATATGTTATTTTGGTTTTGGAGTGATATATGTGGATATATTACCTGTTAAGATTTTATATCACCCGAGCCGTTAGGCGAGGGTGATATTTTATCTTGGCAGGTAATATATCCACATATATCACTCCAAAACCAAAATAATAATTTTATTACCCTTCCCCTGCCGAGTTTAGACGATTTTTTAAAAAATCATTGCTGTTTCAAATGAAACGTCGAAATAAGATTCCCTTTAGGATACCTCTTCGTCACAACATGACGTCACATAAATACATGACGTATTTTTCCCGTACCTTACGAAAGTAAACAAGAGAAAAGGAGTAGTCTGTTGAACGCACTTTTTTGTAATTAATATCAAGCTTTCACAAGGTCATATTTGTTTTCGATACTGATGGTTATATATACCATTACTCTACTTTGGTAAATATTTATCATTTGACAGTTAAAAAGTGCTTTTAAATCGGAATTTACACCGCGTAAAATCGAACCGTACGCGCATCACCTCAGCGCATATTGTTTACAACGTTGGGTACCAAACGGGGAAAATTAGTGTGTATATTACCCGTCTGGCTCGGTTATATCAATTTCTTTCGGGTGATCAATATCCAATCAAAAAGGCGGAAAAAATCTGGAAGGGTAATAAAATCTTACGTTTATATTTTCACTCGCGTTTTGCGTTCTTGAAAACGTTTTATTTTTAAATTTAATCTTAGTCTTAGTGAGATATATTATATATTTACAAAAATATTCATCCTCTCTAATTCTCACCGTCGTGGTATCGTGCTTTCTATTTTCATCATCGTAGTATCGCATCGTTGTATCGATGTAAAAGTATGCGACGATGGTCGTAACGGGATACCGTACCATAGGTTTATGTTAGGACCCCACGTGTCCTCATTTGCATATCATAGTTTCCCTCTCTAAAGTAGGTACACATATGTATAGCTAGAGTTTAATTAAGTTGTAAAACAGTTCCCTCGGTTTCTAAAATAAATAAAAGAAATAACACGTATGTGAAGTATCTGAAACACTGACATGAAAGAAAACGGAAAATGAATGGGTGACAAATGGTTATATGTAGATGCATTGTCAGTATTACTTTATGGCGGCAATAGTTAAACATTGTAATTTGGATCGCTCCTGTCAATAAGCTTGTTAAAATATATCATATGATGTGGCAAACATCGTTACCGCACCCTAAGTCTCGGGCCGGATGTTCCAATCCGAACTGCAACATAGTACAGATTGATATTCGTCCCGGTGATTCACTCGTAGTTTTCCGGTGTAACCACGTATACCATTTTTTATCCCGTTGAATTATTGCAACCAGACAACATATCTATCATTGAAAATTTGTCTATTGTATGATAGATATTTGTAATGGTGAACCTTTTTTCAAGAAATAAACAATGACTTTGAGTGTTTCCGGATCTTGAAGAAGTATATGTAGGGAATAAAGCGAAAGTGATATATGATTTCAATTATCTACTTCAGTCACAGATAACGGTGAAAATAAATTGTTGAAATCGAAGTCTTGTTCAATATATCAATAGTTTGATTTTATTAATTACACGTTATAAAGACGCCAAGATGACGAAGCGAACAATAAATTAGGTTTAGAAGATTATTTTATACATTCAGTTTTATACTGAAAGATACCGCTCATATTTATTCTACTTTGTTCCGTCTATGGAGTGACAAACGTTGAATTATTCCCATCTATGGAGTGACAAACGTTGAATTATTCCCGTCTATGGAGTGACAAACGTTGAATTGTCCAATGTCAAATAAATTGTTTTACTAAAAATGTATTTGTCCAATAAAAATATAAAAGCATTTTTAAAAATCGTGTTTTAAAAAATTTATGAGGTGCAAAAATTTTAATATGGCCAACAAATATTTATTAAACCACTAAATATATGTATTTAAACAAGAAGTATCTTTAAAAAAGATTCTCGGGCGAAATAAAACTACTTTTACTTGCATAGCTAGGTTATTTCGGACTTTTGTTTAGATCTTGAAAACACTGCAAGAAATAATTCTAAATGAAAATGTCGTGTTTCGGTACACTTACGTATTCATCTACACTTGTATATATGCTTGATAAATATGCAAAAATATATAAGTTATATCAATTGAACACATCAATTATCATATAATATTATACCGATATACACTGAAGATAATCTACTGAGAGTATCCGAAAAGTTTTTTTTATTTTATTTTGTGTCTTTTGGTACAAAGGTGCTAGTCGATCGCATTGATTTTACCTAAAATCCTTTACCATTTCATAAAAGAAGAAGTTCTTCTTTTAGTTTTTTCCCTATCAAAACTAGTAAAACTTACTTAATGTTTTAAAATAATCGATTATATAGTACTTAAAATCATTTTTACATTTCCTTTATGTATTGAGATTGTCGTTAAAATTTAATGATACAAGCATATTTTCTAGGGATTAAAATCATTACATCGCTTATCTCTAAAATAGGTTACAACAAGTACATTCAAATAAAGCAGACAATGTGTTCAAAGAATTACTACAATATAGATTGTGGTATTACCTTCTTATTTCTAATTTTATACTTGATATACTCCAAATTTATTAATGTGTTTGGTGATACAACGTACATTTGTTTATTTAGCATATAGAATTTTTACATAGATAACTGATAATTAATTCCGACCGTTAAAAACAAATTTAAAAAAAAACAATTTTTGTACAACAAGTTAATAAAATTACCAGATAACTGAATAAATTGTTTTTCATTGCATCATGGAAAAAACACGTTAATTATTTGCAACCATGGTCTATGAAATCCATATAATATGTACTTGGAACGCCAGGTTCATCTACAGCAAGCAGGGATCTTAGATGCGTCCTTGTCATAACCTTGCCTAAACGCTTACTTGACAGATAACCAACTCTTCTTTGATTATACATTTGTGTTTCATCAGCTTTCATATGTCCATAGCTTTGTTTTCTAGAATCATTTGGTCGCCAGACTCTCTCCGCTTCCTTCTTAGAACTGGCCTCTTTTTCCGTTGATAGTGCACTTTTCCCTGCTTCTATAATGGTCATGTCGCTTTTCGACAGTTTTGTCAGGTCTGCATGTTCAACATTAGAATGTTTCAAACCATTTGCTTTTGTATCAACCTTCATCTGATTCCTTCTCAAGGAATACAAGTGATTTACATCAAAACCTTTCATTTTAAGATAAGTCTTATGATTATTGACATACGAGCAAGTTGAGCCTTTCCTTTGCATGAAAGATTTGTCCGAATAAAGCATTGGTAACTTTAAGTTCACAGAACCATCCTTACATTTACTAGCATCATTTGGGTCCGTCATTATACACTGTTGGTCAATTCCTGCCTCTTGATATTCATATCTATTGAGATTATTTTTCTCCTCGCAGTTTGAACTTCCAATTTTACGTCCCGGAGGAAATCTTTCATGCAGGCAAGAAGAAGTATCCAGTTCAGAGGTGAAAGCGATTTGAAACAAATGCGTCGCCGACATCGAAAAATCACAAACAATGATCGAAATTGTATATTTAATTTGTCACTACTTAATATTCATTATACTTTCCTACTAAAAACTTTATTCAATATTGAAATTATCCACAATTGCGTTTTAGAAACATGTGACAGGACATTTTACCATTTAACAGTGCCGTTATCTGCTGTATTGTAAACAACTGTGATCTTAGGTTATACAACATAAAAGTATAAATGATACATTGGAGTGTTTTATTGGCATTTAAAATACCAAAATGTAGATAAATAGTGTCATAAAACACTCCGTGTAGCACTTAACTCTTACCTCGTACAAAGTTTCACTTTGACTATATAGTCTTCAGGTATTCAAGAATCTAGCCGAGGAAAAATAAATAAGTGTTTTGTAGATTCTTTTTTGTCTTGTTTGGTTTTACGGTGCACTAACACAATTTAGGACATTTGGCGCCGGAACGGGAAGGATGATTTTGGCTAATGTCGTGGGTGTTACAAACTTAAAGTAGAGAGTAGACATCTTATTTATTTCAATAGGCTTTAAAGCCCACAAGGACATGCACAATAACGAACAGAACATAAACATATATACATAATATCAACAATCATAAAAGTTTGGAGAAGATCAATTTTTATTGATAAAGCAAATACCAGTCGAAGTTTTCTTAAGTAGTTACATAATGAACATTTTCATATCAAAATTTATCTTTGAACCACTAACTTATAGGTCTCTTATATATACATATACACATACATACACACATATACATGTGCATACATACAAAAATATACATTACATGAACAATTAATGCAAAATTGTTGTATATTTATTGATTTTTAATACATAAACGCATTTACCATATGTTTATACACATATCATAAAGCACTACCAGCTAAGGGTCAAAACCACCTACCTTGCTGGAGCTAAGAGATGCATAGACTCCAGATATTCAAGCCCATTTAGTCGCCTTTTACGATCACGCAGGATTAAACGGTCGCTGCATTTCTAATGCAACAACTTTTAGAGGCAACCTCTCAGTCACATGCAAGGGGTTGTTTATTAAGATTATACAATGTCCTGGAATTATCAAAATGAAGCCGTTTGTTCTAAAAGAAAACAACAACAACAACAACAAAAAACACACGCAACTCAAAATAGTATTATTAAGATATATTTCTGACTTTCGAACAGGTGTTACAATGCATATAATTTAAGTGCCGATTTTGAATTTCATGCATTGATGTACCATTTGGTTTTATGGTAATTCAATGTCCTTAAAGAAAATATTGAAAATACAAAATTGGGCTGATGGATTATAGTGAAATATGCTTAAAACGAATTTCTAGGGACACAGCAAATTGAGTTGTTATATCCGAAATTCGTGGAAATGTTTTGCAGATAAACAATCATTACTATTTACAAATATATCAGAAAATCCATAATCATCTAGAATCTGTTTTTTTTAGTCGACTTATCAAATTCGTATGACTTTCGAACACAAATTTGCACTGCTAATTTGTACAATGTGCTAAGAATAATATTTTCAGAAGCAATCAATTAATGCTCGAGACAAATTTATTTTTCAAGAAAAAGTAATTAATGCTAATAATCGCATTTCGATCCTAATATAAAACTCTGATTAATGACAAAGTCTCAACATATCGAAATGGTACGTGTACGTATATATGTGGCAATTTGGAATGCAAACAGGGTGGTCTCTATATCAAAGAGAAGTAAAGAGAGTTTATCGTTATCATATTTTTAGAAAACGCAAATCTTTATAGCAAATAAATGGTTAAGTTCCCAAACTTTAAAGGAACTCCACTGAGGTCCAAAAACGTAGAATCATATAACTTTTGGATTTCTTAGGTTTTTAATAATGACGGGACTGGAGATAAATTTTTTCGAGTTTTTGTTTGGGTTTATTTTTATTTTTAGCCCAAACTTGTATAAAAAATTTAAATCATTTCTCAATGTTTTTTCCAGAACTAAATTTGATTATTTTTATTGAAAAAAAATTTTCCCAAAATTTGGGAAAGGGCTTGCAACGTTATTCACAAAAATTCGGGCAAAAATTTCCCACAAATTACGTTTTTTCCAATTTTTTGGGAGTATATTTCTATTTTTCCCACCCCTTCGTTTTAATTTCCCCCAAGTTATCTATGTAACTTAAAAGAAATTAAAATTTTATATGTTTCAGTTTTTGGACCTCGTGGAGTTCGGGCCTTTAAAGTTGGGGAATTTAAACCCATTTTTTTTGAAATTTTGTAAAAATTTTGAAAAATTTTTAAATTTTATCACTACCCAAATTTTAATTCGGCGGGGCCCTTTTTTGATCCTTTTTTTACAAATTTTTTTTTCCTTTACTGAAAAGACATCGCCCCGACGTCTCTTTTACAAGTCTAATTAGCTGGACTAATTTATCACAACGGTTGAAAGAGTGGCTTTAAAAATTGGTCTTAATAAGATTTTCAGGGGTGGTCTTAAGAAGAGTTTTTTTACTTTCTTTCTTTCTTTTCTTTCTTTTTTTTTTTTAAATATAAAATCACATATATTTCAACTATTTCTAGATAATCTGTACAGTATGGCAATGTCAAATTTTTGATAATATTTCGTGGTGTTTCACCATCACTTAAAATATCACAACGTGCTGAAATAATACACCGTGTAAATTGTCAACAAAGCTAGCAAAGTCCAACAAAAAAATAATAAAAATAGAGTCTGAAGAAGATAGAAAATAAGATCTCCTTTGAATTAATAAGATATCATCATGTCATAACAGTTTGTACTTTGTAAATATATATTGATTTGAGAACATGTCAAATAAGAGTTTTTCAGTATTGCCGAAATTCTTCGGAAACTTAGTTGGGACTTCCCCACCCACTGAAAAATCTATTGAGGGAATATCACGGGGATTCGAGCTGTTCGTTCAGTCAGTTCACAGAGCAAAAAACAAATATGTAAGTCATTATATAACACCAATTACGGTCACTTTGCTTCTTTAAAACTGATATTGGGTAATTTCAGAGACATTGGATATTAAATTTCAGAGTTTTGATTATGCCTAATTAAACAGATTCCTGTTGCTGAGAGGTTGCTTGTAAGGATTGAACTGGTAAGGCATCAGAATTGCAGCAACCATTTATTCCTGGTGATTTCAAGAGGCCACTAAATTGGTTCGAATGACTATGTGCATCACTTAGCTAAGGTGGCATAGATGTGACATGTGCATTATGTTCTTTTATTTATTTGTAGTTCTGGCTTCCAAAACTTTATAAGCCCCTATTTAAAATTTTTGTTTCTCATCTGATGCGGCATTAAAGTTTTGGATTAGACCCGTTACGAAACCTAACCAGAATAACATAAGTTGATTTAACCTTATTTTTCACTTGCAAAATTCACTTGACCCAATCAATTCTTGTGCATTTTACGATAAAACAATTATTTTAACATTGTTCTAATTACCAATTCAAGTATTAAGATATTGATACCGTCATTAAAATTGCCTATTTAACTGTAAAACATCATTTACGCCGACTACAGTCGGCCATGATATTTAGGGGCCACGCGAGACCTCGCATAATGATATTATCAAAATAATATTCTTGTTTCATGATACAGTATCGTGATACCATAGTTCTGTTTATTCGATATTAGATCTTAATTCCAACAAACTTTAAATCTTAGAATGAGTATTTTTACATCATTCCTTTTGCTTTATATATTTTACAATGTAATAATTAAAACAATAAGCAATTACAACTCTTAGAAGTTACAGTTCTGTTTAAACAGTTAAATTAGACAATAAAAAGATGTAACACCATGTATCGATGTAAACCTCAGCATTGTATCACGGCACAAAGCTAGTGCAATAATCATGATTCATGGATATGGTACTAACAATAGATGGTTTAAACATTTTTATGTTTAATATTTATTTGTCATGTTCAGTGAAGTTCAGTATTTTCTTTCATTTTTTAAAGGATGAGCAACAGATTGTCAACAGGGAATTGCAGACAATAAAGTCAAGTATAGGAGATGCATCTCAGGTACATGTTTTATGCATTCTGTGCAGAATTCTTATGTGCTAGAATTATTAACCTGGGAGCTTATAGAAGGATAATGGCTCTAAGCAGGTGCCCCATCTCCTGGGCTTAAGATATAGAGGAACCTGCTTGTAAGTGAAACTTGGAAGAAGCAATGTCACCTGAACATGGGCTGTAATGCATCATAAATTGTTGTAATTTACAAAGAAATAAATGTTCACATTTCTTCTTGAAAAAAGGCTGTACTTTTACTTTGTATTTTATTAATTACTTTGTTGGTTTTTTTTGTCTTTATTCATGTCCTTTGTTTTTCCCTTCTTCTTCTATTTTTTGCATGAGTGCTGCAATGAATTAATTAGATTCTATCCTTCTCATTAAACCCAGTAATTCTGGTATTTGTTTTAGCTTTAAGTAATTATATGATTTGTGATAGTAATATGAAGTATAATTTTTCATTGTATTACAGAATGTGTATTTATTGCATATTCATTGCAGGCTCAGATGAGGGACTACCTCTGGAGGCTGGTATATGCTAGGATGATAGGTTATGATGTGGAGTTTGGTTGCATTGAAGGTGCAAAGCTTGCCGGACGTATGGATCCTATTGACAGTAAAACAGGTAAGATTCTGTAGAATCCATGCTATGTTGTCTTTAGGGATGAAAAATTGTTTAGAAAAAAATCTTCTGGAATTAAAGGGCCTAAAACTGTTAGCATAATAAGCATGTACAAGAAAAGGCCTTAATTTATTTTCTCTGAAATTATAAGGCCTAGAGCTTAAGCATTGTCTAGTAAGCCCCTTCAGTAGTTTAATAAATCTTGGCCCAGCCAACCTCGATTTAAATATGACCATGGTGGGGTGAACCACTTCTGTTACATATATGAAGATTTTTTTTTATAATTGTATGCTACTAATAGGCCTAAGCTGAGATTTATTGAAAGTAGTTAGCATAAAATAAAAGTACAAAAGTTATATTAATGATAATCTTTATGTCAGAAATGGTTTAATATCACTTTTCTGTTTAAAGTAAAATGCTTCTTGAAAGATTTCTGTAGTGTTACTTACATGTATGTAAATTGTACAATACAAACAAGGTATATAAAATGAATATTATAATGGTTACAATGTATATAAAAAGTTCCTTTTTTCCTGTATGAGTAATTTTATGCCAATTTGACCTTGTATAAAAATGTTTATCAAAATTGTTAAATATCATTGTAGGAATGAAACGTTTTTTTTTCCCTAAATATTTGATATGGGACTTGGTGATATGGTCATGTAACTGACCAAGTTGTATGAAATAAAGAGCTAAATTTTGAAGTTTTAGTTGCAAGGGATAAAATTAGATACAGAATATATACTTTAATCCATGACAATATTTCAATGAGTAATTGCCAGCTAAAATTAATGGCATCACTTTTGTTTCCTTCTTTTTTCAGGTTTTATGATCAGTTGTCTTCTAATGAACCGAACTGATGAAATCACCTTGCTACTTATGTGTACATTCCAAAAGGTTTGTTTTCTTGACCATTCATCTTGTGGAGCAATATAACAAAGTTATTTGGAAACTGACTGAAAATATTTTATATAATCCATTACAATGTGTTCTAACACCCACAAAAAAGACCATCTCAATCATCGTACCACATATGTGCCCAATGGTATGGCATAGATTATGATTTAGCATAATTATGATATTTTATAGTCAAACCTTCAGTAGCCTTGATTTGCAGTTACATAATCTTTTGACTTAAAATTATACTTGTATTACAAAATAATAATACATGTATTAGAATTTGAAAAAAAAAATCTTTTTTGGTCAAACATTTTTTTCATAATAACCATCTGTGCTATATAAGTATGTATTTTTTTGATACCAAAGAAAGATGATATTTTAACTTAATTTCATTTTTTCTTTGTGATTTACAGAATATAACCAGCTCTAACCTTCTAGAAATATTAATGGGTTTGTCAGCATGTAGTCAGCTGACAGCAGTTCATTCAATACCCTACATTCTAGATGGAGTCCTATCTAATCTAAAACATTCAAGGTTTGTCTTCATAATATTTTTATACTACATTTAACAAATTGATATTACATTTATTATACATGTTATATGTCATGAGTTTGCCCACTTAGATCAATAGGGAGAGCATTTGATCAGTAATTCAGTGATCACTGGTTCTATCCACGGGCGCGGCAATATTTCTCTGTGACAACCGGTCTTGGACATTCAGTCTAATAGTCATATGTCTTTCACCACTGATTAAGAAATCATGTTGGATAAGTAGCCTATCACATGCAAAAAAATTGATAATTACAAGTTATTTATCCAGGGAAGTCAGTGTGATGGATCAGCTGCAAAGGTATGACCAAAATATTTGTTTAAATTGGCATAGAGTAACAGAAAAACAAACAAGTTACTACAACTGTAAATTAGTAATGAACAAGCAAAATGTAATGCATTACACTTTGCAAAACATGGCAACATTTTTATGCTCCCCGAAAAATTTCGGGGAGCATATAGTCGGCGCCTTGTCCGTCTGTCCGTCCGTCCATCCATTGTCTTGTCTGGAGCATAACTTGAAAACCCTTGGAGATAATTTGTTTAAACTTCATACAGTGGTAGAGGGCATTGAGGGGGAGTGCAATGTCAAAGAACCATAACTCTATTTTGCCCGGTTTTTGAATTATCTCCCCTTATAGAAAAATCTTGTTCCGGGGCATAACTCTAAAACTATAAGAGATATCAACATGAAACTTTGTAGGTGAATAGATCTCAATGGGTAGATGTGCAGTGCATAAGAACAATAACTCTTTTTGTCCTAATTTTGGAGTTACTGCCCTTTGTTAATTTCAACACTTTGAACTTTTTTCCGGAACATAACTCTTAAACTATAAGAGATATCAAGATGAAACATTGTAGGTAGATAGATCTCATTGAGTAGAAGTGCAGTGCAAAAGAACCATAACTCTGTTAAGCCTCATTTTTGAATTATTTCCCCTTTTAGAAAAATCTTGTACTGGACATAGCTGTAAAACTATAAGAGATATCAACATGAAACTTTGTAGGTAAATATATGTCAATGGGTAGATGGCAGTGCACAAAAATCATAACTCTGCCTTGCCTAATTCTGGGATTATTGCCCTTTGTTTATTTTTACTTTTTGAAGTTGTCCGGAACATAACTCGGAAACCATAAGAGATATCAACAAGAAACTTTGTAGGTTGATAGATCACAGTGATTAGAAGTGCACTGCAAAGAACAGTAACTCTGCCTTGCCTAATTTTGTAATTATTGCACTTTGAACATTTTCCAGGGACATAACTCTGAAACTACAAGAGTTGTTCTTTCCTGTGTCCAAAACCTATTCGGGGAGCATCACCCGGCTCAAACCGGGCTCTTGTTTAGATGTGTCAGGGTCAGTGTTTTATCCCACATTTTATAACAGAGGCTTTAAATTTCCTTTAAAATAATGCAGTTTTCCCAAAAATCTGAACTTAAACCAGTTTTTTTACTTCCAAAATTAGCAATTTAAGCAGTAATCCTTTCCAAAGTCAATAGGCTAAGGCTTCTTCCCAATTAATGGAGAAAAAACACTAAGGGTGTATGAGGAGGGAGGGATGTCACATTTGTCCACACTGCTTAAGTATTCAAAAGTAACATAGAAATTATATACATTTATAAAAAGTTAACAAAATGATAAAATTATTGCAAGTACATGAATATTTCACAAGGAGATCAGCAGTTTAAGAAATGGTGTTGAAACCTTGTGGAAAAGCTCATATTTTATAAGTTATAAAGATTTATTACCCTTCCAGATTTTTTCCGCCTTTTTGATTGGATATTGATCACCCGAAAGAAATTGATATAACCCAGCCAGACGGGTAATATACACACTAAATTTCCCCGTTTGGTACCCAACGTTGTAAACAACATGCGCGGAGATGATGCGCGTACGGTTCGATTTTACGCGGTGTAAATTCCGATTTAAAAACACTTTTTAACTGTCAAATGATAAATATTTACCAAAGTAGAGTTATGATACATATAACCATCAGTATCGAAAACAAATATGACCTTGTGAAAGCTTGATATTAATTACAAAAAAGTGCGTTCAATAGACTTCTCCTTTTCTCTTGTTTACTTTTGTAAGGTACGGGAAAAATACGTCATGTATTTATGTGACGTCATGTTGTGACGAAGAGGTATCCTAAAGGGAATCTTATTTCGATGTTTCATTTGAAACAGCAATGATTATTTTAAAAATCGTCTAAACTCGGCAGGGGAAGGGTAATAAAATTATTATTTTGGTTTTGGAGTGATATATGTTGATATATTACCTGCCAAGATAAAATATCACCCTCGCCTAACGGCTCGGGTGATATAAAATCTTAACAGGTAATATATCCACATATATAACTCCAAAACCAAAATAACATATAATATAAAAAGTTGTTTGGAAAAGCAGCTCGGGATATAATTAAAAAAAACAACATTTATATACGACCATATAACCTGTCAGAAATATTTATTTTATAATACAGAAAGCATCATCTTTTAGAGAAAAAAAGTGAGATTTTTTTGATAAATTGACATTAGCCATGTATATAAAACTACTTAAACATCATGATTATCCAATGAAAAGTGACGTTACAAATGTGCAGTATTACATTTATATAATACATGGAATACTTTGAAATATTTGTACCACTGTATAGTATACACAATCTACTGATTAGCATACTTTTTCCTATAGAGAGTTAGTGAGACAGAAGGCTGTGCTATGTTTACATCAGTTCCAGTTACTTGCCCCTGATTTGTTGGAACATAGACAGGAGGATTTAGAGAGAATGTTGTATGATAAAGATCCAGGTGTCATGGCAGCAGCTGTTCATATCATTCAACATGCTATAGAGGTGAACTATTTATGTCTTTTTGTAGCGTTATTTCATAGCTTCTATATTAAAACTTTGTAATTTTGTTTTCATTTTGTCTCATGCTCCTCATAGCTGTGGGTTCGCATCCCAACTGGGACTTTGGAATCTTGTATGTGAGAAAGCTATTCAGCTAGATTAAATGTCCATTTATTTTCATTGTCATTTCTTTTTAATTCATTCTATGTTCATTGTATTAATACATGTAGATTCAAATCTACATTATAGAATATTTAAGAAATGCAACCACTAGTTATTCGATTGCTTGTGTCTTGCTGTACAGTTTGTACTTAAAACAAGGTAGGATTCATTTCATAAAGGTTACTTACTGCAGGGCCTTTCAAATAGAAATTCTATTTAAAAGAGCCTGCTTACTGGTGTATTGTATTAACCATTGTAAAAATTATGTAAAAATGTAGTATACAATTTCACCCATGTATTATATTTGTTCAACATATCATGTCATATTGCTCTTAAATAAATTGTGTGAAATAAAAATAAAATCCAAAAGTTTTCTCAGGATTTTTTGATGTTATTACCAAGGCTAGTTTTAATACTAGATACTAGTATATATATCCGTAGTTTGAAATGTACAGAAGAGAGCGAAACTTCAATACATGTACAATTATTTTAAATACAATACTTGAGCATAGTGGCCGAGTGGTTAAGCTCGTTCACTTCAAACCACTTGCCCCTCACCGCTGTGGGTTCGAATCCCGACAGGGACTTTGGATTCTTTTATGTGAGGAAGCTATCCAGCTAGCTTACAGAACGTCAGTGGTTCTACTCAGTTGCCCGTACATGCAAGAAATAAAGCATGGAAGGGCACCGGAGGTCTACCTCCACCAGTAAAGCTGAAATGTTGCCATATGACCTATACTGTGTCAGTGAGACGTAAAACACAAACTAATCATTTTATCTCATGAACCCATTATTTATATTGTCTTTCATGAACAAATTGTATGTTAGTATTCTGTCAGGAGCATATGATAATTTCATTTTTCCCCATTAATGTTATTTCATGTCATGAACTGAAAATAATTGTATAGTTTTGTAATTTCATGATTTATTAATACAAATAGATTATTTTCCCAATGATACAATAAAACAAATTTAACATTCCTTGGTAATACTTCTATGGGTTTTTACCAGAGGCTTTTATTAGAAAACTCATCAAAGGCTACCTTGAAAACATTCTTAAACATATTCAACATAAGCGATTTTTATGAAAGACTGCCTTGCGTCAGATCCTACACGTGTGCTTAAAATGTTTTAAATGCTATTTTGTCATTTATCTTTAGAGAGACCCTACAAGATGTCAAAGATTTGGAGAGACTCTAGTGTCTATACTCACACAGATTTCTTCACACAAAATGGCGAGCATGTTTGAATATCAATCTGTGCCGTTTCCATGGTTACAGGTTCAGATAATTAAATGTCTGACTAAACTTGCCAAACAGGATGAAAGGTAATTATCCAGATGTTAGATTACTGTTTAATTACAGTGATAGTTAAGTGGTAAAGTATCCGCCTCTTATGCTCGAGTTAGTGAATTTAATCCCCAGTCTAGCCATACCAAATCCCATTATTAGATGTGGTTATAAATGCTGTCTGAACTTTGCACATAACATTAAGTGGGGACTGGTTAGTCTGGAGTCATGTGACTAGGTGAGGTAAATTCCCATGATTGTATAGAATTGATCATTGTCTTTATTGCTGCCTTTTGGCATTGTCACATTTATTTCACTGAAAAAGTGTTGAGGGAGATTTTTATATTCTTACCTTAACCTGGTGAATTTGTGTAAACAATTTTGTCTAGGTTGCATTTAGAACTGTCTGAGATTAAAGAATTTTAATTTCAAATACAATAAATTGAGCTGCCAACAGTAAAGAGAGCCTGGTCAGACTGCCTGCCTTGCCTGGCTCTATACAGATGGCAAAGACTAATCACTTGTGTTTCCAACAGGTTTTTACCCACTCACACATATGTGCATGACTTGAAGCATGCACACATGCAGAAGACAACATTTTACTAACTGGAACATTAGAGAAATGGATTTAATTATATACATGTACATCTCTTTGGTATCTTATTTTGCAGCATTCTAAATCATAATTTTTATTTTCATTTTCCATACTCGTGTTAAAGCCTTTCTTTATAAATTTCAAAAATTATTTTAAACTCTTTTGTATTACTAAATTTTAAACATGTTGGGCTCATGGAGAATTAATTTATTTTCAGTTTTCTAGCATTTACTATTTTTCTGGTTTCAGTGTAATAACAAGCTTTTAATTGTGTAATTGTTTATGGTGTTGTTGTTTTTTTGTATTTTAGCTTTGCTGCAAGCCTGGTACCATTTTTGAAGGAAATATTACAAAGAACAAGCAGAAAAGAAATGATTGCATTATGTAAGTTGAAGTCCTGCCAGATAAAAATGTCATGGATAAGTCCTTGAGCAAGAAATTTGTGGACTTGTAGCTCAGTACTGGTTTGGTCCAGGAACCAATTTGTAGAGTGTATCAATAAGCTAATAACTTGCGTTAAACAAGGAAAATAAATTCTGTACAAACTAAAAAAGACTTGTGTGCAGATCTTTCACTTACTCTGTTGTTTTTTTTTTCAGAATTAATTGTGAAAAACAACCCAAAATTTAAAAGTGTTGCAACACATTTCAATCAAATTGGGCTAAAAAGGGCATAAAATATGATTTTCAATTTATTTCTGGGTATATTTCCTGATTATCTTTTGCATGTAATATTATGTCTGCTTTAGGTGCCCCAGCTGATTAATGTAAGATTTTTTTTATGTTTTAGGCTTTTGTTTCCTTAGTAGAGTTCCTTTAACTGGAATGATACTTGTTTTACTTAATCATGTAAATGCCATTAAATTACTGATTGTTTTAGAAGGAGTAAATTGTATCATCTACATTTTGATATTACAAGTCATCTAAATTATTTCTTGTTGACTTGTGTACATTAGCCTATGTCATTGTTATTTCTGTTTTAAATTTTTGGTAAAAAAAGACATTACTAAAATCACATGAAAAAAGTGTAAGGTTTAGTTCGATCTTTTTTACTCAAGTTGACAGCTTGGGTTGAACTTTTATTGTTTGTTACCTAACTGGATAGCTTTTCTAACGATTTGCTCTGTAAAGAAATTTAACTTGAAGAGGTAATTGGCAATTTACAGTAAGGATCTTCTACAAAAATGCAATATTACTATTTGTAATATTATTTGTCTGCAGTCTGTCATAATAAAAATTTATTCAGCTTGTTAGATGAATATTCAATATTGAACCTACAGTTTTTCAATATCATGTATTTCATTTAATTTCTTTGTTGATTACAGCTATAGTATATGAATGTTTGCAATGTATACTGAGTATCAACCCACCAAAACATCTATTAGATGTAGCTGCCGTGAATATCAGAGGCTTTATATTGTCTAGCAATGCTAATATGAAATTTATAGGTATGTACCTTTGATACCAGTTTATGCAGGATGTGTTATGTGTATATGTACCAGTTTTATGCAGGATGTTTTATGTGTAACGTATGACTGTCAATAGTAAGAAATGTTGATTAGGTATAAAAATGATGGGATAAACTCTTCAGATATTTGTTAAAACACGACACAAGAAGTTGTGGTCACATGCTGAAAAACTATAGAATTATTCCATAGTTAACTCTAGAATTATTCTACAGTTTACTCTGGTATTAGTCTACAATCAAATTCTAGAATTATTCCATAGTATATTCTAAAATTATTCCATACTTTTACCCGACATTATTCTACAGTTTACTTCAGAATAATTATATAGTTTACTCTAGCATTATTCCACAGTTAATCTAGAATTATTCTACAGTTAATTTCTAGAATTATTACAGTTTACGGTTGAATTATTCTACAGTCAACTCTAGAATTATTCCACCGTTTTCTCTAGAATAATTCCATTGTTTATTCTACAATTATGCCACGGTTTACTCTAGAATTACTCTATAGTTAACTCTGGCATTATTCTACAGTTTACTTTAGAATAATTCCATGGTTTACCATAGAATCATCCCACAATTTTTTCTGCGATTATTCAACAGTTTACTACTCTGGAATTATTCCTTAGTTTACTTCAGAATTATTTTGAACTTCACCGTGGATTAATTTAGAATTATTCCATAGTGAAAGCTAGAATTATTCTATAAATTTAAAAGTTGCAAAAACTTATTTATAAGTGGCATGGTTGTAATTTGTAGAAGTCATTAAGGGTACAACACAACACTTCTGTAATTTCATAAAATCCAATACTAAATCCATACTAACTTAAAATAATATTTTCTTTAATGTTCTGTCTTGAAGAAACTTTTAGCTGAATTAAATCACTTTTGAATTTATATACCTATACAAAACATATATTTTTGTTAAAAGAGGAGCTATAGGGGAGCTTTGACCCATGATTATGGAATTTGAAGATGTTATGGTTGTTTCATCATTGCCACTGGTATCATAAGTCTTTCAGTATGAATATCATTTGCTAAATTTGCTTCTGGAAACTTACATTTATGTTTACTTGTTTGTGACCTCATTAGGGCTCTATACTGGTTTATGACCCAATTCTAACTTTAAACTGGCTTGTGACCCAATTAGAGCTTATAATTGGTTTGTGATCCTATTAGACTCGTTTGTGCCCCCATTAGATATCTCAACTCATTTATGACCCCATTAGGACTCTAAGCTCATTTATCACCCCCATTAGGGCTTTAAACTTGTTTGTATCCCTATTAGGGTTCTAAACTGGTTTGTGGCCCCATTAGAGCTCTAAATAGGTTTCTGATCCCATTAGATCTCAAACCCTTAATCCTTTAGAGATAGGCATGTGCTGTTTATTTGGCTTGTTATATTCAGGTGTAAAGTTACTGACCATGTTGGTGAGAGTGAACCCAAAATACGCGTTTGATTATCAACAGCTTATTGTTCAATCTTTGGATAATCCTGATACGAATGTTCAACGAAAGGTAACAATTTCAACACCTTAACTTTTTTGAGTTAGCATATTACACTTGTTCTGTTTTGAATTTGGAAATGTCAATTTTTGCAGTGTATAAAGTACTCTCCTGCGCGTCGGTCGAATGTTTCACTAACGCTCACGTCTGAAGTAGCGTGAGTGCATTCAGTAAGCTGAGAATGGAGCGTATGTATAAAGCTGCATCTGATGAAAAAATTTATGTACATTAAAATTATCTGGTCTTCATAACCTTATGGTTTATTATATTCAACAACAAATTAGCTTTTATTATCAACTTTGCAACTGCTGGATTGATTTCAACAAGACTATGGGAACCATCAATACGAAAAGGAAATTTGCATCCTATCATTGGCATGTCCCCGATCAGCTATTGAGTTATGACCTCTGTTATGGCCCTAAATTTTTATTATGTACAAAGAATAATATTTTTTAACAACTGACTGGACTTCAGCATATCTATGTCAATTGTGAATTTTCTCATCAAAGACTGGTTTAATAGTACTCGGTGGAGGGATATAACTAAAACAAATTTACTTGTAAAACCATGTCCTTAAAACAACACATTTCAATATATATGCAAGTACATGTATATACAAATAAGCTGACTATAACAGTTGTTGTGACTATTGTGAGGAAGTTGTAGATGAATATTTCAGACACACAAACTGTTGTACGAGATAACCAACGAGACAAATGTGACAACGGTTTGTGCCAAACTATTTACCCAATTACAGACATCTTCTGATAAATTCTGGAGGTCAGAGGTCATCACTATGGTACTTAATATTCTAGAGAGGTCAGTTGATGTCACCACCTTGTATTTTGTACAATTTTGACCTCTTTACCAAAGAAAGTGCACTTGCTCGAACTACATGTATAATACTTATCATCTACTGTTCCACTTCTACATTTTACTATGATCTGTTCAAATTATTTGCTTAACTTAACAACTTGAGTGAATTACTATGATATGTTTAGTTATAGATATTTGATGCATTGGATACATCTGTATGGTTTAAGTTAATAAAGGAATGTTAGTTTTCTGCACTGCAATTTTAATCTGTTCCTTGATCAGTATTTGAACAATGATGAATCAATATCAAGGTTTTTTTCCCCACTTTTATTTACCCCTAGAATGCAGGCCACTAAGGAGTCTTACCTATGTAACAAATGCAGACTAAGATCAGCTGTCACTTCTTTTCACTATCGCTATTCAGTCCATACATATTTTGATATTTCCCAAAAAATGAGGAATGGTTCTGTCTCAATTGAAAAATGGACAAGTCCATTTAAGATTTATAGCGTGGAAATGAGTAAGAATGCATTATTAGATAGACTAAAGTGTTAGAAAAGTTGTTATTTTTTTGAGCCACTCAGAAATTATTTTGATGTTATGTCTTAAATATCCTCAGGTTGTCAGTTTAGGAGAATGAATTATAGTGACCAGTCTTGTTCACTATTTATATTACAGGTATGATGGTGATGTTGGATGGAGAGTAGAGAGATTGTTTACATGTTTACAGCTTGGAAATGACATAATAGAAGATACAACGCTGAAATCAATGATGTGTTTGATAGAAGAAAGTAAGTTCAAACCACATTGTGTGTTATCCTTTCTCTTCGGTTCTGGAATTCAGCATTTGTTTTTCCTTAAGGTTAAACAAATGAAGAAAAAATGTGATGTGGTATATTAAGCACATTTCAATATAATTAGAGTAAAATAAAGTAGTATACTGTGCTCCTCTTAGTTCACGGTACTTAACACTTTAAAACAGTAAAGAACACAAAAAATAAACTTAAACTACAAAAACTGTCATAAACTCTATCATTTAGTCATTTTTCTGCTATATGACACAAGGAAACAACAATATATTCAATCAAAATTAGTTTTAATTTGTCAGATGTAGACCGTGTGTCGGCCATTTTGAAAACAGTATGTCATCATTTAACTCGCGGTAATGGTGTTTTATTTCAGTTTTTTCATGTTTCAGTTAAAATTTCTTTAAAACAGTGTATTATTTGAAGATGGAATAATTATTAAACCTGGAATACACTTAAAAATCATTTCCTGAGATTTAGTTCATCTAAGGGGGGGTTAGTTGTTGCGGCACATCAACTTAGGGGGGTTAGTTCATCTAATGTGGGGTTAGTTGCTGCCTGGCATCAACTATGGGGTCTTAGTCCATGTAAAGGGGGGTTAGTTGATGCGCCGCATCAACTAACCCTTATATAGTATAAAGGGGGTGGTTAGTTGATGCGCCGCATCAACTAACCCTGAAACATAGAAAATAGGGTTAGTTGATGCGGCGCATCGACTAACCCTGTATTCAGTCTAAAGGGGGTTAGTTGATGCGGCGCATCAACTAACCCTATTTTCTATGTTTCAGGGTTAGTTGATGCGGCGCATCAACTAACCCCATGGTGCTTTATAAAACAGCACTGAAGAGTATTAACTGGTTAGAAATAGGCATTTTTAACAAGGATTTTGGGAAGATGGATCAACTTTACCTGATGCACTGGAATGAACACCTGTATGATCTTACCACTTTTCCAAAAACTGACCTCTGTCCATTTTCATAGGTTCATTTCAAGTGGTAGGTCATAGTATTTATGATTTTTGCACTGGTAAGTTTGTGTTGAATCAGTATATAATGTTTATGTCATATTTTTTTCTCCTTTTCTAATAGGTGCAGTATGAGAAAATATTTTCATTCCACTAATTGTAGTATGTAGGTAAATTGACAACAACAACACAACTAGCAAGTGAAGGCACATGTTTATTGACTGAACAAAAGTAGACATCAAGCATGCTGCAATCGAATTAACGATATACCATGTTTTACTTTGCTGTGAAAGAGTTTTTTTCGAAATAAATTTTTTGTGTATTTTTCAGTGTCTGTACAGTTGTAATAATCATTGAAGGATATAAATAAATTTGTAATGTAATAATAATGTAATCAACTGACATATAATTTTCTCATAACCTTCGTTTTTGTTATATTATTTTTATGTCTGATGAAATAAAGGTATTTGAATTTTTGAAAAGTGTTTGTTCCTAACAAAAGATTGGCTTATGTAACTGCAAGACAGCATGATTTCTACGTTTTGCCTAAAACGTATTTTGTATCAACCTTACCCAAAGTTTGATAATTATATATGATGGAATACCAAATTCGATTGCATATTTCTGTATTCAGAATACGGGCGGCCCACGAAAAACCCCCTGCTTTGTTTTATCATAAGACAGGAGGAAACGTGTGTCCGTAGCCTAGTCAATGTGAAAACAATGAAATGCCCCGACTATTCCACAGAAATACTGAACAACGGACAGTTCAGACATGGTTTTCTATAAATAAATTAGTAGAAACACAGTGGATATAATTAGATGTAATTATAACATATACCTCTAGTTAAAGACTCCCCGGGGGGAAATAATGCACTGAATTCAACATTGGGTCACATGATAAGACAAGCTTATTCGTACAATTGAGTTATTAGCTGAAATATCTAGGCTTAAATGTTTATGACTGCTAACAAATATATCCAGTGTATGCCAAAACAATTACCAATTACAATTTCAGGAAAAATAATGATTGAAACTTTACATTATACGGACATAATGCTCATAAATAAAGGAAAATAAATAATACGTTATTGTTAGGGAAAGTGTTAAAACGTTATCAGAATTTATTTCGTGCTTTCCAGTGTTTTATTATAATGTAACAGATGATCATATTCTGATAAAACACCATTGAAATTTATAAAATATAAATTTCACTGTAGCATTAATATTTCTGAATGCAGATGAAAAGAAAATCATAACTGAATGGAATAACTGGCATAAATAAAAGCCGTCATGCCTAAAGTGTGCTTCTTTAAGAAAACATAAGTCGATGTCATCATACTCAAGTTAAAAATCTTACAAACTTGAGAAAATTAACAGACCTATATTTTTAAAATTGATAATTTGACGTCATTATTTGAAATCAGTAAAAATATACTTAAAATCACTTAAAAAGCATGAAATAAAAAAGAAATTTATTTGTGTTACATATAAGATTGAAATATATTTTATTTGTGAACACCAGCTATTATATTTTCACTGGTGGGTAAGCCACTCGTGAAAATATTACAGCTGGTGTTCACTCAGTGAAATATATTCAATCTTGCATGCAAAACAAATATCCTCTATGTAAATAGTCACATGATAATTGCCAATGTTTTAAACACTTCCAATCTTCGAAAACATGAGGATCGTATACTAACAAGCATTGAATTAAATTTTTGTGAATGATTGAAAAATACTGCTTGAATGAGCGAGACCATAATTAATGGAAGTTACACAGCTAATTAATCCTTACAATTCATAATTTACATACAGACATCATCAAATTTTTTCTCTCTTCTAAATAAGGAAAACATACATTTTGCATTCTCCATGTTACATATTCATTACACAGTGATACTTAAAATTTAAAGTTATCTGCATTCTGGTAAATTATATCAAATTTTTTTTACGCCATGAAGAAAAAAGATAACTGAAAATATTTTCCTTTACAATTTGCATATGCATACAAAGAATTTATGTGAAGAAAAAGATAAATGATTGTAAAACATACAAAAAAAATTCTGATGAAATAAATATGCATATAGTTAATTTAGTTTAGATAACCTCATATCCTTTCATGTAATCTAATTAAATGCAATCCCAAACAAATTGTTGAAAACATCTGTTATTGGTAATTGATGTAAGTAAAATTAATATGCTTTCTGGTTATGTAGTGTGTGAAGATATTGCTCACTATTCAACACATTATAACACAAGAAATCAGAAAATTTTCCTTTACATAGCAATCACGTACAATGCAATTTTAGGGATATTGATCTCTTTTCTTGTAAATTAATGTGTATTAACATTGATGTAACAATAAAAAAACACATTCAAAAACAAGGAAAGAGGGAAATTGTCCTTACAAATTGCAATCACATTTATAAAAAAAACATCTTGTAGGTAATTAATCTTAGGGATTTTGATCTTATTTCTTTTAAAGTAAATGAATATAAACATTGTTGGAAAGAAAAAAACACATTCAAATACAAGAAAATAGCAAAATTGTCCCTTACAAATTTTGCAATCACATTTATAAAGAAAACATCTTGTTGGTAATTAATCTTAGGGATATTCATCTGCTTTCTTGTAAGTTAATGAATATAAACATTGTTGTAATGAAATACACATTCAAATACAAAAAAATATGAAAATTGTCCCTTACAAATTGCAATCACATTTATAAAAAACATCTTTTAGGTAATTAGTATTAGGGATATTGATCTGCTTTCTTGTAAGTTAATGTGAATTAACATTGTTGTAATGAAATACACATTCAAATACAAGAAAATAGGAAAATTGTCCCTTACAAATTGCAATCTCATTTATAGATGAAACATCTTGTAGGTAATCATTCATAGGGATATTGATCTGCTTTCTTGTAAGTTAATGTGAATTAACATTGTTGTAATAAAATACACATTCAAAAACAAGAAAATAGGAAAATTGGTCCCTTACAAATTGCAATCACATTTATAAAGAAAACATCTTTTATGTAATTAGTCTTAGGGATATTGATCTGCTTTCTTGTAAGTTAATGTGAATTAACATTGTTGTAATGAAATACACATTCAAATACAAGAAAAGTGGAAAATTGTCCCTTACAAATTGCAATCTCATTTATAGATGAAACATCTTGTAGGTAATCATTCATAGGGATATTTGATCTGCTTTCTTGTAAGTTAATGTGAATTAACATTGTTGTAATGAAATACACATTCAAAAACAAGAAAATAGGAAAATTGTCCCTTACAAATTGCAATCACATTTATAAAGAAAACATCTTTTAGGTAATTAGTCTTAGGGATATTGATCTGCTTTCTTGTAAGTTAATGTGAATTAACATTGTTGTAATGAAATACACATTCAAATACAAGAAAATAGGAAAATTGTCCCTTACAAATTGCAATCTCATTTATAGATGAAACATCTTGTAGGTAATCATTCATAGGGATATTGATCTGCTTTCTTGTAAGTTAATGTGAATTAACATTGTTGTAATGAAATACACATTCAAAAACAAGAAAATAGGAAAATTGTCCCTTACAAATTGCAATCACATTTATAAAGAAAACATCTTGTAGGTAATTAGTCTTAGGGATATTGATCTGCTTTCTTGTAAGTTAATGTGAATTAACATTGTTGTAATGAAATACACATTCAAAAACAAGAAAATAGGAAAATTGTCCCTTACAAATTGCAATCACATTTTCAAAGAAAACATCTTGTTGTTAATTATTCTTAGGGATATTGATCTGCTTTCTTGTAAGTTAATGTGAATTAACATTGTTGTAATGAAATACACACTCAAAAACAAGAAAATAGGAAAATTGTCCCTTACAAATTGCAATCTCATTTATAGATGAAACATCTTGTAGGTAATCATTCATAGGGATATTGATCTGTTTTCTTGTAAGTTAATGTGAATTAACATTGTTGTAATGAATACACATTCAAAAACAAGAAAATAGGAAAATTGTCCCTTACAAATTGCAATCACATTTATAAAGAAAACATCTTGTTGGTAATTAATCTTAGGGATCTTTCACCATCAAAATGATAATATGCTTTAGGGACTGCAGATGGTTGTCCATTGAAATATGTATTTCGTGATAAATATTACTGTTGGAAAACTAATTTTTCAATAACTTTCAAATTGTAAATGGTATTTTACATTGTCAGTGTAATAGACAAAAATTAAGTACATGTTGCTTACAGTTGGTTGCAAAGTATGTGATTATTCAACTTGTGAAATTGTATTAAAAAAGTGAACTTATAGAAATACTCAAATTTATTGGGAACTTTTCCAAAAATTTACTGGATATTCCTTAAATTTATCCAATTTTAGATTGTATTTCAACAAATTTTTCAATATTTCCTATGGAAGGTTAAATAACAATAATTGATAAGCATATAAATTTTAATTCATAGTGCATAAATGGAATTTTTACAACACTGCACTTTTGTAACATCAAATTTCATTAGACAATCGTGATGTTTTTATAGTTTTATAAACACGGCTGCTGTATTAACATTTGTAACAAATACTCCTGAAAGGTTAAATGACCATATATAAACAGTTGTTTGCAATATAACCCTCATCTATAGCGGGACGGATTATAATTTCAAACGGTTGTTTATACAGGGGCATATAACCTTTCAAAAATATTTGTAACAAATATATTATTGTTGATTTCAATTGAAACATTTATCTGTATTAGTTTTTAAAAAAAATGTATTTAGTATGTATGTGTATTTTCCTCATGAATCATTTATAATTGTAAAATATAGCATAAAAGCTACATGCCCCCAGATGAGTAAAAAAATTTTAATAAAAGCAAACATGAGAAAATTGCTTTAAAATGTAAGAAAAAGTAAAGAAAGTCAAGATTCTAGATATATCTTACATATCATTTAATTGCAATTTTTGACTGAATTTTCAGTATTTACAAATATATTCTAATGTGTTATTAACTAAGTAAAGATTATTTATGGAATATTTTGACCATTTTTTGGTGATTAATATAGGTGGTTTATAAGTGCCATCAATAAAGTGTAAATTCCTTCCTTTTAATTTGTTCACAATATTAAACATTCAAATACATTTTCAAAATTTTCGTGGAAATTAGTATGATTCTGGAGGCGTGCTGCTTTAAGAAAAATTGATAAATATTTCATGTCTCACATGCTTCATTTCTGATCTTCTGAAGACAAAGCCAGCCATGTTACTGTGTAAATGTTAAAAATAAATGTATTACAATTAATTAATTATGTATTTATATTGATTTTTTAATTGTTCATTTAATTATTTGGATTACCTATTACATTAAATTTATTTTAGAAAAAACTGTGATAAACAAAAGAAGGTACATCGTTAATTCGATGGCTTGATGGTTCTTCCATTTCAGTTATTAAATATGTCCCTTCACTTGCTAGTTTTGTTGTTGTTGTCAATTTACCTTTATACAAGAATTAGTGGAATGAAAATATTTCCTCATACATTATTCTGCTGCACCTATTAGAAAAGGAGAAAAAAATATGACATAAACATTATATACTGATTCAACACAAACTTACCAGTGCAAAAATCATAAATACTATGACCTACCACTTGAAATGAACCTATGAAAATGGATAGAGGTCAGTTTGTTGTCAGTTTTTGGAAAAGTGGTAAGATTATAAAAGTGTTCATTCTAGTGCATCAGGTAAAGTTGATCCATCTTCCCAAAATCCTTGTTAAAAAGGCCATTTCTAACCAGTTAATACTCTTCAGTGCTGTTTTATAAAGCACCATAGGGTTAGTTGATGCGCCGCATCAACTAACCCTGAAACATAGAAAATAGGGTTAGTTGATGCGCCGCATCAACTAACCCCCTTTAGACTGAATACAGGGTTAGTCGATGCGCCGCATCAACTAACCCTATTTTCTATGTTTCAGGGTTAGTTGATGCGGCGCATCAACTAACCCCATTTAGACTATATAAGGGTTAGTTGATGCGGCGCATCAACTAACCCCCCTTTACATGGACTAAGACCCCATAGTTAATGCCAGGCAGCAACTAACCCCACATTAGATGAACTAACCCCCATAAGTTGATGTGCCGCAACAACTAACCCCCTCTTAGATGAACTAAATCTCAGGAAATGATTTTTAAGTGTATTCCAGGTTTAATAATTATTCCATCTTCAAATAATACACTGTTTTAAGTTATTTTGCATAATTTTAAATATTAAAAGTATCTTCACATTGTAACTCAAAATTTATTTTTTCAACAAACAAGAACATTTAGAAAATGATGATTGTTTCAGACGTATGCACAAATTTAATGGACTATTGTTGTGTTTTGCAGAAGTTTGTAAAATGTTGTTCAGTTTTACGTAAAAATCTATAGATTTAAATTATTTTGCACAAAAATTTTGTTGTTAAGGTGTTTGAATAAAATGTGTCAATTCTGACCAATTTTAACACTGGTAACATGAAAATATGCCATTACTGTGAGATAAGTGATGACGCGGAATTAGTGATGTTGAGTATATATTGATTGCTTACTCATGTGCATAATGACATACATATCTACTTACTGGTGTACTCATATTGTTATGCTCCAGTACAAGCTGGTGTACTTATGTACATACTGATGTATTTTTGTACATAATATACTGGTGTACTTTTGTACATACTGGTGTACTTAGGTACATTATGAACATACGGGTGTTCTACTGTACTTCTCTTGTGCATAAAGGTATACACATGTACTGGTTGTTGTTTAATATTTTTGCAGAATTTATGTTGTATGGAGCAGATGAGAGAAGACAGAAGTTACTGGTTCAGAAATGTGTGGAAGTTCTTGTAAATAAAAATTCTCCAACTACCAGCCTGCATATAGCAACATGGGTCAGTATGTTTTTGTTTTCAAAGTAAATTATTCATAGGCTTAGAGCTAACTTGACAAGATTAATTACAAAATCGCTTAAGAAATGAAAATGAAATCAAATTAAAGACAAGTTCACTTTCTCATTTGATTCTGGATATATAACATTTAATATGGAAAAAATCAAATCATGACATCAGTGTATAACCAGTTTTTAGCTTGACTATTCACAGAATAATTGGGCAAATTCAGTCACCTGTTTGTTGGCATCGGTGTCCCTGTGGTTAAGTTTTTGCGTGCAAGCTGGTATCTCCATAACTACTGAAGGGAATGGATTGAAACTTCACAGAATTGTTTGCTGTGATTATCTAACATGATTGGCACAAGCCCCAAAACTCTGATTTGCTTTTTTGCGTAATTATGCTCCCTTTTCGACTTAGAAATTCTTGGTTAACTTTTTGCTTGTAAGCTGGTTAACTATTGAAGGGTTTGTGCCTTTTTTTGTGACAATTTTATGCATTCATAATAATCAAGCAGTAATTTACTCGATAAACATCTTAATAACAAGCATTTGTACCTTTTTGGACAATTTCATGTATTCATATAGGTAAGCATTATTATACTCAATGAAACACCCTTGTGACCATTTTTTCAGATTGTCGAGTGTCACTGTCCTCTGACAGCTCTTGTTGCTTTTGCTTTTCTTTTTACTCTATAAGGAGAAAAATCCCGAGATACTGCTAATATATGCACATGTATGAATAATTTTCATCATCGTCAGTTACCCGCATAATACTGTAAAAGTGGATATTTATTTGTCACAAAAATTTTGCGAATGTTAAAAAATTGATGTTTTGCGTGTGGAAATATTTGCGAAAAATAGGATTTCTTGAACTGAAAACTGTTTTGTGATATGATTAATTAGGCAGGTACATGTTTATTTATGGACTTGAAGCTGTACATGCTAGATGTACATGAAAGAAATACAATTACAGTATGACTGACAGATTGAGAAGACATTCAAACAGAATAATTCATACCAGTGTTTAATAGTTGAACTCAATGTCACTGATTTTGTGCTAAATAATGAAATTTCAGTTCAAAACAGTATTATTTTTTATTCGCACATTATGTTTGAAAACAAGTTAGATATAAAATGAAGAGCTTTGGTGTGGCTGTTCTTATAAAGATATTTCTGGAAAACATAATGTTGATAGAGTTCTAAATGATTTAATCATGGATTCTTATTTTAGGAATAATAATATTTTGTTCTAGAACAATTTATTATCTGCTACACATAACATTGGATCATGTATCTCACACTTAACAACAGCATTCAGATAAAATTATTTCATGTTTTTGCTTGTCAAGTATGATATTTTAAATACATGCAGTAGCAACATAATTATTCATGGTATTATAGACCTTCAGTTATGGAACAATTCACTTTAACTATATATATATACTTTTTTCAATTATCCATAATAATGTCAACTATAATTTTTCAGGTTTTAGGAGAGTTATGTCCCATTTTAAAGAATATGCCAGATGACAAAGTAATCTCCCTTTTTACACGTCATCTGGGTAATGAGAAGCTTGGATATTCGACACAGAGCTGTATTGTAACTGCATTACAGAACCTTGTGATAAAAGGGGTTGTTAATTGTGATAATATGTCAACAAAAATAAATGAGTGTTTAATGGAACAGCTACCTATAGTGATAAAACAGGTAAAATTAATAATAATTACTGTTTGTATGCATAAACTATTTTGTGACAGATTATATGATTTTGTCTTATTTGTTTTTCCTGTCTGTCTTTCCATATACTATTTTGTTTTTACACAAAGTAGGTATTTGTATTAAACATTATATGCCCAAAGTATCTTTAGCATGCAATTCTTACAAGGTTCCAAAAATAATTTGTGTTTCCATACTATGTGTATAACAAATATAGTTAGTAAATAAATCAGATTGTTTAAGTATTTTAAATTATCACTTGTCAGCTATGCTTTATTACTGACTTGAACTTCATCTATAGTGTAATCTTTATCTTTTCTTCAGTTTTTAGCTCACCTGTCACAAAGTGACAGGGTGAGCTTTTGTGATCGCTTTTCGTCCGGCGTCCGTCCGTCGTCCGTCCGGCGTCCGTAAACTTTTACTTTAAATGACATCTCCTCATAAACCACAAGGCCAATTTCATCCAAACTTCACAGGAATGTTCCTTTGGTGGTCACCTTTAAAAATTGTTCAAAGAATTTAATTCCATGCAGAACTCTGGTTGCCATGGCAACCGAAAGAAAAAACTTTAAATATCTTCTTTTAAAAAACCAAAAGAGCTAGAGCTTAGATATTTGGCATGAAACATCTTCTAGTCAGTGTCTACCAAGTTTGTTCAAATAAAAGCCCTGGGGTCAAAATTGGCCCCGCCCCGGGGGGTCATTGATTTTCCCTATATGCATATAGTAAAAACTTAAAAATCTTCTTTTAAAGAACTCAAAGAGCTATGGCTAAGATATTGAGCATCAAACATGTTCTAATAGGTGTCTACCAAGTTTGTTCAAAGAAAAGCCCTGGGGTCAAAATTGGCCCCGCCCCAGGGGGTCATTGATTTTCCCTATATGCATATAGTAAAAACTTAAAAAATCTTCTTTTAAAGAACCAAAAGAGTTAGAGCTAAGATATTTAGCATGAAACATGTTCTAATAAGTGTCTACCAAGTTTGTTCAAATAAAAGCCCTGGGATCAAAATTGACCCCGCCCCGGGGGGTCATTGATTTTCCTATTATATGCATATAGTAAAAACTTAAAAAATCTTCTTTTAAAGAACTCAAAGAGCTATGGTTAAGATATTTAGCATCAAACATGTTCTAATAGGTGTCTACCAAGTTTGTTCAAATAAAAGCCCTGGGGTCAGAATTGGCCCCGCCCGGGGGTTCATTGATTTTCCTTAAATGTGTATAGCAAAAACTTAAAAAATCTTTTTTGAAAAAAAAACCCAAATAGCTAGAGTTAAGATATTAAGCATGAAACATCTTTTAGTGAGTGTCTACAAAGTTTGTTCAAATAAAAGACCTGGGGTCAAAATTGGCCCCGCCTCGGGGTCATTGATTTTCCTTATATGTGTATAGCAAAAACTTAAAATCTTCTTTGAAAAAACCCAAATAGCTAGAGTTTAGATATTAAGCATGAAACATATTCTAGTAAGTGTCTACAAAGTTTGTTCAAATAAAAACCCTGGGGTCATAACTAGCCCGGCCCCAGGGGTGTCATTGTTTTTAACTATATGTGTATAGTAAAAACTTTAAAAAAATCTTCTTTTAAATAGCCCAATGAGCTAGAGCTTAGATGTTTAGCATGAAACATCTTCTTATGGGTGTCTACCAAGTTTGTGCAAATAAAAGCCCTTTGGTTAAATTGGCCCTGCAACGTTTGGGGGGGGGGGGGGTTGGGGGGCCTATATACAGGTGAGCGACCTCAGGGCCATCATGGCCCTCTTGTTACATTTTTCTTTTAAATAGATTTGTCCTAATTTGAAATATTGGAGAACTAAGCCATTTTTTATCCATCACAATAATTGCAAAATAAATATTCTGTTTTAAATTTTCTTACATGGACTTGTCTATCTTTCAGTCTAGACAAAATCATTCATCATTTTTAGAGAAATTAAAAAAAAAATATTGAAATATGTACAGACTGAATATCTAATAGTGCAGACCCTGATCAAAAGCCACAGATGTGCTGGGTAATCTTGGTCTGCACAGGTTGCCCGAGTACATGTATATTCATTTGCCCCTAGAAGACTAGGGGCAAATGACACCGCATGTAAGACAAATGAAAAATGTAATTTTGGGTTCATTTCAGAGTCTTTCTGTGTTACTAGGGGTGTGTAAATATGGTCTGACAATTACCTTCAGTGGAAACATTGATACGACCTTAACCTTTTTGGATGACCTTGTGACTGATGACCTTGAACAAGGTGGAAAAGCTTATATACCTCCACATCTGAGAGGTGTTACTTCAGGTAGTACCTAAAATTTGCCGCCATAAATGATCTGCAAGTTAAACTATTTCTTCAAATTAATGACTTAATCAAATGCTTGTTTTCAGTTTTTAACTAACCCTGAATCTCGCTGCCGACCATATTAAAGTCTGTATTACAAATAAAAATATATTCAGTAAACGACAAAAATCATATTATAAGGTGAAGCCAACACACTTATGGTACTAAATAAAGTTTACAGGATATACAAAAGAAACTTGTGTTTTTATGGTCTTGTTTCAAGGAGATGGAATCTGTCATCTTAATTGAATCTTACTCAAGATTAATTATAAACCTGTTAAACAATGGTAAGTAGTAATTTAGCTTGAATCCACAATCCCAAGAAAGGTTGTAGAGAGGCATTGTTAAAGATGATGTTGGACTTTCCATTTAATGCATTGTTTTAGATCAATACAGCAACCAAACTTCCTATGCTTTAGTGGCATTCACATCAACAAGAGGGCTATTTTTAGGTGTTTCTAAATATTTATTAGTAAGTGGCGTTTGTTAGGATATGTTGAAACCTCAATGGATGAAAGATACACATCTGTGTGCGTTATAAGCTTTGAGCTTTAAAACTGTAAAACTAATTTAACAAGCATAATTTTGACATATTAGTGGTTAACCAACTTTACATTTATTCTTGTTTTTTTTCTCAAAATTTGTGTTTAAATTAATGCTTGAAATAAATAAATTTTGGTATAGACTGCCATTATTTTATATCCTTTTAGCTAAATTTTTGTGTTTTATCCTTCAGAAAATTGTATTTCATGCTATTAACTTATATGCTGATGTTTGAAAGAAAGCATGCTGCAATAAACATTTACTGTAACATTGTAGAGCCCGAGGCTTCACCTGGTTTATTCAGTGGTGTAATGAGTGAACCAACTGGGCAAGATGACACCTATTCTAGTGGAAGACCTAGAACTGAAAGTAACTCTTCCTCAATGAAAACAGCAGAAGAAAGGTCTGTCTCAAATATTTCATTTAACTTTATGCTCATTAAAAAATACTGTATGTTCACAAAAAATATATTTGTTGAAAAGTTATTTCTAACAGACAGTTTTTATAATATAAAGGCACTTACTCAATATGAGACATGCTGTAAGCTGAAGTAGTTTGTAAATTGACATTAAAGTTAAAATCACAGACATATATACCTGGCTGCATTTTATTCACTTAGTTTAACTGGCAAACTTTTATTAGTTGAGACAGGGTCTTCCAAATAGATTTATATATAATCCTTGACAAGTTACTCTATCTGGAAAAATGAAGTTTTAATTTACTTTTGAAATTTAATCTTATGGAAAAATATCTTTTAATGTTTATTACATGAATGTAATATCTTATACAGTTTTTTGACATATGATTTGATTTTCTTGCAGTGAAAGTGTCCTCAAAGTACCAAGTGTAAAGAGGGTATGGGGAAAACAGGGGAGATTGGACATTTCTCCTAAAACCAACATGGAAACGTCTTCCTTAACAGTAAATTTTTCTTGTTTAGCTTGTTTTTAAATTTCTACATCATAATGGGTTACTTATTTCATATTGTCATTATTTTCATTTTCCACTTTTAGTTTTAAAATAATAATATCTGTCATATTTTGCGGTTCGGATCGGAATATCCGTCCCGAGGTGACCCGCCCATTGGGCGGTAACGAGGCTTGCCGAGTTACCGCCCATGGGCGGGTGACCAAGGGACGGATATTCTGATCCGAACCGCAAACATATGTCAGATATTTTTTCTTGCATTTTCTACAATATTCAATTATATTTTAAATTCTTTATCTTTATTTTCAATGAAAATTTATATCATTACAACCGTAACTACTTTCATTCAACAGCGTATGAATTACAAAATCATTCATAACGGTAAAATGACGTCATCTTTATCGTGCCATTGTACAGCACACGACTCATCTGGAACCCCCATGCCAGATGAAATTTCCGGCATGGGTAAAACTAACGGAAACGCCAGTCTGATATGCAAGAAAGCGCTATCCAAGTTTTCTATCATGAATATGCAGAGGCTCTGTCAAAAAAGATGTCATTATTTTCCTGATTGTATCAGTCAGTTTGTGAAGCAATGCCATTGAACAAAAAGTACATTTTGATATATATAAGTCCCTGTTTATGTATTTTCAGACAAGTGTTCAGACAGAGGAGGAGAAGAGACAGCAAGAACTTGCTTCAGCATTATTTGGAGGATTCCAGGTAAATTTATACTGTGCATATTATACGGCTGCTCATCAATGCCCCACCTCCAAGTGAAAAGTGTCCCAGACATTTGCCTAAAAATTATGGCATGTATGTTATTGTAACAAAGAATTTGTTTCCTATTTATTTCGTGTTGTGTCTGCCAGTACAAAGCTTGATAAAGTTTCATGTATCACAGTTTCAATGTACAAGTACATTTTACCTTGTATGGAGGATTTTAAAGTAAAATGTTCACCAAGGTGAGATAATGTTTGAAGGTCAAGGTCACATTTTAAGAGGGGGAGAACTTTAAATGTCATGGTCCAAATGCTAATCATGAGATGTCTTCGGTAGCAACAATATCAATGTATCATTGTTATATTTTCTATTGATCAGTATTAAATTGATACAGATTTGAATAATTGTATGCACAGAACATGTATTTTACTGAAATCCTGAAGTGGAATTTAAATATAGATATATGATTGTCTTACATATATATGTATATTTTTCTAAAGAATTTATTCTTATCATTGTTAAGTTTACTTCTCAGAAATTTTCTTTCATGTTACAGTTGGGTCAAATGATGAATGTTGCTTCAAATATAATTTTAAAAAATATTGACTGGAATAAAAAAATATATTGACACAATATTTTCTCTTGTAACATTTTTATCATTTTAGTCTACTGAAGAAAACGATGTAGAAGAGTTAAGCGGGTTTCTTTCCGGCTCCTCGGACACGGCTAATTGGAGAAATCTTCATACCTCGGCCACTAGAACAAATACTATAGAACAATCAACTGAACAATCTACATGTATAGGCCAGCAGGATTTGTGCAATGACAAAATTTCAGATATAGAAACAGTGAAGAATACTGCTCAAGATAGCTTTACGGATAACAGTAGTAGTTGTGACACAGGTTTACTACATGTAGATACAGAACACATCAGTATTTTTAGTGAAAGTGAAACACTAGTACAAGTAGAGCAAAAAGAACCGTTGTTTGGTAATGGAAATAACTTTGGAGAAAATTCTTTAGATTGTTTTGATATCAAGGATAGGGTAGATGACAAGGATAAAGCAATTTCTAGTGATAATGATTTAGAGCAGGCCTTTTCTGCTCTCTTTGATAGTAGGTCTAATGAAAGTAAAGGAATGCAGGCCAGTGGTGTTGACAAGTCCATTGTGCAGACAGAATTTGGTGCTTCTTCAGAACAGATTACTGGTTCTAGAGAAAACACAGAAAATGGTATAGGGGGTGTAGATAATAACAATGAACTAAGAACAAATAATTCAATTTATGATGAAACTTGGTGACCTGAATGATTTATGGTATATTTTTGGTTGTATTGCTAAAATAGAAAACGGCCAAATTTAAAAGGCGGGTATGAGTGTATTTCCATATCTTCCATTTTATCAGACATATGAAATTAAATTTTAGATTTTTAACTTTTATAGTATTTGTTTGTATAAGAAGTCGTTACAGATAAGGAAATGAAATTGTTTTACAAATTATAACTAAAATTTTCAGTGCTTTATTTTATATATTTTATTTTTTTGTTTGAAAATCACTGTCTGTGGGTCTATCCACTCTGACAATTAAGAAATTTAATACAATAAAACCAGTTGTACTAACAGCTATTAATTCATTAAAGCAGTATTATCATCCAATTTCAATAATAATTTAATACGATACTGTGGGTTTTCTTCTTGACCACAAAAGTAAAATATTACTAAAAGAAGGTACAAATAATTCAGAAAAAACTGAAAATAGAACAGTTTTTCAAACTGAAATTTCTAAAAGGCATCTTATCGATAACGAAAAAATTTCATTGAAACCAAAATATCATGTAGAAAACTAACACTTTTAATTTTATGTCCAGCAAAAAATTTTCATTGATGTAAATTGGGTCTAAATACATGTATAGTTTTTCCAAAATCATGCACCATTTTCATGAAATTGACTATTTTTATATAACTTGATGCTGTGGCCTTTTTCTTCAGACATATTTTTAGAAAGAAATACATGTACTTTAATGGCTCATATCATTAATATGAGAATTAATTTGCATATAAACTGAAAATAACCACCTATAACGTTACAATCAGAAACAAAATCAGTGTCTATTCTAGGATTTGGAAAACGGGGGATTTTTATCGTAAAGTGAATATTTATTACATTTGTTGATCTTTTTCTTTCTTTCCCTGCTTCTGAAAAAATATGGGGGAATTCTCAAAAAATATGAGTGAATCCCCCATCCCACCCTCCTAATATAGACACTGCAAAAATTACCCATTTTTGCCTTTTCAAAACTGCCATCTTAAATTCATTAATGAAACATTTGATGTGTTCTTACTTACATATTAAAAGTATTTAGCACAGCAACAAGTTCCCACTCCATTTAATTAAAATCTGTGATGTTGTTAATTGTTCACATTTGTATCTAATACATGGCAGTATAATTGCGACATATATTTTAGAAGCGAGGCAGTCCTTCAATTGACAAGATAGGAGAAACTTTTCTTGCATATCAGACTGGCGTTTCTGTTAGTTTTACCTATGCCAGAAATTTGATTTGCAGGGGGGGGGGGGGGGGGTAAGATGCATGCTATACAATAGCATGCTTAGGATGACGTAATTTCGCCATTATAAATGATGTTGTAATTTTATACATTGTTGTAAGAAAATAGTTATGGGCATAAAGACATATATTTCCATGGAATTTTTTTTTTTTCTAAAGTAAAGAATTTAAAATAAGATGGAATATGGTAGAATATGCAAGAAAAAATATCCGAACATGTTTGTGATTCAGATTGGAATATCCATCCCTTGGGACGGATATTCCAATCTGAACTACAATATATGACAGACATTACTAATATGTCTTATGTCGTTTATTTGAGTGTAGGACAATTGCCGTTCTCCACCTTAATTTATGAAGTACTCACCATGTCAGCATCGCATTGCAATTTGACATGACTAATGCTATAGATGCTAAGTTCAGAAACCATTGCTCCAAGTACTCAGTATACTCAAAACTGAATTAATAGAGATCTATGTTGTCACAATTTAACATGATACTTTAAAACTTTAAACCTATCTCCTATGAAGCTATAATTGTTCAAATGATTTCAGGTAATATTAGTGATTATAAAGCGTATCTTAATAGCAAGATGCTGGTATCCGTAATTCCATGTTGCCAAATAATTTATTGTTATTTTAATTTGCATGTAGATGTGAGACCCAAGTTTTCATACAAAGAATTGACCTTTGTATTTTCAGAATGAATTTTGTTTTCAATGTTAAACAGTATATACCATAAACTTAGTTTGAACCCCACAGAGATGGGAAATGTTGAAAGTTGTCAATGTTAAGAACTGTTATCACTAGACAGTCAACAAAGGGTTATGTCAAAACTAGGGATATGTATCATTATAATTGGCTTATTTTGTTGGTCATGTGCAATAAAGTAATCAATATGGAACCAAGTTCTTCTGTTATATAAAAAATATTGTTTATCATACATCACAATGAACCTATTAACTAATGGTTATTTTCATTTGTCCAAGATTCATACAGAAATGTGTGGCTTATAAATTTAAGGACTTAGTCCTTTTGACCAGCCTGCCTAATGATTAAAATAGTTGTAATTTGGTCTTCTTGCAAGACAAAATCTTGTAAAGTGGTATCAACAGAGTTGTTGAAATTAAGACAAAAAAATCCAGATTTAATAAATTAAACATAAAATTTCTTAAATTGATTTCTATTTAAGATTTGATGCTTCTACCATCCTCTCTCAAGCCTTGAAATAACCAGTACTGGTATCATATAAAGAAACATTGTTGTCACCAAAACAATGATAATCCAAAGCTTGAGGGAGACACCTTAACCACTAGGCCACTGTCCTGTTTTCAATTTAAGTCTTGAAGAACAAGCTTAATATTTAAAGTAAAATGAATGTTGGAAACCCTTGGACTGAATAATCATTTGCCGTTCTCAAACTTTCAAATGACATTACACCTGCAGTTTGCTACATATTCAATCTGTACATTACAAGCCTTAATGTTTATCCAGCAAATTTAAACTTAAATTTGATAACCGTTTAGTCAGTAAAATTGCTCGGTCTTGGATAATGTAAGGATTGTTTGTTTCATTTTACGCCTTTTCCCAATAGTATTTCAGTCATACAGGTGGTTTCCTAACCATCCTTCCTGGAGAGTTACACCAGTACTAGACTTCCTTCCTCAGTGATAAACTACCAAAGCATCTCCCGGGGATCGAACCCACGCCAGAGGTAACTGGATTAGAAGTCATTGACTAACCCCTCGACCACGGAGGCAATATAATGTAAGGACTCAATGAGAGCATCAGGTAACTGGTGAAGACTTAGTTTCCATCTACACAATGCTTTTAAAAGAACGCCACCAAGGTCAAAAGCCTAAAATTTGAAACTCTTAAAGGGATTAAGGTTTTTTTCGTCAAAAGGGGACTACAAATGTTTTTCCATTATCTGTGTACCATTTGATGTAGGTTTGGACCAGTTGCTTGAGTGCAAAATTTCAGATCATTCCCTCACCCAGCTTTTCCAAAATCATCATTTTTATTGTGCAAATTAACTCCAAAATGAAAAGCATTGCCAAAGCTTTTCACTTCAATCAGGCTAAGAATGGCACAAAAATTGATTTCTTAATTTAAATCTGAGCTTATTTCTTCATTTTCCTTTGCAGATTTTTCTGTTTAAATTCACTAAGTGTTTCGCTTGATCTATGAAAGAATTTCAAATTTTAGGTTTTGAGCCTTTTGACCATTGATGCAAATGTTGTTTTTTTTGTCCAAGTCATATAGACCTTTTGAGTGGAAATTTAAATCATTGCATCACTTTTCACTGTCCAACACAAATGTGGCAAGCACATGAGCTGAAAATTTGCATGAATGTTATTTGTCTAGAACTAAAATTAAATGGTACAAATCTCAAAAAAATATTTCCAGTGTTGCAGCCCCTTGTAATATAAAATGTCTGTTACAATGCAAACCAAGAAAAGTGAAATCACATATACTAGTACTGTATACCTGGTTATACCAACACTATGAAACATGATGCAACTTTCACAGCTATCTTCTTTTAGATTATGATTATTTTTGTAACTTCATTAACTACAACACAAAAATTCTCTTTTTTTAATTTATTAGACACATTTAAGCTTTAACAGCATATTTTCTCATTGGGTACAGACGTTCTTTCCTCTGTTGCTTCTTTGTTTTCAGAGACTTTTCACGTGGGGTGAGTAAACGTCTTATAGCACGTGTCTTTTTTGGCCGCAAGTCCTTCGGCATGTAACGTTTGTTACGGTAGAATTTCCTCAAGTTGTCTTTTTGTGTCTGGTGAATGACTGTCAAAACTCGAGCAATTGATTTCCTCACAACATGGCTGAAACGATAAAACCATAGAGTGTAATGCACTTGTCCTGCTTGAAATTCTAAATTGTCACTAAATTTCAGGGATTTCAATATCAGAATAATTATAGTGAGTAGATAAGTGAACAGTCTAGTTGTGGTATAGACAAGACATTGCCCTAGTCACACTGCACAGTTGTGGTATAAACAAGACATTGTCCAAGTCACACTGTACAGTTGTAGTATAGACAAGACATTGTCCTACAGTCCTAGTCACACTGCAGCTGTGGTATAGACAAGACATTGTCCAAGTCACACTGCAGTTGTGGTATAGGACAAGACATTGTCCTAGTCACACTGCAGTTGTGGTATAGACAAGACATTGTCCAAGTCACACTGTACAGTTGTAGTATAGACAAGACATTGTCCTACAGTCCTAGTCACACTGCAGCTGTGGTATAGACAAGACATTGTCCAAGTCACACTGCAGTTGTGGTATAGACAAGACATTGTCCTAGTCACACTGCAGTTGTGGTATAGACAAGACATTGCACTAGTCACACTGCACAGCTGTGGTATAGACAAGACATTGCCCTAGTCAAATTGCACAGCTGTGGTATAGACAAGACATTGCCCTAGTCACACTGCACAGCTGTGGTATAGACAAGACATTGCCCTTGTCACACTGCACAGCTATGGTATTGACAAGACATTGTCCTAGTCGCACTGCACAGTTGTGGTATAGACAAGACATTGCCCTAGTTACACTGCACAGCTGTGGTATTGACAAGACATTGCCCTAGTCACACTGCAGTTGTCGTATAGACAAGACATTGCCCTAGTCACACTGCACAGTTGTCGTATAGACAAGACATTGTCCTAGTCACACTGTACAGTTTTGGTATAGACAAAACATTGCATAGTCACACTGCACAATTGTGGTATAGACAAGACATTGCCCTAGTCACACTGCACAGTTGTGGTATAGACAAGGCATTGTCCTAGTCACACTGTACAGTTTTGGTATAGACAAAACATTGCCCTAGTCACACTGCACAATTGTGGTATAGACAAGACATTGCCCTAGTCACACTGCACAGTTGTGGTATAGACAAGACATTGCCATAGTCACACTGCACAGTTGTGGTATAGACAAGACATTGCCCTAGTTACACTGCACAGCTGTGGTATTGACAAGACATTGCCCTAGTCACACTGCACAGCTGTGGTATAGACAAGACATTGCCCTTGTCACACTGCACAGCTATGGTATTGACAAGACATTGTCCTAGTCGCACTGCACAGTTGTGGTATAGACAAGACATTGCCCTAGTTACACTGCACAGCTGTGGTATTGACAAGACATTGCCCTAGTCACACTGCAGTTGTCGTATAGACAAGACATTGCCCTAGTCACACTGCACAGTTGTCGTATAGACAAGACATTGTCCTAGTCACACTGTACAGTTTTGGTATAGACAAGACATTGCCCTAGTCACACTGCACAGTTGTGGTATAGACAAGACATTGCCCTAGTCACACTGCACAGTTGTGGTATAGACAAGACATTGCCCTAGTCACACTGCACAATTGTGGTATAGACAAGACATTGCCCTAGTCACACTGCACAGTTGTGGTATAGACAAGACATTGCCCTAGTCACACTGCACAATTGTGGTATAGACAAGACATTGCCCTAGTCACACTGCACAGTTGTGGTATAGACAAAACATTGCCATAGTCACACTGCACAATTGTGGTATAGACAAGACATTGCCCTAGTCACACTGCACAGCTGTGGTATAGACAAGACATTGCCCTAGTCACACTGCACAATTGTGGTATAGACAAGACATTGCCATAGTCACACTGCACAATTGTGGTATAGACAAGACATTGCCCTAGTCACACTGCACAATTGTGGGTATAGACAAGACATTGCCCTAGTCACACTGCACAGTTGTGGTATAGACAAGACATTGCCCTAGTCACACTGCACAATTGTGGTATAGACAAGACATTGCCATAGTCACACTGCACAATTGTGGTATAGACAAGACATTGCCCTAGTCACACTACACAGTTGTGGTATAGACAAGACATTGCCCTAGTCACACTGCACAATTGTGGTATAGACAAGACATTGCCATAGTCACACTGCACAATTGTGGTATAGACAAGACATTGCCCTAGTCACACTGCACAATTGTGGTATAGACAAGACATTGCCCTAGTCACACTGCACAATTGTGGTATAGACAAAACATTGCCCTAGTCACACTGCACAATTGTGGTATAGACAAGACATTGTCCTAGTCGCACTGCACAGTTGTGGTATAGACAAGACATTGCCCTAGTTACACTGCACAGCTGTGGTATTGACAAGACATTGCCCTAGTCACACTGCAGTTGTCGTATAGACAAGACATTGCCCTAGTCACACTGCACAGTTGTCGTATAGACAAGACATTGTCCTAGTCACACTGTACAGTTTTTGGTATAGACAAGACATTGCCCTAGTCACACTGCACAGTTGTGGTATAGACAAGACATTGCCCTAGTCACACTGCACAGTTGTGGTATAGACAAGACATTGCCATAGTCACACTGCACAATTGTGGTATAGACAAGACATTGCCCTAGTCACACTGCACAGTTGTGGTATAGACAAGACATTGCCATAGTCACACTGCACAATTGTGGTATAGACAAGACATTGCCCTAGTCACACTGCACAGTTGTGGTATAGACAAAACATTGCCATAGTCACACTGCACAATTGTGGTATAGACAAGACATTGCCCTAGTCACACTGCACAGTTGTGGTATAGACAAGACATTGCCCTAGTCACACTGCACAATTGTGGTATAGACAAGACATTGCCATAGTCACACTGCACAATTGTGGTATAGACAAGACATTGCCCCTAGTCACACTGCACAATTGTGGTATAGACAAGACATTGCCCTAGTCACACTGCACAATTGTGGTATAGACAAGACATTGCCCTAGTCACACTGCACAATTGTGGTATAGACAAGAACATTGCCCTAGTCACACTGCACAATTGTGGTATAGACAAGACATTGCCCTAGTCACACTGCACAGTTGTGGTATAGACAAGACATTGCCCTAGTCACACTGCACAATTGTGGTATAGACAAGACATTGCCCTAGTCACACTGCACAATTGTGGTATAGACAAGACATTGCCCTAGTCACACTGTACAATTGTGGTATAGACAAAACATTGCCATAGTCACACTGCACAATTGTGGTATAGACAAGACATTGCCCTAGTCACACTGCACAATTGTGGTATAGACAAGACATTGCCCTAGTCACACTGCACAATTGTGGTATAGACAAGACATTGCCCTAGTCACACTGCACAATTGTGGTATAGACAAGACATTGTCATCACAACTACCCTACAATTATGTTACCCCCATAAAATACATGTAGTTAATTTGTTTCAACAATTTACTAAAGTTAACAGCAATAACTATGAGTATGATGGAAGCCACATCAGTCCTATCGATCCATTATAAAATCTTCATTCTCATATCTGAGACAATAATCATCACTTGTGGCTTCACCTTAATAATCAAAATAATACCCAGGAAAAAAAATGTTGGTAGGAAAGTGTGCTTCAATATTCTCGATCAATGCGCGATACTTGAAGCAAGATAATGTAAAAATTCCAAAGTCCAAAAAGGGGCAATAATTCTGTCAAAAACTATTTTAGAGTAATTGTCCTTGGAAATTGACCTAATATGCTCTCAAATAACAGTGTGAAGTTTCAACCTATTCCCTTATGGGGAGACCAACTAGAACGTCAAGACTTGACAAAAATATGAACATTAGTTCCTACCATACTGAATTGTAAATTGTAGTAAAGGTTTGCTTGTACTTGAAACAAATTTGTTGCAGTAGTTCTGTTTAAAGGCTTAGGCAGCATTAAAACAATGTTCATAATATTCTATGCAGTACATGTAGTTTTAATGCAAAAAATAAGAGACAAAGAACAGGAAAGACAAATAATATGCCCTCCCTGTTTTGAAAGCTTGCCAAATAAGACACTGACACATCTGAGCAATAAAGCTAGCCAACACAAGGTGTTTTTTTTACTTATAAATGCTTATATAAAATATGCAGGCCACATCAGTCCTATCGATCCATATTACATAAATCTTCATTGTTTTAATCTGTATCAATGATCATCACTTGTGGCCATATCATTTCTTGACAGTTATAATTCAGTGCATGTTTGTACGACATTCAGCTGAAAACCAGTTAGTTAAATCTTAACTAAGGCAAGCATCTTTGTTTCCACGACTCGTGCTAGTTTGGGAAGGGTAGGTAGGTCAGTAAATAATTGAGAATATGGAGTTCAAAACAAGCATCTGTTTGAAGTTTAGAACCATTTTTTCAGTTTTATCCAACATTTATCCCAGCTTATATATTCACAATTCAAAAACATGTGACAGATATAAAGATGTGATTCTCATTGACACACACTTCCAGGTTTAGTAAAAAAAAAAATTTTGTGCTTGGCAATAAATTTGGGGTAGCTGTGCTTTTTATAGGTAGGTAAAGGGAGGGGAAACAAACAAAATTTTATTTTAGGTGCAATAGATCTAAATTCCAGCATTGACAGTCCTAAATGTTGCTGACTTACTATTTCTTTACCCTCTTATGAATTACCTTGTAGAATCATATAGATTCTTAGCAAATTGTACTAAACCAAATCTGAACAACAAGTCTTATGTCCTGTTAAGGAAATGACCTAAATTATATTTAAGCAAATAAACAATAGATTATATGGTTGATAAATTCAGATTTACTGTAAAAGCCACATCAGTCCTATCGATCCAAAATAAAATCTTCATCGTATATCTGAAACTAGAATCATCATTTGTGGCTTTTATTGGTTAAGTTACCTTTTCCTTAATATTTTAATTTATCAAGCTAATTTCTATTGCAGACCTGTCAAGTTTTGAATTTACAAAATCCATAAAAATTTCATGTGTTTAAAGATAAAAATTCTGATAATAGTGCAGTTTAAAAGCAACCCTGGCTGAATATCATTTAGTTAACATGATTGACATCAACGACATTGTATCAAATTGGGCATTAAGGAAGTTAAAAATATGAATGCATACTGTTGAAAGTTTTAGCATACAATGAAAACACTTCACTTCAGTACAAATATGTGGGTTAGCATCATCGGGTCTAGGATTTCATTATATTTATGGACAGTCCGCAAATCCCCGGACAATCCATAATTTCACAGAGTTTCCTGCAAATTTACAGACATTAAGAAAATAGTAAAAGTTGCAATGAAATTTAAAACCGCAGGTTAAAATGAATAAGGTTAGGTATTATATGATTAAATGTAACAGTTTGCTAAGATTCAGAACAGTTTGATGACTTTCAATTTTCACTTTTAACAAAAATTTCAAAATCATCATACAAAGATGAAACTCACCCCATTACCTTTGTAAATATAAACAATCAATAAAACAACTTGTCTTTAGCTGCGGATTTTATTGTAATACTAAAAACAGCAAATTTCACATTGAATATCTGTAAATTTATGGATTGAAAAATCTAAATTTCTAGACCGTCCACAAATCCACGGACAGTCCATAAATATCATGAAATCCTAGACCTGATCATATCTTAAAATAATAATATTTCAATGTAAGTGTTAAGGATTTTGCCATTATTTTTGTACTTACATTTTTGCTAGTTTAGAGGCAGCTCCACCAGTTACCTTGGCAACACGAAGACTCTGTAATTCCTGGAATAAAGATATATTATATTTATATTAATTTTCATTACAAAGATCAACTGCTCTGAAAATATTTAAAACATCTAGATTCAAATTCGTTTTTTTTTAATGAAATATGTAATTACAAAATTTTAAAGGAAACGTTTATTTTTAAAGAAACTCAGTAATCATGTGCATCATATAAATTATAAATACAAAAAAAAACATTTAGAAAATCCATCTAAAAATATCCAAAAATAAAAATTCCCATTCTATTTTCAATAACCATATACATTGGCTTTTATAAAATGTTTTGATCCTCATTACTGGTTCAAAATAACGATTATGGAATTTATTAAGTGAGGCATTTTCCTAAAACATGCATCACAACTTACTGTTTTTAGTTCCAGGAGCTGCTTCTGAAGATCTTCCTTTCTTTTGCCACGGAGCTCCTTAGCCTTCACTTTGACTGTCGCCTGAATAAATATATATATAGTCGCAATGATAAAAACCTGCAGAAAACTTTTTATAGTTTAGAAATAGTTGTCTTTTACCGACAAATTTACTTATCACTTGAAACTTTAGCATAGACATAATCACTGAGATATACACTAAATATACTGCAATTAAATGATTCTATAAATCAAAATTACACAAACATCTAAACATTCAGGTCAAGATTTAGTCCAATAGATTAGACGTTACAGGCTTGTTATAGTTTTATCTTGGTCAAGCCTGACGTCTAATAGTTATTGCTCATAAACGCGTAGCATTTTGAAAAATTAAAAAAATGTCTGTTGGCTTGCCTTTCAAGCTTTATTCAAAAGCTTATCTTCTGTTCTTTCAATTGCATGGTCTATTATTAACAAAAACTTTCAAACAATGTACTTATCAATTAAAAATAAAATAGAATTATCAGTCTGTTTCGCTCATCGGCCATACTGGTTAAGTAAAGCATTTTACAGATTGATTCCAATTTTTTGACCGGAAAAAAATATTCGAACACACTGACGGTGCATGGGCAATTATTTCGTTAAAAAAATATTCCGTTAGAAACATCTGGACTCATTTAAACGCTTGCATTTGTATTAGCCAATCAGATTTCGCGCACTTTATGGCGGCCATTTGTATATCGGCTGTACAAGGAATTTAATTAAATGAGAGGATTTAATCATGACTTTTCGGATGTGACAGTTAAATTATTTTGTCAAAAGGTATTTATTTTTTAGTTTTGTTTATAAATAGGTCAAAATTAATGTAAATACAGGCTGTTTTAATTGTTTAAATTCATTAGATCTAAATCGATGTCTAATGTCAATTTTTTTGCTACACGATTTTGCAAAGATCTGTTAAGACCTAACGTAACATGGAAAATGAAAAAAGTAAAATATCAGATTAATGAATGATGAATATGAAATAGGTTACGTATAGGTCTTATATTTAGGACTAGTCAAGATTGTGTTTATACATTTCAACCTTTTACTTTGGAAAGGTATTAAATATTTATCCTGCAATAAGTCAGATTACATGTACTTCAATTTTAGCTTAGTTACTTCTTAATGTAACAAAAAGATACCCATAGGGGTATATAAGTACTAAAGCAGTACACTTGTCAACAAGAGCCACAACAGCCTAAATAAGCTGATATCTATTACAAGGTTCATTTTGTTTTCATAGCTGAATATGGGTAATCTCCTGGATTCAGTTGATTCTGAGTGACATTATTAAATGCGGTTTTAGAACAACTGTTTTATCATATTTGGAGCACTTCTAGAATCTGTCCACAGCAAAATCTATACACTATATATTAATTGGTTCCGTTTACTAGTTTTATACATATATATATGCAAGTTCGACTTTAGAAATACATTTATAAGAGGTCTACTCCAGGAGATTGCTCAATGTGACTAGCATGTTAGTTGTCTGATTGAATAATTAGGAACACTACATTATGAAACACATGTATTAGAAAAGAATTAGCAGTCTACAGGATTAAACCACCACACCCCCTTCCCCCCCCCCCCCTCCCAGTTTTTGAGTACATATTCCAACAAGACAGAATAGGCCAAATGTGTCAACCAGGATGACAAACTACATACAAGGTTCATTCTTCTTTCTTCAGTGTATTATACATGTTATATACAAGTTTTACTTTTCAAATTCATTCAAATATAAATAGATGTCTAATCCTGGAGATTGCAACGTCAAAAATTGTGACAATTTTTTTTACTGACAGTTCAAATTATTGATTTGCATCATTTGGTAAACATATGGTCATGCAAAAGTTATGTACACATGCCTTTAAAATAAGGATTGATACCAAATGTCATTTTTTATCAATTTTAATTCAAAATCTCTTTGATTTCTATTGGAATTCTCAAATATTATAGAAACATTATAGCTGAAGAAAACGCTTCGGTAGAACATTTTGCCAATTTCAAATTGCTAAAATTAGCATTTACAATATAAAACAACATATCATTCTATTGCAAATTGTATAAATCCTCTTTTAAAATAGATTAAAACATACAGATTCAACCAGATAAAAACCAAGTGTTTTATTTACCATGTTTATGGGAAAAATACCGGAAGTAGAAAGACTTTAGCAAAGTCAACATGGTGAAATATTCGAATGTAAAATATCCATATGTTAATTTATTTTATTTTATTGACCGTTTTTTATTATTATTGAAAAAGAATTCTTCATATGATTTATTTCGAGATAATCTATAATGATAAATATTTTTCCGAAAACACGGCTGGTAGAGCTATCATCAAAGTAAGGAAGTGAAACTTTACTTCCGGGGTGTGAAGCAAGAACTTGGAATTTTATACAAGGCAACATGTCCAAGAATACTGCATCGAACAAATTTAGGAAGGTTAATGTTGATGATTTTGACCCCGAAAACTTCAAAGATGACACCGTAGAGGGAGAAGAACAAGGTCCTAATGAATCTGAAGTGAACAGTTTTCTAACACAATATCCTTTCTTAAAAATAAAATTCGTGTAAGAAAATGTTATGAAAGATACATGATTGTTTTAAATTGTAAGCATGAATGAACTAAACTATAAAGCCTCAGTGGTGCTAAAAGAAATAAATGTAAATTATGTTTATTTTTTTAAATTAACAGGAAGCAAAATCACAGGGAGTCCTGGCTTCCAAAACTTTATAAGCCACTTTTTTTTACATTTTTTCTTTCGCCTGATGCAGCATTTAAGTTTTGAATCAGACCCGTTATGAAACCTTACCTGGATAATACATGTAAGTGACATCTTGTTTAAATTTACAAATATTCATGCTCATTATCCGATTAAAATATCATTTCAGCATCGTTCTAGACTCTCTGAATTATTTTAAGTCTGTCTATACCATTGCATATCATACTGCAAAACATCAATCACAGATGTCTTCTGGTGTGGGACCACTAAAACCGGACAGCCACCAAACCTTGAATGCCTCGAAAATGCTTTAAGATTTAGTTTAACCTTTTTTCTTTGGCTGTGACTAAAAAAAATTGATTGGAGCACCACACTAAATACCGTATTCCGGTATATACCGGACAAGGCGCTTGAATGATAAAATGCTAAAATCTTGTCTTTTTACCCAACGGAATGAACTTTAACAGGTCTAATTCATCTTTTCACTCCGAATCAAGTACGATAATCAAGGAAAAATGTAAAATTCGGCGAAAAAAACGATATTTGTCTATTTTGTGATCATGATTTCTGCAAGCGTCTAGAGGTACTGCTCCAATCCTGTATTAAGCTAAATCCTTTTTCTTTGTTCAGCGGTTTTCGATCTATCAGTCACCTTTTTATCAACAATAATTGCATATTTCTTGTATAATTAAGTAATTTGATTTATTTCACTATCGTAAATGGTAGTATATTGCAGTTCTTGATGCTGCAATGTAGGTTTGTTTCACAGTATGGCACTAGTTAGCAAGTCAGGTTAGGTGTGGTTTGGTGTGGTTATAACACTGATCAGTGATAAAGGATGGAGGTAATCAGGTCAGAAGTGGAATTGTATTGATCTTGCAAAAATCGATTTTAAATTCAAAGCAATTTCAGATTCAGAATTGATACACAGATTAGAAGTTGCTGAATACATCAAACTTGGCAATGTACATCATGATCATACGATCATTATGTCTTGAAAGTGATGTCAAATCTTGCCAGACAAATAAGTAAGGATTGACCCTCACCAAACATAGACTACATAATTATGTACAATGTGAGATGATGCGTCATATTAAGCAAGTACAAATTCTATCATGATGTTTTATTTTCACTGTCTCTCTGTATGTAACTATTGCAACACCTTTAAAACAATAAATGTTTAAATGGTTTATTTATTCTTCTGTGAATGAGCTAGTGTATTGATACTGTATTTCTTGTTAGTTCTTTTAAATTTGCTTAAATTAAAACAAGGTCTTTTATATTTGCTTAAATTAAAACATTTTATAGAAAACATATTGTGATCCTTGACTTTAAGAACAGGAAAAAATGTAGATGCACTGGAAGTTATTTTAAGACACCCTCCTCTTGGAGCTAAAAGTCAAGCAGTGAAGGTAAGAATTTTAGCATTGCTGTTTTAGTCTTTTTTATCAATGTAAAAATGCATAAGAGGAATAAAAATATACTTCAGTGTTTAACCCTACTTTTCTAAGAATAGGAAGGGCTATTGTACTCACCCATGCATCAATGTTGGCATTGCTGTCACTCTTTGGTTAAGTTTTCACGCGTAAGTAAGTACCTACTGGGAATGGGTGTAAACTTCACACAATTGTTCTCTGTGATTATCTAACATGATAATTGTACACAGGTCCCATAACTCTGAGTTCACTTTTTTTACAGAGTTATGCCCCTTTCCTACTGACGCACACTGAAAATAGTCAAGCGTACTGTCTTATGTTTATGTTAATGCTCATTTAACAAGATCTATCTTATGTTTATGTTAATGCTCATTTAACAAGATCTATCAAACACAAAAAGATATACCCAATAGATTTACAATAAATCTGCTAGGCTTCTGAATTCATGACTTTCCCTGATTGGACTTTGGAACTGTCCTTTAATAGATTAGTTAGGTAGTTTCAATGTAGATCTGAAAATTCTTTACCAATAACCTGCTCAATTTGAGAAATGGATAATTTGTCTTGGTCTGCACTGGTCGCATAGATATCTTCAGTTGCCTCCAGCAAGCTAAGGGTTATAATTAATGCATTATGTATGTATCACAGGATAAAGCTGTAAATTTGTGCATTCTGTATGTATCACAGGACAAAGCTGTAAATTTGTGCATTGTGTATGAATTACAAAGCTGTAAATTTGTGCATTTTGAATGTATTACAGGACAAAGCTGTAAATTTGTGCATTCTGTATGTATCACAGGATAAAGCTGTAAATTTGTGCATTGTGTATGAATTACAAAGCTGTAAATTTGTGTATTTTGTATCTGTTACAGGACAAAGCTGTAAATTTGGCTATTAGAGTTCTTACGTCTTTTAAAACATCAGAAATAGACGGTGCAGTGAAATCATTAGACAGTAAACTTCTAGACGTTCTTATGAAATATATCTACAGAGGGTTTGAATTTCCGACAGAGGGAAGCAGTGCCTCTCTTCTAACCTGGCATGAAAAGGTAACTTGATATATAAATTATGGGGTCTACTTTATAGAAACATGTACCTTTACATTAGGTTGTGAGACATAAAGTATTCACATTATACATACAGGTACAGAGATATATGAGCCGTGTCACGACAAAAACAACATAATTGGTTTGCGACCAGCATGGATCCTGATCAGACTGCGCGGATGCGCAGGCTGGTCTTGATCCATGCTGTTCCCTATCAGTTTCTCTACTTGTAATAGAGTTGGTAAGCGAACAGCATGGATCCTGATCAGACTGCGCGGATTATGTTGGTTTTGTTTTGACAGGGCTCATATAATAAAAGCTGTTACATGTGAAGCTGTGATATGTGAATTAGTGACTCATATATTACTGACGCATGAAAAATCAACCATTTGCATTGAAACACTCTCAAATCCATTCCAGGAACCAAGCAATACTAAGCAATGAGTGTAAAGATTCTTGCTCTTGCCCCTGAAAGGGTTTGAACTCGCGCGGTCAGCAATCCTCAGATTACTAGTCCGACATGTTAACCACTTGGCCACGCTGCCACTATTTATCATTTTCATGTTTTAGAATAGTGTGATTTTGCGTTAAAATAAATGTAACTATTAGTTAAATGTTAGTCATATGTTGTTGTTTCTTTTGTTTCAGGCATACAATGTGGGTGGAGCAGGTTCAATTGTTCGAGTTCTAACTGACAGGAAAAGAGTTTAAACATTTTAGGTCATCACTACTAATCTATTAGGTCTCACTGCTTGATATTATTGTTTTTCAAGAGTGTTATCATGCAGTAAAGCAATCTTTTTGCATGGAAATAAGTTATGGTTAACTATTAAAATGTGGCATCTTTTGGAAATTATTTAACTTTTGATATTAGTAAATTGGATTTCTTTAAAACATTTTTATGCAAAGTGACCAGAAAAATTAATCTATATATCCTCAATGGCTGGTTAGTTAAAGAACAAAAATAATTTTGTGTCTGAGTGAAATTACAGTGTAAAATATAGAGACTTAGGTCTTTATTTACAATAAATGCACTGAAATTTATTAGAAAATTTGTCAATAATTGATGAACATACATTATTTTTCGTCCATTCATTGCTAATGCATTTATTGTTTGTTTTGTGCATGATAATATTGGTTTTGGGGTTAATTGTCATATTTGGCTTCAATAGGAAGACAATCAGTCATAATTTTGTCAAGCAAACTATGCCATATATAATATTTTTCATAAAAGGAAAACATCTTTTATAGAAGAAGTAGTATAAGTGTTGAGGCTTTTACCATTCCATCGCTTTTTAAGATAAAAAGTGCTATTTTTACATAATACAAAAAATGTATGGATTTGTGGATCATGTGTGAACAAGGTGACATTTGAAATAAGAGAGATACTGTCTTTTTACATCATGCCTTTAATATTTTTTATCATACATAATCTATCATGCCATAATGAACAATTTTCAATGATAGACAATATATAGATTTTTTTTAAAATTCAGAATTTAAGTACATGTATCCAATTGAAACTTTTTGTTAATGAAAATATGCTTTAAAATGACTAGCTCTGGATTTAAATAAATTAATTTCCCAAGATATGTTCTCTAAAGTGCTTAATTGTGCTAATTGCCCTTAACCTATAACTTGCTTTGCATATCAAAGAACCCTTTGTTATTAAAACAATTTTCATACAATGTTTCCATACCATGTCATTTTGATACATATTATATTATTTCTGTTTTGTTGATGTAAAATATTGACCAGTTATTAAGACAATATGCAATAATAAATAATACATATATTCTGATACAATCTTTGTTTTTATTATCACTGACCTTTGCTCATTTGCATGAACCTTTCTCATTTGCATATTCATGATGTATGCATAAGGTCAACATAAATATCACGTTTTGACATGTATTGTCATATTGAAAATGAACCTTGACCCCTAATTGAAGTTCAAGGTCAAATTTTCAATATTCTGGAAATTTTTCCTTGCCTTTAGTATTGATTTACAGATCTGGGACATTAGCATTTGTGCTTTTAACAAAATAAACTATTTAGATAGGTAAATGAAGCCAGCATTATTACAACTATTTACAGCATAAAGTATTTTATAGGAATGGCAGCAAGCCCAGACATCCACAATTTTTCAGCACATTAAAAAAAACATGGAGGGGAATTAAGTGTCGGAATTAAAAATAAATTTAAAATTGATAGAAATTGTCTAGAAACCCAGTCAAACATGTTAGCACACTTAATAATGAAGAAAATACCAGCACAACTTACTGAATGAACCTATCTATTTTATTAAAATGTGGAGGAAAACAAACAACAAATTGACTGAATGGGCCTTTAAAAAGAACACAACTGAGAAATGGTACTCTTGACAGCCTGTCACGATTACACTACTGAGAAATAGCCCAACTGACTGAATAAACCTTTCAATATTATAATAGGTAACTGAATAGCAATTACAGTTAAAAAAAAAATAGCACAATTGACAATATAAGATTCGCTTCGCTTAAACGAAAATACATAATTTATCACCTAATAAGAGTTATAAGACCTTTAGTCTGGGACAGAATAAACAACAACACTGAAATAGGATGAAGGCCAATTATATTCTAACATTTGGCTTATCTTGATGTAACTAACTACAACAATGGCTATCGAAATAATCGTATTATACTACGTCACAACTAATTTAACCGTGCATCTATAACTCTTAAACTGCAATAAAAACATTTTTTATTAACAAAGAGAAAAAGCACAATCGGCTTAATGAGCCTTTAACAATTACACTTATGTCTACTGAAAAAATAGCACTATTGACTGAAAAGAAAGGGCACGTTTTAAACAATTTCAACAGCAGCGAAATAGCACATGTAATTGGCTGAATGAGCCTTTAGCAATTACACTACCGCTAGGACAGAAAGATACAAGTTATCCGAGAAAAAGCAAATATATTGCTATTCAATGGATAATCGTAATGTATATATGAATATGTTCAATATGCACAGAGGCTGTAAATTTAGACAGAGTAATATTTCATTTTCATTAAATACAAATTTTTTTTTTAAAAAATAGGCTGATGAAAAAAATGACCGAATTTCTGTACTCAACATTGAAAATGACCCAATTATGTTCTCAACGTCAAAACAATGACCCTATTTCTGTTCACAAGGTTGAAAAAACGACCAAGGCTCCGTTCTTAGCGTTGAAAAATGGCCCATTTTCTGTTTTCAACGTTGAAAAAAATGACCAAATGGCTCTTTCTCACCGTCGAAAAATGGTACAACGGGTTCAAAATTAGACAATACACAATAAATGACATTATAAATGCATATCAAATACAACAGCATTATGAGCATCAATAACATTGCTTTATTTTACAGTTTCGGTTTATACCGAAACATCTATGAAAACATACTAAGAAACAAAAAAATGTACAAGATGGTTTAAACGAAGTCATGCAATTACTTTATACTCGTACGTAACCAAAGAAATATTGTCTCAAACCAAGGAAAACATGTTTCTTAATAGCTCTTGATACAGTGTCACAGGTCCATCTGGTCGGGTGGCAATATTTTGCGGGATTTTCAAAGATGTGACAAAAATGTATTGCAGCTTATCATGCCGCCACGTCATCGTGTTGCTTTAAAGGCCCATAAAGCCTCAGAAATGCTATCATTTTTTTTAATTTTCAAAAACTTTTTTACTTTTGGTGTCCTATTTTAGTTTCAAAAAAGGTTACACATTTGCTTTATAGCTGAAACATCTTTAAATTTGTTTCTTTCTCGTTTTATCAATGAGACATCATTAAATTTGTTTCTTTCTCGTTTTTTCAATGAGTACAGTTAAATTGATTTATTATATTGTGTATGGATATCAAAATACTACTTTGTTTACATTTTGCTACCTTTATGACAAATTATTTCTCATCCAGTACCATTTTCTTTAAGTGATACGCATTTTGCAAGTTCTAAATTCATTATTAATAAATTTATGTCTTTCTGCAGAGTGAAAAATCATTCATTTCTGAGGCATAATGTTCAAATTTCGTCTGTAGTGTCGCTCTTTTATGCAAAGAAACTGGATATGCTACAAAGACCAAACGGTATCGGAAAATGCCAATTCTGTAACAATATTGAAGATGAATCTTTTTTCAATATGTTTTGTTTTCTTGATTGCTAATGAACAATGACTTGCGAAGAAGAATATTTTTGATATGTTTCTTTTTCTTGATTGCTTATGTACAATGACTTGCGGTAAATATGTTTTTGTGTAAAGACAATACATTTTCAAGATTGTCTAAAACGCAATAACTGATATTTCTGTTTATTGAAAAGACTTTACACCAAACCATGTTTTGCTATTTTTCAACGCCCTCCTTTCTTCTTTCATAAATTAACTCAAACTAGTATACAAATGTCGCTTCTTTATTATCAATAAATTGGTTTTATAACCTAAGGACCTAATTTATGTTATTGCGATAATAATCTTTACATAAATATTGTTTTTTTAAACGTGTCTGAAGATGGTATAGTTATTTTGAAAGTCGAACAAACTTTGTTGTATTTATTAGATAAACTAATTCTCTAGGGTATGTTAAGCTACGAAGTGACGTCTTGTTGAATTATATAAATTGGCTAATAAAGTTTTAACCATAATATCTGGAGTTTTAACTGGTCACTTGCATGGTCGTGTGATTAGAGTAGTGTACATATAATTTCAAATAGTATGATCTCTTAAAAAATGAACCGTTGTAAGATAGTAAATGGTATACACAAAGGAGTACTAATTTGTTTGGTTTTGTTGTTGTATTTTCTGTCATACATATCTATTGCGCCAGATAAACGCTTGCCCGTTGTACTAAACAACACTGAACGTACAAGATCTTATAATAAACGTATAAATATACAAACAAGTACATATGCAACTAATTTGAAAACTTCTATATCAGTAAGTACTTCAGCAATTTCTTACAGCAGCAAAAGTCGTACGATAATCGAAGATGATCGCATGATAAACGAAAAGGAACACATGAAAAACGAAGACCATATGGAAAACAAAAAGAATCACTTCATAAACAATGAGGATAATGTGCCAAACGAAGAAGATAACGTGATAAAAGAAGATGACCGTATGGGAAACTACGATAATCACGTGATAAACAAGGAGAATCGCTTGCCAAACAAAGAAAATCACGTGATAAGCGAAGATGACCATTTTGAAAACGAAGAGGAACACGTGATATACGAAGATGACCCTATGAAAAACGAAGAGAATCACGTGATAAACAAAAAGAATCACGTGGCAAACGAAGAAAATCGCGTGATAAATGGAAATAAATATATGGAAAACGTAGATAATCATGTGATAAACGAAGATGATCATATGAAAAGCGAAGAGAATCACGTGATAAACAAGGAGAATCACTTGCCAAACCACGAAAATCACGTAATAAGCGGAGATGACTATATGGAAAACGAAGATCGCGTGATAAACGAAGATAACTATATGAAAAACGAAGAGAAACACGTGATAAATAAAGAGAATCGCTTGCAAAACGAAAAGGATCACGCGATAAACGAAAAGGATCAAATAGAAAACGAAAAAGATCGCATGGTGAACGAAAAAGATAACCCTTTGTACCAAGATAGTCGCATGGTAAATGCAGAGGATAATAAAATAAACGAAAATAAAAACAGTAAAATGAAAGAAGACAAAATGTTGAATAAAAACGTTTACGCGTTAAACGAAGAGGAGCGAATAATAAACGAAAGATACTTTGGAGAAAACACAAATCGGAAAATAATTGGCTGCAAGGAACTTTTCAAAAGAGAAATGTCGGGAGCAAACAGAGTTCGAAAAATTGTCACTCAGGGTTTACCATCTTGGACACCCCAAAAATATGAAGAAAAGACTAAAAATTGTTCATCTTTTATCGATGAAAGAGGGTATATAACACATCCTTTGACAACAGAAGAACAACAGTTTCCCATCGCGTTTAGCATTTTAATGTATAAAAATGTCGAACAAGTTGAACGTCTTTTACGTGCAATATATAGGCCACAAAATATTTACTGTATACATGTGGATTCAAAAACTAATATTGAAATATATGGAGCGTTGTCAGGGATTTCACAGTGTTTTGAGAATGTTTTCGTTTTACGCAAAAGAATAAATGTCATATGGGGTAAGATGTCCGTACTGACACCAGAACTTTTATGCATGGAGGAACTTTGGAAAAGACATAAAACGTGGAAATATTTTATTAATCTAACAGGGCAAGAATTCCCGCTGAAGACAAATTATGAACTAGTGAAAATTTTACAGGCCTATAATGGTGCTAATGACGTAGAAGCCACTGTTAAACAGTAAGTAATATCTTTAAAACATTCATGTAAAACAATGACATAGAGATCTATTGATAATTTGTTTGCCAATTTTCCATTGCGTATATACATGCATGTCAAAAATTTTGATAACAGTTTATGTTGACGAAAAATAGGATTCAATCAAGTACATGTATTTTATTAATAGTATCAATATTATTTAAGGAGTGGAATAATCAAGTGGTTTACTTTATTAAGATAAAAAAAAACAGACAAATATACATGTTTACAGTCCATGCCTAGCATTTTCACAAAATTGAAGGAAACGATTTTTTCGCCTTATATATAGCTCTCGACGAATAAAGCGCACCAGTAACTTTATATCCGTTGCGCTTTAATAACGCATATAGCTCTATAAGAGGTACTATATATTTATGCTCTTTCAAAGCAATATTTGAGACGTAGAACCGTCCGGTTAGCTCAATAGGTAGAGCGTTGGACTGTGAATTGGGCGACCTGAGTTCGATTCGCGGACGATGCAGGTCACTTTCGTTGTGATTGATCATGAAAGCCTTTCTACGTGCGTTCGCACTGTACCTCTGCGTTCGCATGTACATAAGTTATCAGTTCCTTGCGAAAGAGAGGGCAACTAGTACAAGGCACCTAGTATTGGTAAACTGCTTGACAGTCTGCCCAGGAACGATGCGGTGGCTGAACTATGCGCTTGTAATTTCTCATTGTGACTTAGTGTCGTGATCCGTAGTGTAAACTACCAACATCACAACCATATATGAGGCGTAACAGACCTCAGAAAATGCCTATATATTGTCAAATTGTTTATGAATATTTATAATAATGTATTAATATTATTTGTTTGCAGAAACCTTGGAAGATGTAGAGGAATAAGCAGAACCCGTCCCCCTCACGGTATTCGAGTAACTAAGGGTGCGGTCCATGTAGCCGTTACCCGGGGATACGTTGATTATGTTTTACATGACCGTAGAGCTCGTGATATTTTAAAATGGATGAGTTACTCATGTTACATACCAGACGAAGCGTTCTTTACAACGCTCAATCATAATCCACATTTACACGTGCCTGGATCTTATAAAGGTAGAAATATTCGCAAATATTATTTTATAGAAGTATTAAAAGATGATAAATGTATGTGTTCTAAACATATTTTCATATACAATTTCACTTCTCCTCACACTACGATGAAAGCTACCTATAAAAAAATATTGTTTTCACTCAAATTAGACAGATACATGAAATTATAGGGACTCCACTGAGGTTAAAAAGGCTTATGTTTTACATAAATAAGCTGGGGATACTTTAAACAGAAATATATGCAAAGATAGTTAAGAAATATACTTTGAAATAACTTGAAAATCTTATTTTTATGCTTTTCTTAGCCCGATTTGAGTGAAAAGTGTTTAAACGCTTTTCATTTTGGGTAATATTTTACCAATTTGCATAATCATTCTGGAAAAACGAAGAGCGCGATTGATCTAAAATTTTTGCACAAAGATTAGTGTTCTAAACCTTCATCAAATGGTATATTTATCTGGGGGAAATATTTTCAGTCCCATCATGTCAAAACAACAAACAAAGTAAAACAATATCTGAACCACTTTGGGCATGGATTGTTTTGTACATAAATGATTCTTCAATATTTGTTATATTATATACATTATATTTCGAATTTATAATCATCTACTGTATGTTTTCTCCCTTCAGGTTATCCAGAAACTAGTCCAATGTCAAACACGAAGAAACCATATTTAGCTCGTTTCAAAAACCGGCTAAATTCCCGGATCCATCGATGGCCGTGCCATGGAAAATGGGTTAGGAGCATGTGCATCTTTAACTTCAAGGATCTGCATACACTGTCGACACGTAAAGAACTGTTTGCTAATAAATTTCATCTTTATGATAATCCTTTACCATACGCGTGCATGGAGGAATTGATATTTAACCGCACACGTGACGAATTTCAAGGGACAAGAACGTTTAATGCGAGTTGGTATTCAACCCTTGGTTTTGTTAAGAGACATGTTTAATAATATAATGTTATTATTATACATTGTTGAGTACAATATTGGACGAGGTCAAAGCTGTCAAGCCCATATTGAACGATGCACTAGCATACCACCATTTTTCTGACATTTTGACAAGGAATTACAGTTGAGTTCACACTAAAGGTTACACAAAGTGCACTGGGAGTGCACTAGATGTGCACTTCTAGTGCACAAGACCTTTTATTGTGTCGCCTTGAAAAAGGCTTTTGTCGGCGGTGTCGTCGTCGTTGTCGGTGTCGTTGTCTTTGTCGGCGTCCCATTAAGCTTGTCCGGAGCATAAGTCAGTCATTATAAGTCGGATTGACTTCAAACTTGCTATGCATGCTTCTTATAATGACCCGAAGTGCAGTGCACAAGAACCGGTACTCTGCACTTCTTATTTTCTGAGTTATTGCCCTTTGTTAATTTTCAAACTTTATTTTTGTCCGGGCCATTTCTCCTAAAGTATAAAATCTATGGACTTGAAACTTCATAGGATGATAGATCTCATTAAGAAGAAGTGCAGTGCACAAGAACTGGTACTCTGCATTTCTTATTTTTTGAGTTATTGCCCTTTGTAATTTTCATACTTTATTTTTGTCCGGGCCATTTCTCCTAAAGTATAAAATCTATGGACTTGAACTTCATAGGATGATAAGGTGTCGGCGTCGTTGTCGTTGTCGGCGTCGTTGTCGGTGTCGGCGTCGTTGTCCCCTTAAGCTTGTCCGGAGCATAAGTCAGTCATTATAAGTCGAATTGACTTCAAACTTGCTATGCATGCTTCTTATAATGACCCGAAGTGCAGTGCACAAGAACCGGTACTCTGTACTTCTTATTTTTGGAGTTATTGCCCTTTGTTAATTTTCATACTTTATTTTTGTCCGGGCCATTTCTCCTAAAGTATAAAATCTATGGACTTGAAACTTCATAGGTTGATAGATCTCATTAAGAAGAAGTGCAGTGCACAAGAACTGATACTCTGCATTTCTTATTTTTTTGAGTTATTGCCCTTTGTAATTTTCATACTTTATTTTTGTCCGGGCCATTTCTCCTAAAGTATAAAATCTATGGACTTGAAACTTCACAGGATGATAGATCTCATTAAGAAGAAGTGCAGTGCACAAGAACTGGTACTCTGCATTTCTTATTTTTTGAGTTATTGCCCATTGTTAATTTTCATACTTTATTTTTGTCCAGGCCATTTCTCCTAAAACTAAATAGGATGATAGATCTTATTGATAAGAAGTGCAGTGCACAGAAACTGCTGCTCTGCATTTCTTATTTTTTTGAGTTATTGCCCTTTGATGATTTACAAATTTCATTTTTGTCCTGGCCATTTCTCCTAAACTATATTGTTCACAAGGCGACACATCCGACTCGCGGAGTTCTAGTATGTATTATGCAGTTACTTATTTCAATAAATAACAATTAGACTTTTACACACAAAAAAAAAGATAAATGTATAACAGGTTTTCATTATAAATTTGAAGTTGTGAATATTGAATTTTGTAAAATATGGTGTAAAATATTAGAACAAATTCAATATCATCAATATATAGTTCTGATTGGCTACTTTAAAACTTAATTGTTATTTTAGTAAGTGAATATAAATTTTTATAACTTTAATGTTGATAAGTGCATAAATAAACAATTTATTGATATTTAATATGATTTTATTGTATAATACTCTGGTCAGTCTTTTTTCTTCTTTTTTTTTTGTGGGGGGGGGGGGGGGGCAAATTATACCAATTACGGTAGTTAGTTTTGATCTTAACTGGTTGTTTTAGTTGAAGGTAATGAATTTAAAACATGAATAGCCTTTAATACATTAAAGAATTAATATGTTTATAAATGAGATATATTTTATTCTGAAAATAAATATTTATATATATATTGGTGGTATGTTTGAAATGTGGATTAAGTCTTGATAAATAGTCTTAGGGGCACTTGAATACTTAAATTGATACGAATATTACAAAAAGTAGAAACTCTTTCAATTCCATTTTTTGAGATGACAACAGTCTTTTTTCTTTCATTTTTCATGCATTGCATTGTAACCGATGCAATAAGATTATTTTTTATAAGTTTATAATAAAATGCAAAAATATTTTAGTTTTCTTTTTTCTTTTTATATACTACATTCTACTTGTAATGAAATATATAGCACATACAGAATTTACATTGCCTACTTATAATCAATCTCATGTTATTTATCCTGGGGGCTCTCTTATCAGCAGGCTACTATATAAAAACACTACTACAAAGCATGAATGATTTTTGATACTTTAACCTTCTTTGGCAAATTTGTAAAAAAATAGACACTCCTATTTCAGAAAATAAAAGATGCTGCAAATTTTAATGCAGAATGGCAAGAAATATGGATTAATATTGATATGAAGTCTTTCTAGAATAGTTAACACTGATATGGATTTTAAACAAGTTTTTAACCAAAAGTCATTTTAGTGTGGTGCTTGTCCGTCTGTCTGTCCGTTGGCCACATCAATGTCTGCTTAATATTGTATTATAATATATGTTCTATCCTTAAAGTCCACAAGTTAATATGATATACATTGTACATGTAATGACAAAGGCTGATAAAAAATAAGAAAAACTCCCTGATTCATTTATCATCTTTAATAAATATACATAGTATAGTATAACACATTTGAGCCGCGTCATGACAAAACCAACATAATGCGTTTGCGACCAGCATGGATCCAGACCAGCCTGCACATCTGCGCAGTCTGATCAGGATCCATGCTGTTCGCTATCAGTTTCTCTACTTTTAATAGATTTGGTAAGCGTACAGCTTGGATCCTGATCAGACTGCGCGGAGGCGCAGGCTGGTCTGAATCCATGCTGGTCGCAAACGCACTATGTTGGTTTTGTCATGACACCGCACATTTGTAAACAGATGATACATTAAGCAGTTAAATATTCAACACTCATATTTTCTATCCAGTTTATCAACATGTTTTTATATGTTAATATAATATTGCAAGCATCCATCTTATTCTTATAGCATGGAATGTATATTGTTGTCCATTGTAAAGATATAAGTATGTGCATAATAAAAAGAAAATTATGTTTGATCCAAGACAAATCAAAGTATTTTCTGAAAACAACTTTGGAAGAAGGACATTTTTTAGACACATAATTTTGACAAAACTAGCAAAAATATGTATTTAAATTTACAATAAAATCTCCAATAGCAAAAATCAGTTACAGAATACAAACACATTTAATTTGTTTAAAGCTTGTAACAATTTACTTACTACTAGAGATAATACAATACTATAAGTACATAACCAAGTAACTGTTTGGTGTAACCGGTCTTACCTTACCAAGCAATACTGTACAGCTGGGAAGTCTTACTGACCATACCAAGCAATGCTGTACCAGTCATACCAAGCAATGCTTTACAGCTGGGAAGTCTTACTGACCATACCAAGCAATCCTGTACAGCTGGGAAGTCTTACTGACCATACCAAGCAATGCTATACCAGTCATACCAAGCAATGCTTTACAGCTGGGAAGTCTTACTGACCATACCAAGCAATGCTGTATGGCTGTGCAATTTAAACAGGTATTCCAAGCAATGCTGTACATCCAGCTGTTATAATGTTTGATGCATAATTTCAATATTTTGATATCAATATCTATATCACATTCACCCTGTAACTGCTGTATTTCTTAAATGAACTTGTCCGGCTTCAATTTTTATATTGACCATTATCAGTTTTGTTGGTATCATGATGAAAACTTTAGTTGGCTTATGGTATAGAGCTTGATCAGAGTGCACAGATGTGCAGGCTGGCCTGGTTCTATAATGATGGCAGTGGTTCATTCAATGGTCATCGGAAAAATGAATGAGAGTTAGTTTGTAACTTTTGATTGAAAAAAAACTTGGCATGTATCTAAATATACTCTTGGCTGGTAAGCGCACATGTAAGTAAGCATTGTGAAGTTATGTCCTTTTTAAAGACTTCATCAAAATTAGTCATCTCAAACAATACTAGTATAATGGCGGACGATGCTTTCATACTTAAGTTTCAAGCAGGTTTAGAGTTTACAAGCGACTCAAAAATAACAAGAATTTGTAACAGAGTTACCAACGTCCCCCGCCCCGGGAGTTTTATATGAAGCATAAAATTGTGCTATTTCAAAAGATTGAGGTATGGATCTCAGGACATTCAGTCCAAAATTATGATCAATGCTAGATCTGCAAATGTAACAATAAATTTGTTAAAAAAATAAAATGAAACACTGAATTTAAAAATCTATCATGTTAAGCTTTGACCTCTAAGTGTGAACTTGACCTTGGAGGTAGGGGAGCAGGTGTTGTGCATGACATAACGTCTTATTATTATGACTATTTGTGCCAAGTTATTTCAAAATCCCTTGAACTATGAAGAAGTTCTAGATTCAACACAAAATATACCCTATAACAGACTATGTTAATTTTTGACCTCTAAGTGTGACCTTGACCTTGGAGGTAGGGATGCAGGTGTTGCGCATGACACATCCTCTTATTATAGTGACTATTTGTGCGAAGTATTTTCACAATCCTTTGATCTATGAAAAAATTATAGACCTGACACAAAATATACCCTGTAACAGACTATGTAAGTATTTGACCTCCAAGTGTGACCTTGACCTTGGAGGTAGGTGACCGGTTGTTGCACATGACACATCATCTGATTATTGTTAACAATTATGGCAAGTATTTACAAAAGTCCTTCATAGATAAGAAAGTTATGTATATATATACATATACCCTCAAATAGACAATGTTGACCTTGAATGAACAAGTACGACCTTGACCCTGAAGGTACGGGTCTGGTTGTTGGGCATGACACATCGTCTTATTATAACAAACATTAGTGCCAAGTTATCTCAAATTCCTTTGATAAATGACAAAGTTATGGACCCGACACGAAATATACCCTGTAACAGACTATGTTAAATATTTGACCTCCAAGTGTGACCTTGACTTTGAAGGTAGGCAAACTGGTTTTTTGCGCATGACACATCGTCTGATTATTATGAACAATTATGGCAAGTATTTACAAAAACCCTTCATAGATAAGAAAGTTATGGACCGGACACGAAATATACCCTTTAACAGACTATGTTAATATTTGACCTCCAAGTGTGACCTTGACCTTGAAGGTAGGTGACTGCTTTTTCCGCATGACACATTGTCTGATAATTGTGAACAATTATGGCAAGTATTAACAAAATCCCTTCATAGATAAGAAAGTTATGGACCGGACACGAAATATACCCTGTAACAGACTATGTTAATATTTGACCTCCAAGTGTGACCTTGACCTTGAAGGTAAGCAACTGTTTTTTGCGCATGACACATCGTCTGATTATTATGAACAATTATGGCAAGTATTTACAAAAACCCTTCATAGATAAGAAAGTTATGGACCGGACACGAAATATACCATGTTAATATTTGACCTCCAAGTGTGACATTGACTTTGAAGGTAGGTGTCTGCTTTTTCCGCATGACACATCGTCTGATAATTGTGAACAATTATGGCAAGTATTTACAAAATCCCTTCATAGATAAGAAAGTTATGGACCGGACACGAAATATACCCTATATTAGACTATGTTAATATTTGACCTCCAAGTGTGACCTTGACCTTGAAGGTAGGTGACTGCTTTTTCCGCATGACACATCGTCTGATAATTGTGAACAATTATGGCAAGTATTAACAAAATCCCTTCAATGATAAGAAAGTTATGGACCGGACACGAAATATACCCTGTAACAGACTATGTTAATATTTGACCTCCAAGTGTGACCTTGACCTTGAAGGTAGGCAACTGTTTTTTTGCGCATGACACATCGTCTGATTATTATGAACAATTATGGCAAGTATTTACAAAAACCCTTCATAGATAAGAAAGTTATGGACCGGACACGAAATATACCATGTTAATATTTGACCTCCAAGTGTGACCTTGACCTTGAAGGTAGGTGTCTGCTTTTTCCGCATGACACATCGTCTGATAATTGTGAACAATTATGGCAAGTATTTACAAAAACCCTTCATAGATAAGAAAGTTATGGACCGGACACGAAATATACCCTGTAACAGACTTTGTTAATATTTGACCTCCAAGTGTGACCTTGACCTTGAAGGTAGGTGACTGGTTTTTGCGCATGACACATCGTCTGATTATTGTGAACAATTATGGCAAGTATTTACAAAATCCCTTCATAGATAAGAAAGTTATGGACCGGACACGACATATACCCTCAAATAGGCAATTTTGACCTTGAATGAGCAAGTGTGACCTTGACCCTGGAGGTAGGGGTCTGGTTGTTGCGCATGACACATTGTCTTATTATAATAAACATTTGTGCCAAGTTATTTCAAATTCCTTTTATAAATGACAAAGTTATGGACCGGACACGAAAGTGTGACGGACGGACAGACGGACGGACGGACAGACGGACGGAGCCTATTTCTATATCCCCCTTTTTTCTTCGAAAAGGCGGGGGACAAAAATCAGGACATGTCCATTTACCAGTGTAAGGTTTCAGAAGACATGTGTTTCAAATATTTTACTATAATATACTATCAACTCTTTATATGCCATTTAAGCAGTAACAAGTTCCTGATTTTAACAACATAAACAGACATAAAAAGCAGGCAATAAATCCTATATTGAAAAATGTTAACACCATCTTTCAGAAAATGAAGCTTTCTCATAACTGTATGAAGTTAAATAATATAATATAAATAAATTTTAATAAATCATTATGTATTTTCATGTATAAATAAAGAAATTGAATACAATTCTCTAGACAATAAAATATCAACAATATCACAAAACTGTAATGTTATGTTGCACTTCTCCCTTATCAAAACAATAACAGTTATTTTCAAATATTGAAGAAACCCCTCCCCCACCCATCCCAAGCAGTCCTATTGTAACAACACAGAGCTAGGCTAATCAAATTCCTGCAGTTTGCAAGTAAAGTAAAGTTTTAATATGTTACCTGCTTGGTTTTGTTGTTGTTGTTTTTTGTGATTTTTAAAGGTTTATAAAAGACAAGTCTACAAATTAAATTGAAGTATGACTAGTCAACATGTACAAATGTTGCTGGAGCTCAGTGCAAAAAAAAAATGCGCTCATTACAGATACCTTACAAAATTCCTACCCACAGGTCATTTTCTATTTAAATTAATGTGTGTGTGGAGTGGAGGGGGGGGGGGGGGGGGGGGGGGAATATAAATCAGTTCAGTAAAGTAAACAAATAAAGAAGTGATAGCACTTTATCAACATAATATTTTGATAAACATTGGCACTAAATCTGATAAATTAAAAGGCCAAAACATTGACATTTGATAACACATGTTAAGTATCAAGCACTAAAATCTTAATTTTCCCTATAATAAAGTTTTGACCACATAATAAAGGCTAAAAATGAAGATGCCAACTCAGTTGAACAAAGTTTACACATATACTGATTACGGGTGCTTTGTTGAAAAATAGAGTAATTTCACAGAAATTTAAGTTAACAAACATGTATATTCTGTAATATAACTGTCTGAGAGTCTTAATAGAGTTGCCTAATAGAAAACAATTTGACATGTACATATGCAGTTACACTATTATGTTAAGTACAGCAATTTCTCACTGAAAAAACAACAGTCAATATATTTAGTACCCTAGCACTGATATGTAGGTGCATTTTTATCTTCTGAATTTAAAGCATCTAGATTTGTAAAATAAATCTTCAAAATAATACAAAAATTAAGACAATATTATTTAATATATAAAACAAACTAGAAATGTGCCAATTCAACTGATTTATCAGTCAAGGGACAGACAGTGAGACAGCATGACAGAGGTATAAGAGTAAATCTATATGACCCCACCCTTAAAAGAGATGGGGGCAGGGCATAAAAATATACATACTGACAAATATTCATAATCCAGGTGAAAATTTGAGTGCAAGATATGACAATTTTTTTCTTGTTTCATCACCAAACTTCTAATCCAATAAGAAAGGAGTAAAAGAAATTTCTAGATATTTTGTCAAGTTAAATGTAATTTCAGTGGAAAGTTGGTGACTTTGGCTATATCAAATCATTTATTATGTATACAGTCACTAAAAAACACTTATCCCAACACAAAGAACAAATTTTAAATTTTCATTAAAACACAAATGTGGAGGCATTCTGCTGAAACATTATTTCAAATTAATTAAAATTCATGGTTTTATAATACACAACAAGATTCTAATTTCCAAAAATAATAGTAAGTAAAAGGTCTGTTACAATGACAACATTTGATGATAAATTTTCAACTGTTAACTCTTCCCCCAACTTTGTGCTATTAAAAATAAAGTTTTTTTTACAACTTTAATTTACCTAAAGCTTAACAAAGTATTTTAAGAAACATTTACTCAAATGACCTAGTTATGATAATGAATTTCCAAACAACAAAATGAATACACATTTGTCCAATATTACATAATAAATGACATTATAAATGCATAGCAAATAAGACATTTTAGAGTCATCCACAATATTGTTTTCCTTAACACAGTTCTTGGTTTATACCAAAGTATTTATGAACAATCTTAGAAACAAAAAGATACAAGATGGTTTTAATGAAGTAATGCAATTCTTTCATATGTAATCATCAATTAATAAAGATATGGTAAAAAAATGAATGGCTAAAAATAAAACCTCCAAAAACAGCTTGAAGTTGTTGTGACCAATGATAAAATAGCAGAATTTATAGCATTCCTACAGAATCATTAAGGTAAAAATGCTATCAATCATTTTTTATTAATCAGATCATTGATAACACTTAAAGAAGTGTCCATAAGACACATATGTCACCCCCACCTACCCCGGCTTTTCCACCCATACCCCACATACCCTGGCTTCTCCATTACTTTTCACAATGGCATACATTTGTATTGACATTTTAAGATTTCAAACAGTGCCTTTGTGACCTCGACCTTTGACCTAAAATCAATAAGGATCATCTATTGGCTATGGGAAATGTCCAAACCATGTCACATAAACCATTGCCTATTTCTTCTCAAAGCACAATTACACAATATAAGGCTGCTATATTTTGATATACATGTAAATGCCTACCCAGCAGACGTATTTTTAAAATGCATATTCTAATGAAAATAACATAAGCTACAGTTTTCGTAAAATGTTTAACAGCCACTGAAGTTATTGTAGCTGTTCCTAGCTACACCATTTATTCATACTTTCAAAGCATTTTCAGTATTTCTATCAGCTAGAAATGAAAGCACCATTGAACACAGTGATGGCATGATACTTCCATGTTTATTACACTTCACATACACAGGTACACTTCTCACATGATATACGTATTTGTAAGTCCAATACAAATTTATAACCATGACAACAAGTCCCATCCAGTCAGACAGACTCAAGCTTGCATGTTCACTCTTGACAGCAGACTGCCAATTTAATTGTCATTCCAAAAAACAGAATCCAATCTCTTGAGCTTAAGGGGGAGGTAACTCTTAATTGACTGCTAAAAATCATGCATATAAGTGTTTAAAGAGCTACTCATCTTCACCTATGAATGAATAAATGAGGGCCACGCACACACACACTATGACACAATTACTCTTATTACCATTAATCCATAAATTTGTGTTATATCACCAAGATGGAGGTATAATTTTATTAGTTTGTCCTTTTAACACAGCTGGAGGTTGAGAACCACCAAACCATGACATTTTCCACTGTAAAGTGTCTCGTATTAACTTTTGTTCTTCAGGAGTAAATCGTAGGAGCAGAGATACTGCCTTTATCAGTTGTATTGCCTGAAATATAAAGAGATTATTTATTTATAAACATTTGACAACTTATCAGATCATGGTTATATACATGATTGTATAGGTTTATATTTATTCAAGTTGAAAAATGTTTGTTTGTTTCATTTTACGCCTTTTCCCAACAGTATTTCAGTCATATAGGCGGGTAGTTTCCTAACCATCGTTCCTGGAGAGATACATCAGTACTAGACTACCTTCCTCCGCGCTAAACTACCAAAGCATCTCCCGGGGATCGAACCCACGCCAGAGAGGTAACTGGATTAAAAGTCATCAACTCTAACCCCTCGACCACGGAGGCGGTAGTTGAAAAATGCAAATTTTCACTAAGGCAAGCGCAATAACTCTACAAATACTGAATAAATCTGCACGCAAACCTCCAGGTGCAAAATTACACATGCTGACCAATATTTCTGTAAAGTTTCATGACTACAAGTAAAATACATTTTGGGCTATATGCGACACAAGTTGAAAATAGTAAATTTTTTACTGAGACAAGGGCAATAACTCTGACAAAACTAGAATAATCCGTATGTGGAACCCCTGTGCACAACTTAACATGCGGATTCACGTTCCAGTAAAGTTTGTTGACTCTAGCTCAAGCTTTTTTAGAGGTACATGTGGCACAACATGAGAACGGACAGATGTACACAAGGACATGCAACCGAATTAGGATAAAGGGCCATTTCTATTGTTATTTTACTTTTGTTTAATAGAGGGCCATTGTCCCCTTCCTTTATTGTTATGGAATGAACATTATTGTTCTCTTCACAATAATATGGCCCCTTATTCAGTAGTGTGGACGGATGCATTAGAATGGGGGACACAAAAAAACATCTCAACTCCTACTAAAGGTAAATGTACACAATGATTATATAAACAGTACATAATCAACTGATTCATAGGAACAGATTTATAGATTGGACTTACCTCATGTTCTCTACTCAGCATGAATTTCATCACAACATGTTTTAAATACTGGAAATTGATGTCTTTTTCTAGATGCCGAGTCTCGAACTCGCGATTTCTAAACTGTGCATGAGAAGCAAAGGCACCTGTGAGGCCAGCGGGGCCTCGTGTATCTGTCACTGATATTGTTGCATGAGAATTCGGAACACCAAAGGATATCCTTTCTGAACTAGATTTATGTTGATTATGTGGAGAATTGTCACCGAGAAAGAAATCTTGAGTTCCTATAGAATTATTTATTCCATCAACCGTATCCATCACGGGATCTGTAGGAACAGGACTACGGTCATGAGAACTAATCCTACGTGTCCGAGTGGAATGATCACTATGATGTGTTTTTTGTGTAAGGGAATTTTTACGAGGCAAAGGCGGAGTCAATGCCGACACTTTAGGGTCAATTGGTTCGTCATTAGGCAAAGACTGAACTTTAAGCTCTCGTTGTAATGTCTTTTTCAAGTCATTTAGCCTTTGTTCCTGTTTCTTTAATGCCTGAAATAAAGTCATTAATGATATCTTAAATGTAACCAGACATGAATCTATCTTATCCCACATTATTGATCAAGAGCTGAAATAAAAGAAATTAATCCTTAAAAGTCAATGAAATCAAAGCAAAATCAAAGTGAAACATGTAGGGTAAGATATAAGATGTTTCACTTTTCTTTCTATTTTGAATGTTAATTTTTATATGTCAATACATTAAATGGTGACATCTGGTAACAGATGCTTTTACTGAAGGTACATTTTGAAGGACAAAAAAGTCATACTTTTTTCTCTTACCGTTAAAATTTAAGCTAAAATTCATATACTTCCATCTGTAAATCGCATAACATATGAATTAACATAAAACTTTTTCTGATAATCAGTGTAAAAAGTTTATCAAAATATAAAATGGGGAGCGGTGGCCTAATGGTTAAGGTGTCTGCCTCTCAACCCAAAGATCATGGGTTCGAGCCCTACTCGTTTACTACTTGTTTCGCAATTGAGCTAAAATATATATGTTTAAACCAAAATGTTACCTTATTCTTCTCAGCTAGCTGTTCCTCTAATGATGTTACTGTATCTTCTAATTGTATAACCTGTTCATTACTGGCAAGATGACCTGACTGGAAATCTGTCAACTCCCCTATCTGTTTACATAATATATATAATGATTTCAATAATAGCTTAAATACAAACAAATCTATAGTATCTTAGTACCACAGCTTTATCAAGGCATTGATAATAAATCTTGTTAAAACATATAAGAATCTTACACTGGCTGTCGGTACAGACCGGAATATCTAGCTTGAGGGTAACTGTTTATGGCGGTTACGAGGCTCTGCCGAGTTTCTGCTAAACAGTTCCCCGAGAGCTAGATATTCAGGCCTGTACCGTCAGCCAGTGTTTGATTCTTTTTCTTGCATATTACATATCAATAATTTTCAAAAAAGGAAATTACGAAAACAGATATTCTCATTACGCACTTTTTTCTTATAGTAGCGTATGAACTTACAACTTTATTCATAACTGTAAAATGATGTCATCCTAAGAATGCAATTCAATCATAAAAGGGGCACAGCAATGACATCATTTTACAACAAAAAATCTTGAAAATTTAACAAAATGACTTGTTTGTTTTCATCTTTAATTTTAAATTACAGCAATGCATGCCGTGTTAAGGCTCATCTGGTAGGTGTAACCAGTATCAATAACCAATTTTGACGACAATTCTAATTTTAAATGGGAAATAACTCTAAAAATATAGCTTTCAGAAATATGAACCTTGTAAAACAACTGCACCTTTGGTAAGCAAGTATTTAATCAGCTTAATAAGTTTTTGCATGACAAAGACAACGAAGAAATCATAAAAGTTCAACTTTTTTGTTGAATCAGACAAGCTAAACAATAATTCAAATTGAATCCTACTTTTAAAAGTACTAACCTTTATTTCCAATTCTTGACATTTATCACGCAGTTGTTTCTCGTTCTCTTTGTGAGATTCAAGCTCCGCCTCTAGGGTGTGTTTCTCGTCTTGTAATGTCTGCTGTAATGTGGTCAATTGTTGCGAGAGTTCCGCATTCCGTAACATAAAATCATCTTTATCTAAAAAAATAATACATAACCATCAATGTGGGCTTACTTATGGAACTCCACTGAGGTCCAAAAGCCTAGAAACATAAAATTGTAATTTCTCATGTAGATGAACTAGGCACTTAAAACAGAAATAAATAAGAAATATACTCAGAAATAGATGGAAAATTGTTTTTTTTTTTTTTTTTTTTTTTTTATTTCTTAGCCCGATTTGAGTGAAAAGTGTTGCAATGCTTTTCAATTTTGGATCATATTTCATAATTAGAAAATATAGTCTGGAAAAACTTAGTGAGGAAATGATCTGAAATTTTTCACACAAGTAAAACTGGTCTAGATCTACATCAAATAGAACATTACTCTTGGAAAATTCTGCATTCTGTTTTGAACCTCAATGCATCAAAGGACTGATGTTTTTGGAATCCTCACACTACAGGAAATATCAGCTGACACTGCATCCAGTATAATTATGAACCTAATAGGGAATACATGGTTGATGTCAGAATGGAGAAGGTTTATCCCGTCAACGAGAAAGTGTATCTTGGCGAGCTTTAGCCAGTTGGTTTATAATTTTGAACCACATCTTTATCACTGCTCAAGTTCAAGTGTTGGTATCAGAGTAAAGAAAAGAGTCTTGTACAATACCTTTATTGCTCTCCTGGAGTTCTGAGATTTTAGATTTGGAGCTATGTACAGCTTTGTCGAGCTTCTCCTGGGTCAGAATTACCTCCTCTTGTAAAGACTGGGCGTGAGTTTTTGCTTCATGCAACTTCTTCTCTTTATCTTTTACATCTTCCTCCAGTGACTTACATTTTGTTTGTAGACCTTTCATCTCAGCCTATAAATAAGAACAAACATTTATCATACAATTACAAAGCCATCGGTTAGCTCAATAGGTAGAGAGTTGGACTGTGAATCAGGCAACCTGGGTTTGATTTCCGTACAGTACAGGTCACTTTCATCGTGATTGAATATGAAATTCTTTCTACTATCATTTGTACTGTACCTCTGTTCTGGTATGTACAGAAGTTATAAATTCCTTACAAAAGTAAAGGTAACTAGTACTGGTAAACTGCATGACAGCATGCCCAGAAACTATGCTGTGGCAGAACTGTGCTCTGGTAAATTCAATGTGGCTTACTGCCATGATCTGGACTGAAAACTACCAACACCACCACCATCATATATTGACATGTTTCTCTTTATTTAAACCTTACCACCTATAATATCTTTCAATCTGGATGAAAACATTCATCATTTTTGGGGAAAATTTAAAAATACTGAATAGTGAACAGTGAAGATCATGATTAGATGGCACAGATGTCCTGGCAGATTTTGGTCTGCCTTTGTTTCGTGAAAAGATTCAGATGCTTATTTAAATAAACAACTGTTATTACCTTGGTAATCCAAACAAGTATCTTACAAAACAGTTGTTCAAATAGAAACAGGGCTAACATTTGCAATTCCACTAGTATAGTTAGTACATGCATGAAAAGAATAAAAACAACATTTTTTACATTAATATTTCTAAAACAAGAATACCTGAAGTTTTGATAAATTTTCTTCCAGAGATTTGACTTGTTCTTCTGAATTGCCAAGTTTGTGTTCAAGATCAGCTATAGCCTGCTCCTGTTTGTGCTGATGAAAAAAAATATTCACAATTTATTTTTGTCATTTTGTTTATTTTATTAGCAAAAACATTTTAAACTAAATAAGAATGCAAAATATTATGGACAGTACTTAGAAATAGCACATTTTTCATCATGTAACAACCTTTACATATACAATATGTAATTTAGCTATATTAGTGATAAAATCTCAATGTACAAGTAGTATCCAAATTAGACAAAAACTATTATTAAATTATATTGTTACTCATATATAGAAGATATTGAAGGAGTGTAGTAAGTTCAATAAAGAATTTATTGAACAAGCTGAATAAAGATATATTTTATGCAAGTCTCCGTTAAAGAAATTCAGTAATGAACTTACACAAAATTGATATAATATTCTATTAATCACATACCTAAAATAAAGACTGTTTAAAGTGAAAAAGAATAATGTTTCAATAGGTGCGCCAAATGTGTAACGCTAACATTTAGCACATCTGCATAACGCAAATGACATCACGCCAAAACATATGCACTACCGTTTCGTTCTGATGTTTTTTTTTCAATTCTAGTAAACTTAATACATGGTGTTGTTCTTAAAATAGTCACTGCATACTTTTTTCACAAGCAAGCTTAAACAAATAATCTTCAAAATACATAAAGCATTGTATATACTTCAGAATTAGGTGAGTTTTGAACTTACAACCGTGTCTTGAAGTTGCGACTTCTCCTGAGCTTTACTCAACTCCAGTCCCATCAGTTCTGATTCCACTGACGTTAACTTGGCCCGCAGATGGGTGTCTAAATCAACCTTCTCTAACTTCATCTTCGACACTTCTGTCTCCAGTTCTAATCTCTTCAATAACAATATGATTTTATTAGACTAGTATACAATACTTTCCCTTCCTGGTAATAGAAAATAAGCTCATTCATCTTTAATATAACAAACCATGATTCAAAGAAAGACATGTTGGTACAAATTTATGATTTCAATGATACAAATACGACTTGCCATCTAAATAAATTTTCAATACTTACCCAACAAAGAATCAATTCCCTTTTTTAAATGCAATTTACATCTTTATAACTGACCAATCAGGCTTGTTTTATATGTACATAAATAACTGCATATCTGAACTAAAAACTGGGCCATATCTTATAAAACTGTTTTTAAAGTTCTAACATATTTTTTATACATTTCACCTTGGCAACAAATAAACTTTTTTCTTCAGAATTACACTGAAACAAACATCCAGAGGAGGAATATCCCCCAGAACAAAAGGGAAGCAGTGGCCTAATGGTTAAGGTGTCTGCCTCAACACCCAGGGATTATGGGTTCGAGCCCTATTCAAACCATGACCATGTTTCCTCTTACAACACTAGTACTGGTTAGAACCCCCAACACTAACCTATAACCTAACCCTAATCTTGGGTGATAAAATAAAGAACTTGTTTCCCAACCGAGCTAAAATACACATGTTTAAAATAAAACCCGTTATACAGTATCTCATGTATGATTAAGTTTTAATCCTACACATACAGGCTATTCTGTGCTATTAAATCTTTTCTATACCTTTTACAAGACAATAAAACTCATTTTTCTAAACTGAACACTGCTATTGATTTGAACTAACCTCCTTTTTAAATCTTGCTTCTTTTCTAGATAACAGATCTACTTGTTGTTGTACCTCTTTTTCTGCATCCTTCAGTTTCTTCTTTAAATTTTCGATCTAAAAAATTCAAATTACATTTCAAAACATTTTTTTATACACTCACTTTTTGTCAAGGTACATGTTTTAACAAAATATTTGCATGACAACATATAATTCTGAACCACCTTACTATATTCTTTGCAAGTTTTTCATGCAATCAAAGGCATTCATAAAAAACATGCATGCAGCTTAGCATGAATGGAGAAGAAAATATGCATTAATGGATAGATTCTTGTGACCACAAACCTTTAGAGCTAGTTTTTTGTTTAACAGCTTAATGCAGTGATTGCCCTCAGACTTAATAAATCCCTTGCCCAGGCGAGCTCAAGCTTTTAAAAGTGTCTCCATGCTTTTCCAGATGTTAATGCACAAAAAAGCTGCATTAACCTGTTATTCTAAAATCCTCTTTATCATAAAAATATCAGTGATTATCATCATTATATATTAATGACTATTATTAGCCTAATAATATTAGTTACGTTAATGACTGAGTTTCAATATGAAATGAATGGAACACTCTATCATAAACTATTTCCTGGACAAAAACAAAGATCGATTGAATTTGAATAAGACAAAATATAGTATAGATTGGTCACTATTTCAGAATGCTATTATATTTCAGTTAGTCAATTAAAACAAAATAAAGACATCAAGCAATTGTACCTCTGTCTGCATGTTCTCTCGTACAGTTTCTGTATACCGTTTGGCCTCGGCCAACTCCTCACTGTCCTCCACAATCTTACCATTCAGATGTGATATCTATATAGAAATGAAAATATAATAATAAATAATTATTCTTAAATTACCACACTCTTGCATGTACCATTCAGGTAGAGATATCTAGGTAAAGAGAAAACATGTCTCACTAATTAATACATTAACTTCTGCAGCAGCTTCTCTTTGACAATTTAATTTTAAAATTATACATGTATATGTAATTCTTATTTAGAGCAAGAGCTGTCGGAAAACAGGGTGTTCGAAAAAAACCTCATGTCCTGACAGTAAGAAAACGGGCATATCACTGTCAGTTGTAACTTTCATGTCTTTGTACCAAGTAACATTTTGGTTTAAATAATATCAAGTGCTATAATTCATTAATAAAGTGGCAATATGCTCATCCAAGTATAATGAGTGCCAAGTAAAGGTTATAATTATTTTACATTTTGATATCAATTTAAATGATATTTTTGTCATCCATCTTAAAATTAGCAATAAAATGAAAATGATGAGTACCTGGTCTTCCAAGTGAGATATCTTTTCACTCCATGATGATTTGATCTGTGAAAGCTGCTCCCTAGTCTCTGTTAATTTCCTTTCCAATCCATCTCTCTGTAAAACAATGAGGAATCATATAACAACTTTCAATTAATCAATCAATTATTATAAAACAACAAAGAATCTTGTAAACATTTCAATTAATTAATCAATCAATCATAAAATATCCAACACAAAGTCAATATAATTGTGTATTTACCAAAGTTACATGGCATCTTAGCTTGAAAAAAGTTGATCATTATTGTTAAAAGTTGAAAAATTATATTTAATAATCAATTAAAGATATACATTTTAACATAGACAGATTGGTCAGTTGTCATAGCATAAAATAAGTAGGATATAATATCCTTTCAAATAAAAGAAAATAAAATGTGTGTGCATATCTATCTACACTCATCAAAATGTCACTGTCAAAAAATGTACCTCTTTCTCAATAGCTACAAGCCTGTCATCACCAGATAGTGTGTTGTCTTGTTCCCTCTGTTGTAACAATGATAACCTATCAGCTAGCTGTTCTATTTCATCCTTTTGTTCTTGAATTTGTTGATTAAGCTAAAAAAAAATGTTTTAGATTTATTACTCTTATTCCTATCATCTTTTCACAGTAATGTATCTAAATTAATATTTATTGTCTAAACTGGATCCATTCTAAATTGATTTTAAGCTTATATAAAGAGAGTATAAAAGATGCTCGAGCGTAACTGTTTACGGTGGTAACGAGGCTCTGCCGAGTTTCTGCAAAAACAGTTATTCGAGAGCTAGATTTTCCTGTCTGTAACGAAAACCATGTTTAATTCTTTTTCTTGCATAATAAATGTATAACATATTTTGGAAAGAAATAACATAAACTAATATTTTCATGTAGCATTTTTTTCTTACTAGTAGCATATGGATTTACAAATTCATTCACAATGGCAAAATGATGTCATCCTAAAAAGTCATTCATAAAAGGTGCATGGGAATGATGTCATTTAATACATGCGATTTGTTTTACACCTGGGTGCAAGACAGGTTTTTCAAACATAGAGGTTAACAGTAGATAATCCTGTCTGATATGCAAAAAAATCTTAGACTAGCTTTGTTCAAAACTTTAAGGCAAGATACAGTGAAAAGAAACAATATGCACAGTTAAGGTTGAATTTTATACTACATTAATCATTTTGGCATGAAGATGTAGCAGTAACCTGTCTTTGCATACCTTGTGTTTTTGTTGATCTGAAGTGTGTATCAATGTCTGATGGGCGCTCTCTAGTTCTGTAAACTTGCTCTGTAGACTAGAGTATGCTGATGATTTCTACAATAAACAAGCAAATTCGTTGAATTTATATCCCCCGCCGAGTACTGGTTATTATTAACACAACAACTGAAGACATAAGGCTTTATTTATATATTAATCATGGCATAAACAGTAATATTCTTTGAACTTGATAAATATTCAGGGAAATAACAGAGCCATAACTTTGTGTTAAATAGTAAAATCTGGAAATGCCAATGAGATGTATGCATACTACATAACTAATCAAGGGCCATAAATCTAAGTATCTGACTGGAACAAGGCGACTATATGCACATCTCCTCTTAGTATCCCATAAAGTTTCATTGAATTCCAGCCGGTGGTAGCAGAGAAGTAGCGAGATAACAAATATTTTTCTATATGGATACTGCATGACTAATCAAGGGCCATAACTCTGAGTTAACGTGTCTGACCGGAACAAGCCGACGATATGCGCATCTCCTCTTGATATTGATGATTCCCATAAAGTTTCGTTGAATTCCAGCCAGTAGTTGCAGAGAACTACTCCGGAAATGATTTTTACTCCATATGCATATTGCAAAACTAATCAAGGGCCATAACTCTGAGTTAAAGTGTCTGACCCGAACAAGCCGATGACATGCGCATCTCCTCTTGGTATTGAAGGTTCCCAGTAGTTGCAGAGAAGTAGCGCGGAAACGATTTTTACTCCATATGCATACTGCATAACTAATCAAGGGCCATAACTCTGAGTTAAAGTGTCTGCCCGGAACAAGCCGATGATATGCGCATCTCCTCTTGGTATTGATGATTCCCATAAAGTTTCGTTGAATTCCAGCCAGTAGTTGCAGAGAAGTAGCGCGGAAACGATTTTTACTCTATATGCATACTACATAACTAATCAAGGGCAATAACTCTGAGTTAAAGTGTCTGACCGGAACAAGCCGACGATATGCGCATCTCCTCTTGATATTGATGATTCCCATAAAGTTTCGTTGAATTCCAGCCAGTAGTTGCAGAGAACTACTCCGGAAACGAAATTCGGACGGACGAACGGACGGTCAGATGCGCATCTCCTCTTGATATTGATGATTCCCATAAAGTTTCGTTGAATTCCAGCCAGTAGTTGCAGAGAACAACTCCGGAAACGAAATTCGGACGGACGGACGGAAGGACGGACAGACAACGCCAAAACTATATCCCCCTCCTGATTCCATCGGCGGCGGATAATAAGTGCAATATTAATATAACCATCAAATAATAACAAAAAGTGTCTGACCTATAAGAAGACTTTGAATTACTTATTTGTAGACTTGGAAATTTACGCTCAATTTTTCTTCAATCAAATTCCTAATTATTTTATGTTTAAGAATCTATATTCTTTTGGCAAATTTGTAACAGAAGCCATTTAATGCTCTATAACATGACATTCAAAGATACAAGAAATATTTTTAGTCTTTAAAAATTACTAAAAACTTGCATGCCTCAACAGTGCAAATTTAAATCTGATAAACAATTATCTTAAAGGGACTCCACTCAGGTTTGTTGACATAAAGGAATAAGAAATATTTCCCCGAGATTTGTGTACCATTTGATGTAGGTCTGGACCAATAACTTATGTGCAAATTTTCAGATCATTCCCTCACTCATTTTTTCCAGAATAATCATTCCTATTGTACAAAATGACCCAAAAATGAAAAGCGTTGCAATGCTTTTTTGCTCAATAAGGGCTTAGAATCACACAATAATTGATATTCAAATCATTTCTGAGAAATTTTCCTTATTATTCTTTGCAATTTTTACTATTTTCAGGGCCTCACTTGATCTATGTAAGAATTTCAAATTATATATTTTTAGGGTTTTTACCTCAGTGAGGTTCTTTAAAACATAACAAGTTCACAACAAAGTATGATCGCATATGTCCTACCTAAAACATAATTAAGGTATATGTTCATCCATACATTAAATGACTAAAAAATAGCCAATACCTCTGATAACTGTGATTTGACATCATTCAGAGATTCCTCCAGTGTAATTCTTTCTTTTGTTAAAGCACTCACAATTTTTCCATGGCCAGCAATTTCTTCTTCTAAATTACGTCTGCAATACAAAACATACTTTATTATTGCATCTCTATTAAATTGTGAAAAAAATCTTTTTTGTTCACATAGCAACCTTTTATTGTGAAAAATAGTTAATTTTTAAAACTATTGTCATTTTCCCCAAAGTCTTAGAAATCCTGAATGAACTGTATTTATACAAACTTCCAATATTTAATTTGCGAATATTTTATGTTTAACATAACAACAGGTTTTTGTTAAAACAAACAATAAAGCAGTCCTGCAATTTAACTCTTTACGATATTAGACAGAATATTTGAGATATATATTGAAAATAAAACTATATACATTTGCAAAACATGGGACATAAAGTAAAGAAGAACATGTATGGTCTTACTTTTCTGATTGCAGGGATTTCACTTTCTCTTCTAAAGATACTAATTCCTTGTTATTCGTCTGCAGCTCTTGTAACTCATTTTGACATTTAGCTAATTCTTCTTCTTTTAATATAAGCTGAAATACAAAATAAATATGTCATGTAATTTTTTTTCAGGGAGTATCATGTCTTTTAATATATATTCCTATCTTACATTCCTGGTATACCTTTTAGTCGATTGACAACATTTCCATTGGATAAAAACATTTAGGCATACAGGCAGTTCCCAGTGATTTTATTTAAACGCTAGCGGCAACACTTGTGATACGCCATGGAATGGGTGCCGGAGGGGACAATGCGTTAAAGCATCTGGGGAACTCTCTGGCGATAACTTCACATGGATGTCCAGAGTATTCATTATGAAAAATCCCTTAAAATTTATAATTTTCTATAGTCTGTTCTAGAAAGGCACTTTATTTTTTTTGTGTTTTAAGCTTTTTCTATTGCATTCAATCAAAGAGGATTCTCATACTCAGGGTTAATTAATAATCAACTTTTGTTCAGTTTAGATTTAGCCATTACGTCAAAAATATTCTGCATATCATACTAAGTTCCAAACCAGGTTCAGAATTTCCAACTTATTATATAACAAACTTACCATGTGTTTAAGTTTGCCCATTTCTTGTGTAGTAAATTGTTGCATTTCTTCTTTTTCTTCTTCTTTCTTATAATACTGTTTTGTCATTGACTCTGTTTCCTTTAATTTCAACTCTAATTCTTGTTTCTCCTGAAAGTATAATAACAGTATTTGGACATTGCTTGCAATTCTCATAAGTTCTTCATCAATTCTATTACATGTAAGTCGTCTTATCATAAATTAAGTTCATTGTCATAAATTTAGTTCATTATCAATTCTATTCAGTTCATCATCAATTATGTTTATTATCAATTATATCAAATTTGTCATCAATTTTATTTATCATCAATTATAGTTAGTTCATCATTAATTCTATTTAGGTCATCATCAATTCTTATTGGTTTATCATCTATTCTATTAAATTCATCATCAATTCAAATAAGTTCATCATCAATTATATTCAGTTTGTCACCAATTCATCATCATTTTAGGCATTCAGTAATCTACATCTGTTGAACCAATGCTACCTAATATCCAACTCATGCCTCAGTCTTTCCAAGCTTAACAGACACAAAAGTTGGTCATGGAACAATGTTTAATGTTATATACAACAAACCTTAAAGAAAGGCCATAATGAAATGCACTGGGCTTAAACAATAAATACCTTTTCTTTTTGTTCGAGCTCTTGCTTGTAGGTGTCTGATAACTTTATCCTACTAGCCTGATACTGTTCATTCAACTCTTGTGTCCTCTTAGCTAATACTAAAACGTACAACAGTTACTAATAGATATGACTTATCGGAATATAAAAATTATGTTTTGCAGTGAAATAATCAATACAAGTGAACCAAATCAATAACTAACAAAGTTATTACGAGGTTTTTACAGTGTCTGCATAATTTTATCATGTGGGAGACAAAAAAAAAAGGAAAATCAATCATGTATGATTCTACATCAAACTACACAATTTAATAGATAGATCAGGGAAATGCCATGATTTAGAGAAATAGAATTTGTCTCATGAGATAACAAATCATAAACAAAACTGCAGATAGCAGATCAACATGATTTTATTTGTTTTCCATTTTAGCCAGCATGTTAGAAATAAAATAAGAAACACCTTCTTGTTGTTTATTATGAAACTCACATATCGAGGGTTGACTGCAAAACTGCAGTAACTCTTTATTAGGTAACACAAGAGCGATCAGTAATCACATGTGTCGCCTCATGATGGCCAATTTCATGTTGGGACAAAGTTTGTGACAGACGGACAGTGCACATCTAGACTTGGTACTGATCATTCGTGTAAAGTTTGGATAAAATTGCACCAGTAGTTTATGAGGAGTAGTCCGGACAAGCTTTTGCATATCTGGCAACACACAGAAAAAAACACCTTTTTATCAAAGGGCCATAACTCTGCCAAAAATCATTCAACTGGAAAACCCGTGCAATATGCGCAAGGACTTGAGCTACAGATCAATCCTGTAAAGTTTCATTGAAATTGCTTTAGTGGTATAAGAGAAATAGTCCGGACAAACTTAAAATATAAAAATTATTAAAGGTCCATAACTCTGACAAAAATCATTGAACCGGTAAATGCTGACAAAATATGCACAACTAGACTTGGTACTAATCATTCCTGTAAAGTTTGGATGAAATTGCACCAGTAGTTTATGAGGAGTAGTCCGGACAAGCTTTTGTGTATCTGGCAACACACCGGAAAAAACACCTTTTTATCAAAGGGCCATAACTCGGCCAAAAATCATTCAACCAGAAAACCCTTGCAATATGCGCAAGGACTTGAGCTACAGATCAATCCTATAAAGTTTCATTGAAATTGCATTAGTGGTATAAGAAAAGTAGTCCGGACAAACTTTAAAATTAAAAATTATTAAAGGGCCATAACTCTGACAAAAATCATTGAACCGGAAAATGCTGATAATATGCACAACTAGACTTGGTACTGATCATTCCTGTAAAGTTTGGATGAAATTGCACCAGTAGGAGTAGTCCGGACAAGTTTTGTGACGGACGGACAGACGGACGGACGACGGAGAAGTGATCCCTATATGTCGCCACTACTCCGTAGAGGTGACACAAAAATAGAGGATAAACTCCTCTCTCTTATAGTAGAACAGAAAGACAGAGTTGTTGTGACAGATGGTAAAGAAGATGTTGAAGACAGTTCTTTGAAGCTGACAATAACACTTTGCCAATAACACTGAAAATAAGCCATGTAGACATAAAGAGACATTGATTGGTAAGGTATTGGTAAGGTAGGGTAATAGTATGGTAATGACGTGGGATTATGGTATGTTATGGTATGGTATTTATGTATGTAACTTAAGCAGACATGAATAACTTATACATACCATCTTGCTGTTTCTCTATGTAGGCCTCTAATTTTTCAATCTTTTTGGCATTGTCTTTCATGGCACTTACATACTCTACAAAATAAAACAAAGGTTATAGCAAAACACTTTCAGAGATATTTTACTGATATGGGATCAGAAAATGCTAAAAACATAATATATACAGGGACAATCCCTTCAAATTATTAAATCACTGCTCATCTTTTACAACAGTTTCCTTTCACTTAACATTATTTGCAAACAATCTAATGTTAATTACATCTGTATCTAAGCCTTCTAAGTTACCTGAATTCCTAGCTTCCAGCTTTTTACACTGATCAGTTCTCTTTTGAAGAGCTACTAACACATCTTCTTTACTGCTTAGATCAACTTTAGTCTAAAACATAAAAATCGACACATTTCATAGCAGTGATGACATAAATGGTCAGAAAAAAAATCACGCAAAGGACATTTAAAAATAGGACACAACATATTTATATGAACAGAACATGTATTTTACTAAAATCATTTAAAGTATGAAATGGAATTATATAAGAAAATAGGAGTATTGAATGTCAATGATATATGAGTATATCGCTGATACACTGCAACTCTGTTATAACGCTCATGGAGGGGTCCAAGGTGTCAACACTGCATTATAACAAGGTTATAACTTATATAATGCATTTGTCATCGGATACAATGTTTCGTCAATATGCTTTGCACTGAATCAATGACAGTTCTACTTCTTTGTTGACAATCTTCTTCTTTTTTTTATCTCAGGTGGTAGAGTTAGTCTGGCCTATCTACCATTATGTACATTATAATAAAAGAACATTAAATTCATGAATGATGTACCATCTTTAAATATACAGATCTATCTTATGCAAGCTATTAACAACATATAAATGTAAACTTTATAAAAATACAAACCAAATCATCCGTTGATGAGGAATAGGAAAAGCTATCATTTCTGGTCATTGGGCTCTGAGCTGGACTACCTGTATAATTAAAGCAGAGCATGAAAATCTTTTCCTTATAATATTTAGTGTGTTCAGAAAAAATCATCTCTTATCATCAAAGATTTTATTACTATTTTTCTTTTCGTTTTGAGTTTTAGGTCACACTGGCACTGTAAAAATCATACCCTGCCTTTAAAGCTTAACTAGAGTATGATTATCTGATTGGCCCCTCTGTGCATAATTTCAGGCATGAGCTACATGTAGCTAGTCAAAGTGTAAGAAATTCGAATTTGAATCCACTAGGCTGGTTGGACTACCAGATTTGAATATTCACTAGCCCAAAAGACATTTCACCAGTATGTTTCATTTGTTCAAAACAGTTGTTTATATTGCCTCTGAAAATACAGTAGCCTGGTCCCACTTGTTACTGTGAAAAGTTGGTAGCCCGAGGAGAGAGGCTATCAGACTACTGCTCATTTCGAACACTGAAGTCAAGGTAACCTTGAACTTTGACCTTTTGATCTCAAAATCTACTACTGACTCATGACTAACTTCTAGACCAAATGGATAAAGCATTCTCTAGTTACTGGTTGGACGAATTTTCAGTGACCAAGGTCATAGTGACCTAAGCCATTTGACCTTAAAACCAGTAAAGGTCATCTACTTGTCAATACCAACCTCCACACCAACACTAAGGATTGTAGGCCAAAGTTTTCTTTAGTTATTGGTCAAACCAGGAAGAGGTGAGGTATGGACCAACCCCATTACAGTATGCTCCCAGTTTTTAAGTGTGGGCATAAAACAATGAATTTAACAATAGTTTCAGCTATTAAATAATTCATATATGGACTGTGGACACTTTCCTGGACATTTTGTAAATCATTTTGTTAACTTGTAAGTTTTATTGTAATAATGCAAAAATACGAAAATCAGGATATGAGAAAATCTTAGAAATTAGTCTGAATTCAAATCATTTCATTAAGGGAAAATTAAAAACTATACCATTTGTTGCAAGACTGACACGACGAGGGCTTGCATGGCCAGGTAAAGGTGCCAGAGTTTTCTCCCCTTCACTAACATTACCTCCCTCTTTCTGTATCTTCTCCTTCAGCTTAGCAAACATTCTTAGACTGCTAGAAAAGTCTTACGCTGAAATCAAAGTTTAACTGGTTACTTCAAATGATCCTTTACAGTGTTTTCCTTTCCGAAAACAAAGACATTTTGCTAGAAATTATATTTGTACTGAAAAATACTAAAATCATAATTGGAATTTTTTGTAGGATTTTCAGTTCATATGAGCAGGGCCGGCAAAATCTCAGAAAATTGTACTTGTCCACGGACAAGTAACCTAAGAAATTTACTTGTCCGTACTCAATGTTCACTTGTCCGTATTTATATTTAATATTTACTGCAAATGTCAATAAAGAAGAGCAATATGATTATGAACTTTCTTTCAATTTTATTAAAGTTACATTAAATAAATATGTAAAAATATTTTGCCGTCGGTCTAATAACCAAGCATTCTACTGTTTTATTAACCTTTTTAACAGTATCGTTGTAAATTTCATCAAATATTGTTCATAAATTACGATTTTAAACGGAAAACCCCACGGTAACACTAAAGTTCGTATACGAATTTTAACATGCAAATGAAGACTATAATCATTTCATGTATGTGCTACGTCACAGTGTTATAGTTGCTATACAGAACACAGCAAATACGTGATTTTCATGTGCATACACACTTTAACCGTTTTAGCTTCACGGTGCACTTGCCATGGCGTTCAGGAAAGAGTAATCATCTCAGAAAAATATTAAATTTGTATGAAAACAACCGTTACAAAGCGTAAATATACCGTTATATTAGAAGTGCTACTTAAAACCATGTTTGTTGATTTAATATTGATGTACGGATGACCCGAAGGCGGAGTTTCTCATGCAAATTCCGATTTCGCCACAATGAGGTCGCAGATGTTTATGCTTATAAAACTCATTTTGGTTGCCTTGACACCATAATAAAATCTGGAGTCGATATAAAACCAAATTTACTAATGAAATGTCGCTATTTCTGTTTTTAAGAAATTCATTTAGTGTAGCTTTAAACATTCTATGCCATATGTTTAATAATATAATATATTATGATTATAATATAATATATTTATAAAATGTTAACGGCAGTAGATTAAAGTAGAACGACAGTGATGGACAAATTGTGTATATTTTACTGGAAGGAGCATTGGTCTTTTGCCAGCACTTTTTCAGTTTTCCTTGCACCCAAATTGCTCTAAAATATTGTCTTCATTTTTTTGCACTCTGGTACCATTTCTTATTTATTCACTCCTTATTCTATTCATCTATATAATATTCATTTAATCCTGTTAAAAATCATATGTACTCTTGAGTTAGATTTGTCAAATTGATGACATCTGGCTTTTTTTAACGATATAATTATGATTGCCACAGAATGTAATATCATATATGTATATACGCTTGGTTGCAGCAGATGAATGGTGAAAATTTTGACATCATTACCATCGGCGACGATGAAACTGACATGTATACATTAACACCAGTATTAGACATTCAAAAACAAAGGCATTTTCACAAGAAATCTTTACATGAAATAAATTATAAAATGACTTTGTCCACATAAATTCAAGCAGTCAAATTGCCGATATGAGCGTAAATATTCCCGAATGACCTGGAAAAGCTATACAATGTATTTAATTTTCATAAATAACACAGCAGTATTTCAAAGATAATTGTTGCGGGATTGATGCTGTGTCTGCTATCTAAACAATAAATGCGCTTGAAAAGACCACAGTTTCCAATTCAATTTTATGGCAGAACCCCGTTGCTACCGAAAATATTTGATTGCAGAGGCTAAGTCGGCAGTCATAAACCAAAACAAACATGTACCCTCAATAATTAGTTAATTGCCGCGCGCATGCAGTAACTGCATGACGTAAGGAAAACCCCAAGCCTGGTTGGTCGCTATTTATGTAAACACTTAAAATAGTAACACCCTAATATGCACGGAATGCCCTCATGAATGACACCACACTTCACACACTAGTTATCGTATTAAATGTGTGATTTTCCTTCTGATTTAGATCTATTAGAAAAGAACTAGATTTTTTCTTCAGAATTCCTCTTTTAGCCGCCGAAATTTACTTGTCCACGGACAAGTAAACTGCAGAATTTTTCTTGCCCGGACCTACAATTTTACGACTCGGGCAACTCGGACAATTGATTTTGCCGGCCCTGAATTATGAGATTTTGTGAGTCTACTGAATTTTCTAAGGGGTTCCTGTATCTAAAAATGATTTCAGTAATGAAAATCAATTGAAAACTTTTTATACTTTTCAGTTGTTGACTTATGACATATGATCTGTTAAGCCATTCATGTCCGTTCTATATCTTTTGAACAGAAGGAAGGCAATTGAAACTTGGCAAGCAGGCAATTGAAACTTGGCAGAAATGTTAACCATAATGAGACGATGTGCAGAGCGCAGGTTTGACCATCTTCATTAATTCCTAATGCCATAGTATTCAGACTATCATTCCACTGATGTCAGTTATGGTTACATTGTCTTATTACTATGTATGAATGTCATTTTTAGCGATGGCTCTGTATCTTTTGAACAGACAGAAAGAAATTAAATTCATTAGTAGAAAAATGCAACTAATATTGAGAGGGTGTGTTGAACCAAGGTTTTGGCTTCCTCAAATCAGAATATGCCCTACCACAGGGGTCACTTTATTTGACAGACTTTATTACTTGAGAAAACTTGCAAGTCTTATTGAGTGAAACCACAACGCCCAGAGCTAAGATATTCGGCTTGTAGCAGTGCTTTGTGGACCTCTTCAAAAATATTTCCGTTCTGGACAAAAAATTGTCAAAAAAGTGACACCAGTTGACCTCAAATAAGCTCGTTATATAAGGGGAAAGTAAGGAATGAAATATGATATGACTCATAACACATAAAAACATGACAAAAACCAGAATACAGTGATCAGTATTGATTCTAAATTGTCCTGGCAAGTAAAAACTTACATTTATTTATTATTTGCCAACACATTGGAGTTACCGGAAGTAAACGAAATGACGAGACATCACGTATTTGCTGTCAATTACACCAGATTAGAAAATTATTGTACACCAGTCAAGCACTGAATGACGTCATGAACCCGCGCAGGTGTCAAATGGTACATGTTAAGACATATTTAATTAACTAATAAAAATACGTAAGTATACTGAAATTTATATCTGTCTACATGTAAACCTTAAGTTGACACGTCTATATTTCTTAGTGCTTCTTCAGTACATCCAATCTTTTAGTACTTCTTCTTCAAAATAGTCGAAAGAAATGCAAGATGTTTCGTCCCACTACTTTTCCGCCAGTTGAACGTTTCACTACTAAGACGTTTCGACCCAATTTTCCAAGTTATAAACAATATTATACCACTATTATTCTTTGTGTTAAAAATCAGATGAATGCAAATTTTCTATTATGATTTTTGGAAATATTTAGTTTGTTTAAGATATTTATTATATTTAAACATTATCTGTGCCTACTGCAGTGGCTAGCTGTGCGAACCTGTATTGCTAGCCAAAAGTTCTAGCTGAGTCACATACGACCAGCCTGTAGGCACTGTTGAATTTTTAAAGTAAATAGCCGTAAATAGCATGAATATGCAAACTTGTGTTTTGAAGGAAAGAAGATTTTATTGAATATCATGAAAAACTTTATCAATTACAGTAAGATATTAATTTTTAGTGTTTGATGATCAGAAGTTTTTTTCTTCTTCTGAAATCACAGACTTTAATTATTATAGTCCTTGTGAATATACAGAGAAAAAAACCTGAAACAGTATTAAATCATTTCTATATGAACAATACATTTGTAATAAATATTTCATCTCAAAAACTTTTAGTGGGCATTGAAAATTTCAAGCTGGTTGTTTGTTCACCATTAAAAGATGCAGTGCACCTGTTTTTAATGATTGCATAAGAATAATATCAGGTCCATCACAGACTTTGGGTCAATTTCCAGTGGTAGTTAGATTATGACAAAGTATTTTTAACTTGTAAAGTAACACAGAATTTACATTGACTCATGAACACTCTTTAAGTAAAGGTGAATTTATTTGTGATAGATATATCTGATATATTGTCATAGTATAAATGGGGGAAGATCATCTATAAATTTTTTTAGAAAAATATACATGTTCATGTATGTTCATTCTTTGTGAAAATGTAATAAGGCATGCTAGTTATTGACTTCATCATTGCATTTATTTATAGTTGAAAAAAAATGCTGTATGGCTAGTTTCAACCATGTGTAGACGTATGTGACTAGAACTTTTGGGTGGCAGTACCAGCCCATATGGCTAGCCACTTTCTAATTAAATAGTCAAAATATATTGGTGTGCCAAAGCTAGATTCTGAGATATGTTTGTTTGTAGAGAGGAGATATTGCCCGTACACAAAATAGCACAATATGGCATTGTGTAGTACAATTAATTGGACTATATAATACTTAGCTGCCATACAGTTAACTACTTTTGGCTCAAAATTCACATCTGTGGAAATTGCATGGCGGTAAATTATCACCAAATTAATCCTTAAGGGCATGACTGGAGGCATGGCCGGTTTGAATTCAAAAGCAAATACTCGTTCACTATGATTTTACCCATTGCCAGCAGAGCAAAGAAGATGGTCAATTTATGTGGCAAATGAGTATTTTTCTGGAAACTGTAATAAGATACCAAACGAAAAACTTTTTGAGAAATTTGTTGTCTGAGGCATAATGGGCCTTTAAGTTAATTTTAGAACTTTTTAAAATGTAACTGTCAGTTAAATGATAATTTTGCTTTGTATTTTTAGCTCACCTGTCACAAAGTGACATGGTGAGCTTTTGCAATCGCTTTTCGTCTGGTGTCCGTCTGCCCGTTGTCTGCCTGTAAACATTTACTTTAAACGACATCTCCTCATAAACCGTTTAGCCAATTTCATCCAAACCTCACAGGAATGTTTCTTTGGTAGTCAACTTTAAAAAATGTTCAAAGAATTTACTTCCAGGCTGAACTCTGGTTGCCATGGCAACCGAAAGAAAAAACTTAAGATAGCTTCTTTTAGAAAACTGAAAGAGCTAGAGCTTAAATATTTGGCATCCAGTCAGTGTGTACCAAGTTTGTTCAAATAAATGCCCTAGGGTCAAAATTGCACCCCCTACGTGGTCATTGAGTTTCCTTATTTGTATATACATGTAGTAAAAATTTAAGAAGTCTTCTTTTAAAAAAAAACCCCAAATAGCTAGAGCTTAGATATTAAGCATGAAACATCCTCTAGTGTGTGTCTACCAAGTTTGTTCAAATAAAAGCCCTGGGGTGAAAAAATTGGCCCCGCCCCAGGGGGTCATTGATTTTCCTTATTTGTATATAGTATAAAATTAAGAAGTCTTCTTTTAAAAAACCCAAATAGCTAGAGCTTAGATATTAAGCATGAAACATCTTCTAGTGGGTGTTTACCAAGTTTGTTCAAATAAAATCCCTGGGGTCAAAATGGTCCGGCCCCAGGGGGTCAATGTTTTTCCCTTTATGTATATAGTAAAATGTTTAAAAAATCTTCTTTTAAAAACCCCAAAGAGCTAGAGTGAAGATATTTAGCATGAACAGCTTCTAATGGGTGTCTGCCAAGTTTGTGTAAGTAAAGGCCCTTGGGTTAAAATTGGCCCAACCCTGGGGGTCTGTCACCGTCATTGATTTTCCTTATATGTGTATAGTATAAAAACTTATAAAAATCTTCATACAAAAAACCCAATTAGCTAGAGTTTAGATACTAAGCATGAAATATCTTCTAGTGAGTGTCTACCAAGTTTGTTCAAATAACAGCCCTGGGGTCAAAATTGGCCCCTAGGAGGGGGGGGGGGTGTAATCGTTTTTCCTTATATGTGTATAGTAAAAGCTTTAAAAAACTTGTAAAAAACCCTAAGAGCTAGAGCTTAGATATTTATCATGAAACATCTTCTAATGGGTGTTTACCAAGTTAGTTCAAATAAAAGCCCCTGGTTTAAAATTGGCCTTTGGTCCAGGGGCCTATATACAGGTGAGCGGTTTCAGGGCCATCATGGCCCTCTTGGCTAGGAGAAAATAACCATTTAAGATCATAAAATAAGTATTCTATTAAATAAGTATTCTATTAGATAAGTATTCTATTAAATATTTCTACTTTCAGGTTCTCACCAGCATGTCATCTTGTCCAAGTATCCAAGATTCCTCAGAACAAGACAGTGTTTCACTGAGTAGTTTCCAAGATCAGCCATACAGCACCTTCCATATTAGGCCACAAGATGGCGCTAGGTGTAAAATAATTCTCGACACTGATAACCCGACCCAGATTGAATATCCTGTTGGAAAGGAATTTGAATTTTGTATTGGTGAAAGTGAATCTTTATTAAGTGACAAAATAGAGGATATACTCCTCTCTCTTAAAGTAGGGCAGAAAGAAAGAATTGCTGTGACGGAGGGTAAAGAAGACAGGATTTTGAAGCTTACAGTAACACTTTGTCGGTTTGAAAACTGTATTCCAGCCTACCAATTAACAAATGAAGATAAATTCGAAAGGGCTAAATACTATAAAGAAAAGGGTGTTGAGCTGTTCAAGAATGGAAAGAATGAATATGCATTTAGAAGGTTTTGTAGTGCACTGAAATTGCTGATTTCCATGCTTCCCAGGGATAAATTACCGGAAACGATTTCTGGCGATTATGACACGTTGAGAGCTCAGTGTTACTCTAACATGGCAGCTTGTCAACTGAAAGAAGAAAGTTTTGATTTTGTAGTAGCTAACTGTTCAAAGGTTTTAGGTATTGATCCCAATAACGTTAAATGTATTTATAGGAGGGCCAAGGCATATTTTTGTCTGAAAAAGTATGAATTGTGTAAAAATGATGTTATTAGAGGCTTGAAAATTGAACCAAAGAGCAAAACTCTTTGTGATTTGAATAAAAGTTTGCATGAATTGAAGGTAGCATAGATCATTGAAATGTGGAAGGAATATTATAGAATCTCTGTGGTAATTATTCAACACATGTAACTGCAATGACTCTATCTCTTTACACTAAATACCTCCACTGTTGGTTTTAAATGAGTATGCACCTCGAGCACTACCAAGGATTTTAGGTTTGAGTCTTCTGAGGGTTGTCATGGCAACCCAAATGAATGGAACTGGTACATTTTTGTCAGGAATTTTTAATATTACGGGTTTTTCAATCAATTGGAGATGAAAAATGAAATATATTTACAAAATATTGCAATAACGATGAAAAGCATGTTTTGTTTTTGTATCATCACCAGCGAATATTGCATCGTCTAAGATTTTAAGGGACAAGCAAGCAACCAATATTGATTTACAAATGTATGCATGTACTTGTTATTGTGTTCAGCTTTTAATTTCTTAATTAGCAGATTTTATTGTGTAAAGTTATTGTTCAAAGCGTTTTACTAAATTATTTAAGTGGCCTTTAGCTTCTATTTTCTGTTGGAAAATCAATTCTATGCTGTTTAAATTTTAATATTTCAGGTATTTTGTCTTGGGAAAGTGCATCATATATTATCACTGTTAAGGCTTCAAAACAGCATACTAAGAGCTATTTATAACACAGAGTGGTTAACAAAACAGACTGGTAATCTAAGGATTGCTGACTGCAAGGGTTCAAACCCCAACAGGGGCAAGCCATTGTTTCCATAAGCAAGAAACTTTACACTCATTGCTTAGTACTGGTTGGTTCCAGGAACTGATTCAAGAATGTTTCAATAAGCTTATAGCTTCCAATACAGTCAAACTAAACTTAAGATTGTATAAACTAACAGTGACATTCAGTTCTAAAATTAGGGGAACAAATTGTCAGCTTTACTAATATAGATAGTGGAGGTATCAAGGGGTTTCCTTATTGTGTATGTATTTTATTGTCAACAAAATTCATTTTCCAATTTTATTCTTTTGATTTGACAGTTAAATGAAATGATTTATGTAAAAATAACATATTTATCCTTTAGAACAGCTGAAGGACGCTTTAAATATTTGCACTTTACATTAATAAATGTGTTGTGAAGTACATGTATAAAGAATTAAATTTCCTTTGTTGTTTCATACAAGACTTTTTTGCTCCCAGAAGGGAGAGCATATAGTGGCTTCCTTGTTCATCTGTCCGTCCTTCTGATATACACGTGTCCAGAGAGTAACTTCAAACAGTAAGAGAGGTTATTTAGTGAAAGTGCAGTGTCAAAGAATCATGATTAAACCAAAACTCCTGGTACCAGTTAAGCTACGGCCAGTAACCACTGCCTTCACACAAATCATGTGATGATGGTCTTCTGGATTCTAAAGAAAAAGATCATATCGTCAAAAATCTTGATGAAAATGTTGTGATGGCAGAGATCTACTCCTGTAAGGGGAGATCACTGCATGGGAGATTGAATTAAACCTTGCTTAATTTTTTTTATTTTCTCCCTTGATGATATGATAATGTTTGTCCGGAGTATAAATTCTAATTAATTTTTGATATCTCATTGAATCTTCTATCAGTTGTAGAGACAAGCGAGAGGAAAGTCAGTGTGAAAGAATCATAACCCTACATGATTTTTTTTTAATAATCTCCCTTTAAATTACTTATTATTGCCTGTCCAGAGAGAAATCATTTGAAAAATAGTGAAAGAATTAAATTTAAACTTCACACAGTGATAGATACCAGTCAACCATATTTAAAGTTAAAAATTTTTGTCCAGAGTATATTGTCTGTGCTATCAATGATACGTCAGAAAGAGGATGTTAAGTGTAAAAGTAACATAACTCAAAACCCGATTTTAGCTACAATAGGGAGAGCTACCACATTCACTCGGTCGTCTGCATCTGTGTCACAATTTTGCTAAGTTTTTCATACCACCCAAATTATTTCCTATTCCATTTGAGATATTGATTTGAAACTTTGTACACTTGTCACTGACCATTATCCCCACTTCCAGACAACAGAATACAACTCTGTCATGGATTTTGACAAAATTATGCCCCTATGTCGGCTTAGAATTTTGGTCAAGTTTTTTGAACCACCTCACTAATTTCCTATACCCTTTGAAATATTGCTTTGAAACTTTATATAGTTGTAAATGACCATCATCCCTACTTCCAGGCAAAAAAATATAACTCTGTAAAGGAAAATGACAAAATTATGCACCTTTTTCAACTTGGAATTTTGGTAATGTTTATGTACCACCTCTTTTATTTCCTATACTCTTTGGGCTATTGCTTTGAAACATTGTTAACTTATTAGTGACCAACATCCCTACTTCCCCATATCTTGCAAAATTTAGGTCCCTGTGGTCAAGGTCACACATAGGTGAAAGATCAGATAAAAATATGAAAATGTGTATTCGGACCATTATTTATTAGTCATCATTTATTGAGGGATTGAAACACAAATGGTGACAGGTCATTAGCATGACTACAGGTGTGAAACATGTAATTTAGGTTAATATATGCAAGGTCAAGGTCACTATAGATGATAAAATAAAGAAATTTGTCCAGACCATATTTCTTACACATATAGAGGGATCCTAATGAAACTTCATAGAAATGTTCACCACTTTGAGAAGCAGTGTCATGCACATGAATCTGGTATCAAGGTCAAAGGTCAAGGTCACAGAGGTCATTGAAAAATGCTTGTCCAGAGCAAAACTTCTGCGTGCATAGAGGGATTTTAATAAAACTTAGCACAAATGTTCACCATTGTGTGGCGTAGTGTCGCTTACAAATTTCAAATGCCTCTGCCCAAGGTCAAAGTTCAGATAAAAATATGAAGATGTGTTTTCGGACCATATAGTCATCATTTATTGAGGGATTGAAACACAAATGGTCATTATCATGACTACCATTGTGAACCTAAGTATTGCCACATAAACCATATCCCTACTACCAAAGTCAAGGTCACATAGAGAGATCAAAGTTTGTGTACAGGGACCATTTAGTCATCATTTATTGATGGATTGTAACACAAATGATAACTATCATAACTACAAGTGTGACACATGACTGTAATTCAGGTTAATATTTTCGAGGTCAAGGTCACTAGAGATGATAAAATATCCAGATATTGCCCAGAGCTAGCTCCTATATGCATATTTATAATGCCCACATCTCCGACAAAAGCTTTTGCGACAATGTTGCCCTTGTTCAGCTTATAATTTAAAGGTAAGTACTCATGATAGTCAAGTGTGCTATCTTACTGACAGCTCTTGTTATTATCTCCCTTTTTAATAATGCTTGTCCAGAAAATAACTTGTAAAGTATGAAAGGAATTTAATTAAACCTTCACACAGTAATAGAGATTAGTAAGGCAAAGAATCCTAATTATATCTTGCTTAATTTTTAAATTATCTCCCTTTAAGATACATAAAAATGTTTATAAGCATTAAACCTTGTCCCCAGTATAATATAATTTCTTTTTCAGTGCTGATATGTTGTTGAATCCTCAAACAGTTGTAGAGGATAGTCAGTTTGAAAGAAATTGTAACTCTAAGTAACTTTGTTTTTTAATTATCTCCCTTAAATGTAAATTTTAAGATCATTATTTTTTAATTATCTCCCTTAAAAATACTTTGGAGAATAAGTCAAAGTATTAAAGAATAACTTCATAGTAATAGACATCAGTGAGAGAAAGTGCATTGTCAAAGAACCATAATTTTACCTTGCTTGATTTTTAAATTATCTCCCTTAAATAATGCTAGTTAAGAGTATAACTTCTAAAACTGTCAATCAAGGAAGAACCATAACTCTGCATTAGTTACTTTTTAATTACCTCCTTTAAAACTTTGATAATGTTTGTCAGGTAATTAACTTCAAATTTAATATTAATGGAATTTAATTTAAACTTCATCATTGATGACAAAAATCATACTTCTACCTTGCTGAATTTTTAACTCACCTGAGCACAAATTGCTCAAAGGTGAGCTTACTGATGGCAGTGGTCAGTCATCTGTTGTTATCCTCAATTTCCATAAACATCTAATAATTTAAACCGCTCGTTGCAATTTTGACCAAACTACACAGGAATGAACCTTAGGTTGTCCCCTACAAAAGTTATATAAATTGTTCAAGTCTGATGCTACTAGAGCTACAACAATATACAACGTACTCTAAAGATGAAATCTTTAAGAATCGTATTCCCTAAAACTAAAATGCCCAGAACACGTACTTTCACCTTATTGTCCTCTACAAAAACACTATCAATCATGCCTGTGGGGCTAAAAATGGCCCTGTCCTAGGGGTCATTTAGTTAACATACCGTAGGTATATTTAGGAAATACATTAATAAGATATCTGGCAGGTAGCATTGTCAAGTGGACCTTTGCAAAATTTGTTTAAATCATGTCCCTGGGGTCAAAAATGGCCCTGCCCCTAATCTCACTTAGTTTACATAGATCTTGTATAATACAGACGTCTTTAAAATCTTATGCCGAGAATTTAGATATTTGGCATGTAGCATCATGTTTGGCTCCTGGGGGCGAGAAATAGCTCTGCCCTAGTGGTCACTTAGTTAACATAGGCTTATATAGGAAAATACATTGAAAGCAGCACGCCTCCAGATTTATGCTAATTTTCATGAAAATGTATATAGAAATTAAAAATAGTGCCGAGTGAACAAAGAAAATAATTAACACATTGCAAACGGCACTTTAAATCAACATAAATTACCGAAAAGAGGTCAATTTATGCAAACATAGACCTTACTGCGTTAGTAACGTTAGTAACGCAGAAGAACTATGGTAATAAATACTACAACATCAGTCATTAATTGCACATAACATTTCATTTATTACTGGAATCTTAAATCGTTTTACTTTTTTTAAAACCTTAGTACATTTTTCTCAAATTTAATTTTTAATTTTCTTGAAACATTTTGGTTCATCTGGAGGCATGTGGCTTTATGTCTTCTATTTTGAAACCACAGTGCCAAGAGCTAAGATATTTGACATGTAGCAAAAATTTTATGAATAACCTTCTGCAATTTCCACAGATATAAAGTTTGAGCGAAAGGCAATTCAAGTCGCTGAACAGCGGGCAATGAGCATCTAAACGTACAGTAACCTGTGACAATAAAGGAGATAGCCATGGTACCAAGCAAATGACCTACCTTCCAAGCCGTCATTCCCTACTAAGAACACACACACCCTTCTACCCTTCCTACTCAGTTGGGAGCATTTTCTTTACGTCGGCGACTGAATCGTAGAATTGGGATATCAATAGACTTAACTCCAACTTGATAGTTTGACCTCTATAGCATAGATCTGTTTACCATGTACAGAAACAATACTTGCAACTTAAACGGTTAGCAGTGCTTTCGGTGAAGCAAAGTTCGGCGTAGCTTCTGCCGATAGCCTGAGTTTACTTCTTAACAACATAGACATATCGACGGTAGTAGACAGATGCGCGCACGTGGCTTTAATACCTTTCAGCTAGGACGTTTTCTTACCGGGCTATTGAAGCAGGATAGACCTTTGTCGAGTGTTTTATATTATAAGTCTCTAATGGGAAAACGACTGATTGGTGCATTTGTCATTATATTTTGTATTTATCAGCTTGAAATATACTAACATACTATGAAAACGCACGCCTGCATGTATATGATGTGAGATTTTATAATTAAGCGAATTACGGAAGATTCCCTCAAATGTATTTCATAATTGTTATTAATAAAACATAAACTTTACAACTGAAAATATTTTTTAAAGAATGTTAAAAAGCGTGCATGAACAAGTCCGCAAAAGAGCACCAGGAGAGAATCTAAATTATTCCTTGGTTACGGAGGATAACGGCAGAAAATTGGATCATCGGATTGTTTGCCTTCTAGTATGATTCCTGCCTTTTTCTGTAAGTATCCAAAGTTTATTGTCAATTTGTTGTTGTCGATGTGACATTATGCTCATTATTCTGAATTGACTTTATATTTAAAAAGATTGACTGTTAAAATGGTGTTTGACAAACAGTTGATATTGGAATATGTCTAGGATAAAATATAAATTTGCCGAAAAAATAAAAATTGACTGCCACACTCTCTATTAATTGAACGTTACAATTATTTACAGAAATTTCCTTAAGCCACTTCACTACAGTTATTTATCGTTCCTGTCGAGTTTATTATAAAATTGAAAGGAATTATGGCAAAATGAAAAACTTATTTTGATTTTCTCCTGTTAACTCACAATATACCCTTGGATGGACATAATGTCACATTATTAAGATCTACATTTCCGCTGGTTAGGCACTGAAAGTACGGACCCCGAACTGACAAGCTTTTGTGTGTGTATTTGAGTTAATTTTAATAATGTATACTCGCCACCGGTTGCCCATATGGGCGAGTCCTCCAAAAGAGTATAGTCATTTTAGATTTTGGAGGATAGTGCAAGATACAGGTACAGAAAGATGCCCCAATTCCAGAAGCTTCTCCTGGTTCTTTCACGTGCCAAGTGTTAAAGCACTCATACACGGGACCGACTTAAAGTCTCATTCGAAAGACTGATTAGTAAATTTTAGTTGGCCAGCCCGGAATCGAAACCACAATGTCGAGATTAGAAGTATCGCGCTCTGACCGATTGAGCTATGCGAGCTGGTATGACAAGCTTTCTATTTTTGGTTTCCTTTTGCGGAAAGTTACTGATTGGCCAGCTTTTTTTCTCTGTTACCTTCGGCAATTAATACAATTACAGTGATTGACTTTATTTTACAATTTGCTACTTTTATGACAAATAAGTTTAATTTCAGCACTACTTTGCTCATGTGATAAACATTTAACATTCTCTAGTCATTTTTAAATGTTACAGAGAAGGTTATAAAATATATGTTTCTGCTGCATAATGTGCCTTAAAATGAATATGATGAAAATAATGACACGAGTGTGAGCTTACTGATTATTATGGAGCGTAGGCTATTCAAAGCAGTGTAAGGGGAATAACCGTGTAAGTACTGTTAATTGCAAGCCATTAATTTTGTTCTGGTCTTTAGACAAGTATTCGGCTTGTCACTTGGGGGAAATCTAATAAATAAATGCATAATAGTATAATATTTGTTTATTATATTATATTATCTAACAAATAACCGGTTAAATTATTCTCATTATTTTATGGCTATTCAAAGCAGTGTATTTGTGTTCCTAGGGAATTGTAAGTTATAAGGTGTTCTTTTTCGGGGTGTTGATATAATTTTAACAAAAAAGTGTAAAATGATGATTGCAAGCCATTAAGTTTGTTCTGGTCTTTAGACAAGTATTCGGCTTGTCACTTGGGGGAAATCTAATAAATAAATGCATAATAGTATATAATATTTGTTTATTATATTATATTATCTAACAAATAACCGATTAAATTATTATCATTATTTTATGAATAAGCTAAACATTAAATAACTCTTTTGGTTCCTCTCTTTGACTTATTTTTAGTTTAGAAAGCCACATTTAAAATTAAGGTATGTTATTTGTGTTCTACGATGTATCTTCATGTCTTACCTTCTTTTACTAAAGATATAAAACTATTATTGAGCTAAAGAAATGTACATCAAGGGGTCACAATTTCGAGCCCCGCTACTCCAATTTATTAAATGCATAGGACCTTTTCCTCATCACCGCATTCAATATTCCACTCCAACGAAGATAATATTCTGACTGCATCAAATCACAGCTGATGAAAAAATATATAAGGTTCTTGTAGAACGTCTTTTCGGTGTTGCTATAATTTTAACAAAAAAAATTTAAAAGAAGACCTGCAATGTCTCAATTGTACACTTCACATATGAATGTTTAAACCTCATAAAATACCAGAAACGCACACATTATTTAACTTAAGAACATGTCGGTGTCCCATATAAGGTTGATCCTTTATGTGAGTTATGCGTAATAATAATTACTGACTGACCATAAATCTTTTTTTTTCTTTTGCAATTTTAAGCTATGGCCACCACATTTAGTCCGTAAATATTGACCTGGATTACCTGCATTGCGACTAAATGGGGGACATTAGTGAATAACCTCCCCTGAGTACTCCCTATAAATAGATAGGTCCTAAGCAATTGGATTACTCGGACTTTATCGCCTATTTCTTTGTAGCAAACTGAATTAATTAGGGCTAATTATTATCATTTGTAATATTCAGATTAAATATTGCGATAAGATGTAGAATCTGTTTACATAAATGAAACATTTTTTTCTTATTGTTTACATATTTGTTGATGCATGTGGAAATAATTGATAAAAACATATCAACCTGTCTTACATAAAACTCAACGATAAAAGCAAAGGATTCCAAATATTTGGACCTACTTACATTTAGGTTAACCTCGGTTTTTATCAAGGGAAGATAATCCACTATTGTCCCTCATTGACCTAGCTTTTATTCATTTCAAGCTTCATTTCTCAAAACTTTATCACATTACTTTTTTTTTTAATCAAACCTTTAACATTCCTCTTTTTGCATTATTATGATATTATCAAGCAATGGCGCACAGAAGAGCGATTTAAGGTCAAAATAGACTTCTTGTTCGGTTTTTTTTCCCGTTTTTTTTTCTTCAGATATAAGACAGACAGATAAGACATACGTTTATCTTATACCACACAGGGTAAAAACAGTATAAAATTGCTTCAGAAAATTAAGGAAATAGGAAATATTTTAACCGAAAGATAGAAAGAAGAAAAAATCCAAATTTTTGAAACATGGAGTAAAGCAATTAGATATACATCTAATTATATAAAGTTATTGAAATATTCAATTTTCCATATAAAAAGAAAAGAAAAAACTCCGTAGAAATCTGCAAATGAAAAAAAGGACAAGGAAATTGATATATGCTGTTATTTCCTCCAGTATTTGAAGATCTGAACATTGATATTTTCGAAACTGATCATAAAAGAAACATATTTAAAATCGAATCTAATTCTCTTAATTATCTCTGACGAAACTGAAAATCTGAACATTTTTTTCATACAGTAGTGTTTAAATGAAAGTTGTATCAGAGATGTAGATCTCCATGTTATCTATATCTCTGGCAGTATTAAGAAATTAAACCAAATATTTACTCTTACTCAAACATTTAGATCTATCTTAATATATCTCTTTTCTCATTCACAGATGTCACTTCAGAAAAAAAGCATATCATTATAATGCAAATCTTTGAAATCGATTTATGGTCCAATCACTGATCGTCTTCAATAAGTCTTGCATGGTGTACGAGTATTATGAGACTTTGCAGAAAGGTTCTTGGTGTTCTCATATTATTTCATAATGCAATAAAATCATAAAATTATTAGAACAGAATATTTATCTAGTCAAAATTGTTTGGGAATCAGCAAGGATATGAATATTTATAAACATTCTTTGGTACGGCGAACATTTTTATGGGACTCCATTTTTATCTGGAACATACGATACGTACATATAGTACATCCCAGATTTTTATGTTTGACAAAAGGTGGAGTAAAATGTAAATGGAAAACGGAGGAAAATGTGTTTACTAATTACATATTGATAACAAATTCTATGAAGGAGTAGATCTAACTGGTTTAAAGTTCATAAATAAACTCAGATCGTCTTAATAGAATTCTAATAAGTCTTGCAATTTTAAAATAAGATTTTTACGTGTAAAAGGGCAGACTCTGTAATTGTACCGCTGATAGAGTTGTAAAATTTAGTAAATCTATTAAAAATTTAAAAAAGTGAAATAATAAAGAAATTAAATGACATGCATACTGTATGCCTTTAAATTTAAGCAGCAATCTCAATTTTAAAAAATATCAACCCTTATAAATACGCTTTGACATATTTCGTTGGTCAAGTTGGGGCTTCATACAGTAGTACACGGTTAGCAGGGGCGTAGCCAGCTTTTTTCAACTTGTAGGCACATAAAAGGGGGTCTGGGGGCTTAGCCCCCGGAAGTCAAAAACAAGTTCAGATTAAAAAGAACAAAATGCACGTTCCAAAGTATGTTCAAGGAAAATTATCAAAACAATAATTTTAAACTATGAATTTGATTAGATGCATACTTTTTTGAGGGTGGTAAATCATGCGCACAGACTTGATTTGACTATACGGCTTGAACTCACTACCTACTCCATTCTCGCCTGTTTTATGGTATTTTTGGGACTTTTGAAAAATTATGTTAATTTCTTGACCAACTTGTAGGCCCGTGCCTACATGGCCTAATAGTAGCTACGCCACTGGTTAGGGCCTATCTTATTTATCACATTTGTATTTTGATGAGATATTTACTTGTATTTTGTCCTTGAAATGGCATGGAGTTTAATAGACATGGATATCTGTGGAAATGGTTACAAAATGATAGAAAATATTTAGAATTTTCCCGCGCTGGGTATAGCATAGGTAGATACTCATTGTTACGGCGTGTAGAAAATACGCTATCACAAGTTACTCTACCAAAACATACGACGGCGTGTACAGTCGGAGCGGGAATATTATCTCTGAAAAAGTAAGTTCCACTTATATTTTTTAAATTTCTCTCTTAATAATTATATCAGTGAAAACCTCGGCTAATTTTAAAATTATTTTTTTAATACCAATTGTGGTGTTAAATGCTGTCTCTCTGTTTAGCTGTAGGTGTGTAGCTTTAGAAATTTGTTGTTGCATCATCACCTGGTATAAGGCTGGTTCACTAGTATGGACCTGACATGGAACTTGGTGCCAGAATGTACGATTTTTCACGAAGAACAGAATCTAGTTTAGCATAAGCCCCCACCGCCAAATTAAATAAGTGTGCAAGCTTTTTTGTTTGGTTACTATGCTGTTTATAATTGTTATTTTCAATTTTGTTACAGTAAGAGTTTTGAATAAACATGATAAACAAGTAAAAAGGCTGGGATGTGGGGCTGCAGCCTCTCAATAAGCAAGTGTACTGAAATTGTTTATCTTCCGGGGTCTGCTAGATGTGTTACAAATTTTTGAAAGTCTTAAATGTGCCCGAAATTTTTGTTTAACAATTAGTGAACATTTAATTCTGAACTCTCCTGTAAAAAAAGCCTGCGGGTGGGATGTGTCACCTTTAGAACTGCGTAGCTGTCATTTAGGCATTTTCTTTTTAATATAGGTTGTTTATAAACACCGCTCTTACAATGTACATGTACCCTGAACTTAAGTGGCATTTGAACTGATTGTAACAATGTTACATCAGGAGTCAAAATTAAAAATACTATGGAAAAGTTTTACACTGACAGATCAAATTGAGGACTCTCACGGTTATGGATTCTCGAGCACTGCACTTAGGTCAGACTTCCCGAAATACGTCGGTCCGACGGACATGTCCGATAAATTTTGATCAGGTCCGACGAATTTTTATTCCGGATCGGTCCGACTGTCCGGCTTTTATCCAAGCCGCATGTATACAAAATGGCGTCGGTAAAGGTGCCAAACCTTGGAAAAATAAAAAATCTACGTCAGAGGAACGCGCAGAACAATTGTAAAAGGATAAAAAGAAGGACCTGAGACAAAATTTAATGAAAATTAGAAGTAAGACAATGAATCGTTGGTGTATGATAGGGAGGAGATGAAAATGCGCTGCTAGGAATGTGCCGATTTTTACGGCGAAAAAATTAAAAACAAAAAGTGTCTTTGAAATGCAAACACACGTTATTCTTTGATTTTGATCAATTTTATTTGGTCCGACAGATTTCGTTTCGGTCCGACAGATTTTCATGGTTTGTCAGACCGAATGTCTGACAGTTTTTTTCAACTTTCGGGAAGTCTGTTAGGTCAATAAAAAGAGCTTAAATACCAAATTTAGAGTCAATCAAACTTATTGTGATCATGCTATGGACAAGCCTATTAAGTACGAAAATTAACACAGGGCAATAACTCAAAAATCATGAAGTCAGAAGTGCAGAGAACAAGTTCCTGTGCACTGCACTTCTTCTCAATGATCTATCATCCTATGAAGTTTCAAGTCAATAGCTTTAAAAGTGTAGGAGAATCGGCCCAGACAAAAATAAAGTATTATAATAAACACAGGGCAATAACTCTAAAATCATGAAGTACAGAGTAACGGTTCTTGTGCACTGCACGTCTTCTCAATGAGATCTATCATCCTATGAAGCTTCAAGACTAAAGTCCCTAGCTTTTATAGTTTACCACCTCCGTGGTAGAGGGGTTAGAGTCAATGACTTCTAATCCAGTTACCTCTCTGTCGTGGGTTCGATCCCCAGGAGATGCTTTGGTAGTTTAGCGCGGAGGAAGGTTGTCTAGTACTGGTGTAACTCTCCAGGAACGATGGTTAGGAAACTACCTGCCTATATGACTGAAATACTGTTGGGAAAAGGCGTAAAATGAAACAAACAAACAAACTTTTATAGTTTAGGTAAAATGGCCGGGACAAAAATAAAGTAACAAAATTAACCAAGGGCAATAACTCAAAAATCATGGAGTACAGTTTTTGTGCACTGCATTTCATCTCATTGAGATCTATCATCCTTTGAAGTTTCATTTCCATAGCTTTTATAGTTTAGGAGAAATGGCCCAGACAAATATGAAAACTTAAAATCAACAAAGGCAATAACTCAAAAATTAAGAAGTTCAGAGTAACGATCTGCACTTTGAGTCATTGATAGAAGCATGCATACCAAGTTTGGAGTCAATCAGACTTATAGTGACTGAGCAATGCTCCGAACAAGCTGAAGGGGACGCCGACAACGACGCCAACATCGATGGCACCGACAAAAGTAACCCCTATATGTCGCCTTTTTCAAGTCAACACAATTATACCAACATAGTTACATACAACATGCTGTATACTAAGTTAAGTAAAAATATTGTCTAATATTTTTAACTTGCACCCATATTGGGCAGACTGATCAGATCTATACAATGTAGCATTGATCATAGATGTGCTGACTGATCTTGGTCTGCACTGGTCACATGTTTAGAATATGTTGTTGTTAGAAGGTTAAGAGGTAAACATTACTAAGTGCTCAACAGCTGATTTCAGCAAAAGAAAAAAATGTGCCAGAAAGTTGGTGCGGAAGCAAAAGTTTAAAGCTTACTTGTAAGTCTTGTATGTCACTATGTGTCAATTAAAACATTTGAAATAAAATTAAAAAACTATGATCATCAAACTGGATTTGAAGTGGTATGCATTTTAGGAAAAGATTAAAGTATATCTTACTTAAAATAACAGAACCAAAATTTTTCTATAGTATTAATTGTATGTACTAGTAAGAATACTGTTTTTAAGCAATATTTTTAAAGTTTGACTACTGTAGGTCAGATTCAGGTCACAAATATTTAGACTTCATTTTGGCATGTACTGCAGTGTGAAAAATTGGCATGATAAATTATTATAAGATCTTATTGTCAGTTAATTTTAGCTGTCAAAGTAAAACTGATAACCTTAGGCAGTTTTTATCATGCACAGTTTGGTAGTCATAGAAAATTGATGGAAATTTATCATACTAATTCATATAGGTCATTTCCCTTTGTAGGGCATTGACCTGCAATGAATGCTACATTTGACCCAGAGATGATCAAATGTAGAACTTGCACTTAAGACAAGTCTTGTTTGACCTGTATGTACTAGTACTGAATTCTGCATTGCTTTGCTATGTTATGCCATTCCTTTTATCAGATTAAAAAAAAAAATCTATATGTATATAAATATACGTTTCTTCTTCCTCTTGTTCCAGTTCTGTACATAAGCCTCTCTGGGGCTTTAATAGAATTTAATAGGAGATTCATGTCAGTTTTAAGTGATTTTAAGGGTTTTGAGTTTGAAAATTGGTACAAAAGTTTGAGAGGAAAAAATAACATGAAATTTTAGAACATAAAAAGTAAAAGTCTTAATTTAATATTTTGACAAGAAATGGTCATACTTCAACAAAAAATAAAATTTGGATGCTACAAGTCTAGGGCTCATAATAAGGTGTAGGAATGACCCCCACCCACCCTCACCCCAAACTCACAATTTTTAAATATCAGTCATCAGATGCTGATCTTTATTTTAGTCTGACATGTGTAATTTTCATTAAATGTTTTTATTCCAGCTTCATTTGGTACTCTATAGCCTGAAAACAAAACAATCATGGGTCTGTGCAAGAGAGCAGAGAAAGCTGAAATTACTGAGGTGAGGCCAGAAGACCTGATGGATGATAGCAAGTGTGTTAAGATGAAGAAGCAAATAAGCTTGTTTCAAGGTGTTGCCATTATTGTGGGTATAATTATAGGCTCCGGAATCTTTGTATCGCCGGTCGGTATCCTACAGAACGTCAGATCGGTTGGCATGTCTTTTGTGCTGTGGATTGTGTGCGGCATATATAATGCTCTCGGAGCAGTGTGTTACGCCGAACTCGGAACATCGATACCGCAGTCAGGCGGAGAATATGTGTACATACGTAGAGCATTTGGAGATATGGCATCGTTTGTGTGTCTATGGATTGACTTTCTCCTCATTTGCCCCGTGGGTATAGCGGCTATGGGCTTGATGTTTGCGGTATATCTGCTGAAACCAATATACCCTGACTGTGACATCCCAGAGACACCACAGAGACTTCTAGCTGCATTAATCACTAGTAAGTATTCATTTTGTCTCAAAATTATTTCCGATAATTGAGTGGCTATATTTTATTAAATACCAGCACAGGTTATTTCATCATTTGCTATGAAATTAGAAATACATTATTTTACAATATTGAAAGGTCATGAACCTTGCATCTAACATTATTTGTACCATAAATTCATTCATTCATTCATTTATTCTGTTTACTTTTCCATTACATATCTTTATTCATTCTTTCATTCGTTCATTCTGCTTACTTTTCCATTACATATGATATCTGTAGATCATTGGGTGTTTCTTTATCATGTGTTTATTAAAAAAGAACACTTAATAAGTTAGTGATATTTGTCATGTAATTTTTCCAATGTTTTGGGTTCAAAAATTGAAGTACAATCATGTAGGCCACATTAAACTCTAGTTAGTACATTTTACATGGCACATTTAGGATAAACACTTCAATTTCTATCAGTTAAATATGTTAGAGTATATGTACACATATCTCTCAATCAAATGCATGCAGCATTATGTTTCATTTATTTGTATTCACATCTTGATCAACAAAAGTCACCACTAATTAAAAGCTAAAAAAACTTGCATACAAACTGTACATCTAATTTGAAAAAAAAAATTTCAGTGTTGTATTTTCCATATAAAATAAATCAGCAGAGCTTTTTTTTACACAGGTTGGGGAAGCAGCCCCTCCCTTAATTTTGGGGAAAATAATACTCGGTATATTTGCATCAGGGGAAGAAAAAACTTGATGTAAATTCACTTTTTGGGGGAAAACTGCATGATTTTAAAGAATTTTTCTTTGGGGAAGCAGCCCTATAACGGCCCCTGCTATAGAAGGAAAAAAAGCCCTGAAATGAAACCATATTTACACAAGGAAAGTAAACACTGAATTATCAATAAAATATTAAGTTGACTGCAAAGTACATTGTACAAATAAATTGGCAGGAAAAAAAACCCATACTTTCACTATAATTATATTCTTTTCAAGTTTAACATTGTTTACCACATTATAGAAGGGTACATATGTTTATACAATAAAAATTTAGTTATTTCCAGATGGAATCATGTGAAGGTCACACTTCGTTTTGACTATTATTATTCTACAATGTATATAAGATATGTTTCTCCCATGATTTGACACAGTATGCTTAATATTGTCTGACACCTGCTTTTTGAACCAGTTCCAGATGTGGCCAGAAATATAGATATCTTTTTGTTTTATAAAAAAATGTTCAGCAGAAATAATATTTGCTGCAGTATTTTGAAATCGTATTAGAGTTGGTTTTGTAAACAAAGAATAACCTAAACAACCTTGTCCTGAATCTAGGTCTTCACCGTGTAAATCTCGGTAAAAGAAACATGCCTCGTAATTGCTGACAAGTTTTGTCTTCATTTCATTCATACCTGCCAGATTTTTAGGCTATTTATACGTTAGGTACGACTATACTATACCGTTACATGTGACCAGGTTATAGCTATTGTTTATAAACAAGAACAGAAAAAAAAAACTTGACTTATTAGTTAAGATCAGTACCTATTCTATCTATTATAAGAATAACGTTAGAATATTTATTATTCAGATCAGTGGGGAAGGATTTCAGAACAAATATTTTATGTCTAAACTTTGTTGCAGATTATAATGTTATAATCCTAATCTCGAAAAGACGGGGAAAAATCAAGATAATAATCAATGTTTTAGCTTGTGTTTTATTTTTGGTTTGTTTGAATGACTGATTTATTTTATTATATATATTTTTTATAAACCTTGCAGAAAAGGATATCTTTTCTCTCGCAGTGCCACATTAGAAATAACGCCTGGTAATAAATATAGATGTTTTTGTACTTAACTACTTTGTATTCTTTTATGGCACTGCTATGAAATAAGGCCCCGTCTACACCTATTCAAGTTTCTTACATGTCACATTTAGATAAGATAAATAAATGGTCCTTTCAATATTTAATCAGGCACAATTTTTACTGAAATGTCTAATTAAGATTGCCCAGGATTTATACCTTTGTCTTTGCAATACTATCATGTTTCTGTAAAATATGTGAATAAAAAAAGCGGGAAAATGATGCAATTAGCTAAAAACAATGGAGTAAATGAAATTGAAATGTGTACATTCTTTTAAAATAATGGAAAATGTGAGAAAAATATTTTTTGAGCTGATAAATTGATGCAAATTCTTTATTTGATGAAAGTTATTCACTAAATGAACAAGATCATTTAAAATCCATTTTGACTACTTGAAAAACTGATTTTTTTTTTTTTTTTTTTTGCTCTCCTATGTTTTGATCTGTTCCTCTGACCAAGACATTGTATACATTTACTAAAATTTACAGATCATGAACACTGAATCAGTAACAAATAAAGTCAGAAAATAATGAAAAAACAACACTATCACACCTTCCGGGCACATGTTTTGTGTCAAACCGGTGTTATCAGTGTCTTGACTGGCAAAAACTTGTAGAAAAATAGAACATGTTGCAAGGAATTATCTTCTTGGATGTCACATAATTTCTCTTTAAAACTCATTCAAGTAGGGTGTCTACACTATGCAATACAAGAGAATATGATACTTGCATTCAAGACTTGGATAGGTGTAGATGGGCCCTAAGTTGTACTGATATATCTTGTAACAAATATTGTGTTTAGCTTGACAGTTCATCTATGAAAATGCATAAATAATGCCATTTTATTTACATGACTGCTCACATTAATATGAGATATCACATTTTATAAAAAAAAACAACACAACATTAATTTCCACAAGTAGCTACAGTGTCTGGCATGTAATAGATTTACTTTGTCAGGAGTGAATTAAGTAGAGCAAAGTTATTTGACATTTTTCATCAATCAAAAACATGAAAATAATGTTGTATTACATCACATAATAATTATGTTCCTATATTATGCAATACTGTTTATATTATATAGCTGTATTGCACATAAATGATGTATATTAAACACCTGTTCCATAGGTTAGACCCTTGCAGCATTAACTGTTAACAACATATAACTTTGCTGTTAAAGGTTTTCAAAGAATGAAAGGAAATCAAACTAAGTTTAACTATTGCCTTGAATTTACTTAGACACCACTTTGTTATAGATAGTGATCTGTGTAGTCTAGGCTTAATGAGGGTCCATCAGCCCTTTCTGGCACTGAGAGTATGAACCCCAGATAGTGATCTAAAGCTATGATCATTTTTTTATCAGGACTTTGATAAGCATCTAGTTAGGGATTTAACTGTCCATAAGAATGCTCCATAAGAATGTGTTCAATTCTATAGGATATCTGTGTGTGGTCCTGTAATCAGATGTACCCTGCTGAACTTAAGTTACCACCCACTGACCATACATATGGTCACAGTATGGAATTTGACACTTAAATCTTAAACCAAGTGTGATAATGGATTAACATAACAGGGGTGGACATGTGCTTGTAATTAATGACCCAGAAATTGTTTCTAATGCAATGAAATATGTGTATGTAAATACAGTAAATAAGTTTTTATTTATTACTTATAGTTATTCATAGCACCTTTATTTGTTGACATCATAGATTTTTATGCTCCCCGAAGTGTGAGGCACTGAGCATATAGTCGCCGCTTTGTCCTTCTGTCTGTCCGTCCGTACAAAAATATAGATACTTAGTGGGGGTTAACAGTAAATTTCTTTGATGCTCTTCATTCAGTAAGCTCTTATATCATGGGTGAAAGCAATACTGCAGTAACTTTAACATTTAGTCCATTGACAGTTGTGCTTTTAAAACAGTTTTCCCTGCTTTGCTCAGTAGGAAGGTTGCAGGTTTGATCCTATTGTTATGCAAATTACTTTGTGACAATTGATCATGGATATTCAATGTAATATTCATATATCTCTCTGATTCAGAAATTATGTGAGATTAGTAGTTGGTAAATGGTAATTACTGGTTAGTTATCCAAGAGAGTTGGTTAGGTGGACCGACTGCGAAGATATAACCAAAAGTGTGTTAAAATTTGTGAAATGTAAACAGACTAACAATCAAGGCAAAAACATTTTAACTGCATTTCCTTAAACAGTCTATCTTCATTCATTATCATTTTTGTGAGGCAATTTTATTTAATTTGAAGAATACAACAAACTGCATAATGTTTTTGCAGAATGACATGCATGTTAAATGTTACCGTAGTTTTAAAGTTCAGATTAAAGCGGCATTCCTCTAGATGTTTATGAAATAAAACTTTAGAAAATGAAACTTAAGAAAAAAGTATTTCTAGCTTAAGATATGAATAAATATTCAAATTTAGGTGAAACTTGTGGTGTTTTAAATATGAAAATGACTGAATTTACTATTTTACTTTTGATATCACTATAATTCTATCTGGTAACTTAAGGGTAGGAGAAATTTCTGTTTATTTTGACAAAGATTTCAGTGTATATAGTAAGTGCCTAAGTCAGGTCAAATTACTTTATTTGTACCCATTAAAACAATTTTTTTTGCTGACATGTATATAAGAATTAACACAAATCTGGTTGGATACTACTATACAAATTAGGGTTATATTTCTCTAAAAACTTTATTATAATCAAGTGTAAGTTATTTTTATAGATTTATTATGTCAAGATCGGTCAAAGGAAGTTCATTGAAACTAAAGTCAATAACTTTGACCCATTTCTTTATGTTTGAAAACATTTAAGTCATGTACATAGAACAATTGTCTGAAAGAAATTCCCTGTGGAGATAACATGGTTAAGTTGAAAAGCCTTGAGTTTGTTCCAAATACAGATTACAATACCTTGTAAGTTTAAATGGTTTGTGATTATATTGAATAAACCTGATTCCCTGCATTTACTGTTTGAAATTACATGTAACCATAACTTTGCTAAATGAACTCTCCCGGCTATGACTTCGGAATAGTCCATTATAAAAGAAAGGGTTTCACTTATAAGAGTTTTTAAAAAATGTGTTTAGCAACCAACTGAATAGAAATGGCTAAATTTGTTATGAATTTATCTATTATTTGGCCATACCTGTGTATTTTCACTTGAAACCTATTATCATCGATGCCTTCATGAAAAATGTTGCTTGAACATTGGATTTAAAAGCTATTTGTCCTGCAGAGCGATGACTTTGAAAATATTTTTTGATGCCTGGTTAGTGGTAAAAGATAATGTTATTTTTCTTTGCTATAAATAGTGCATAGTGTTCTGTAAAAGTGTCATGTTATACATTGTTAACATGTATAATGCATGCATCAAAATTATAATAAATCATTTATGATTATAGCAAAATACTACTTATAGGTATGGTAATATAACCGATTGTTTATTTCAGCATTATTGATTGCTGTAAACTGTGTCAATGTGAAATGGGCTACACGAGTTCAAGTTGTGATCACCATCAGTAAACTGGTTGCCCTGGCTAGCATCATTGTGATTGGGTTTTATTTCATTGGCAAAGGTAAGCAACACATGTGCTATTTACGGTATTTTCATCTGGAACAAGGGGCAGAAGTAACGCCCAATTCCCAAATTAGAATAGCTTGATTTTGTTGAAAATATATCTAAACCACAGAATGTATTCTCATATGGGCAATTGTGTGTAACATTTTACAACAGTTTAATGTTCTATCTCCTAGTTTTGATAAAAAAATTTTTAATAACGCTTCAGGTAATTAAATGCAATATGTTAGCATGTATAATTTAATATCTGTTATATAATTTTGATTATATGAGTGTTATTTAACCCTGTCAGCCTGGAATAGAACTCTCAAATTGCAATGTATGTTAAATGAAAATCTGGGCATTCATTTTACCAAAGTATATTTCTCCACTTTCATTCCATTTTCTTTGTATGACTGTCATATGAAATACAACAATTTCTGTTGTTTCTTTCCTCTGTATACCGGTATATCCTAGCAAACTGTTGTAGTGTCTTTAACCTGAGGGCTCTTTCCCAGAAATTGAAAAAGGTCCTAGCCTTTAATATTTTGGGAAATTCTGACAAGCACATTTTTGGTCAAATTTGGTTTAGAAAATTAGAAATTTATTCTAGGTGTACTTGATATTGTAGTTTGATTTATTGTAGGTGTGTTTGATTTATTCTAGGTGAGACTGAAAGTTTTCAGAACAGTTTTGAAGACAGTGATACCAGTGCTGGTGCTATAGCCTTGGCTTTCTACTCAGGTTTCTGGGCATACAGCGGATGGTAATATTACTATAACATACACATATATGATGTTTTGATAGTTGTGTCATAGTTTGGAGACTTTACTATTGAAAACATGTCAGAGTTACCGTAAATCGTATACCAATACATGCATAGTGCGTTAACTGGACTGCAGGTATTAGTTACCCAGGGAAAGAGGTAACAGTGGAAAAGTCATTTGTTTTCTGATGCTCGTTCATTGGTTACTGTTTTGGGGTATTAATATAACAATATTGTAACAATATTGGAACATGTTTTTATTTTTGCAAATTATACAAAAGAGAATAAACATCAAAACACTAGGTAATCTGATTTAGATTTAAGGGCTATGCCCCCTCATACAAATCAGATAGCCTTGTGTTTCAATGCTCTTTCTATTACTTGTAGCCTCTGTGTATATTATTATTAGTTCTGACAGGAACTTTGGATAGTTTCATGTGAGGAAGTTACCCAGTTAGTTTATTCATTCAAGTGCCTCTTCTTGTGTGGCTACTCCCAAATAGATTCCTGTACATGTATATTTTTAGTTTCACATCATGACTGAAATGACATCTTTTATTAGTACAAGGCTTTGTTCTTAATTAATTGGTTCGCCAACATCAGGTTTAGAATAGTAGCTTTAAGTTTTTATCTTCTTTATATTTGTTATAAGCATTTAATAAAAATGTATTATGCTTTATGCAAATATGCAGTAAAAAGGTTTTTATATTTGTATATTTGGTATTTTATTCAATTATTTAATGTTTGTTTAGTGAAGTTATTTGATTTGCTTTATTTGACTTGTAGGAGTTACCTGAATTTCCTTGTTGATGAACTTGTCAATCCTGTCAGGTAGGTTCCTATTACCTATATTGAATAAAGATATCGTTTGTACACATATTTCTTAAAACTTACTTGCTGAATATCATGAATAAAGTTGTACAGTTTCAGTTGTTGAGAACAAATAAGGTTCATTGTCCACTTTTACTTTATCTTGATGAAATTATGAAAGTTGGTCCTTCCACAGTATAGAGTCTTGTCAAACTGCGCCTATAGTTTATGGAAATGTTCTGTTTTGTTTTACCTTGATGTTTCCTGAAAAATTTGTGACCAGTGGTTACAAAAGTATTGATTGTCAGAGGAACCAGATACATAAAATGTAATCTAAGCTAAAACTGTCTGGTCTGATTTGACATAGTTATTGTCCTTTCCCACCTGATATCTTGCATATAATAGTATTGAAAATTATTTGACAATTTACTTGTAAAATTCACATGACATTTTCCCTTTTAACATTGTGAGATTGTATCATAGAAATATGTAATAATGTATCCATTTCGACATATACTTGTTTGAAAGTGCTCATTCTTCATTTTATATCTTACATTATGGGGACATTTGAAAAAAAACTTGAATGAGATTTTACGATGGAATTTTTACACATGAAAAAATAATATTAATGATAAACATCATGATATGCATTTTAATTACCTTATTCAAACTTTTTTGTAATAAATAGCTCATTTAAAGCATGTTTTGGGTTTATTTATGAACCATGAAAAAAAAAAAGACAAAGTAACTAAAAAACCCAACTTTCTTTCATTTTATAAAACACAAGTTAAAGAAAATAATTTCTTGACTTAGTTCAAGTAGTGCAGTTTATTTCTTCGGGGACAACTTGTATTTATAATCTGTTGAGATAGGTTATGTTTCCTTTTAATTAATTTATCAGCACTGTTAATGTGTATTTTATGTCACATGCCACATATATAGGACTAATAAAGAAAGAATTTATATTATCTGATATGATAAATTAAATAATAAGATAATTAACCTGCAGATGTTAAATATGGGATATGCTGTCTTACATTAAGTCATAGAAAATATATGGGAATAGATAAATAGTTTCTAATGAAAATAAAAAAATGTTTAGTGATAATAATAGTCTATTGGCATGTATACAGCAATAAAAAAGATCCACTTGACTTCTGGAAATTACGACTATGATGGATGACGGCCCCCTTCCCCGGGGATTTGGCTATTATTTTAAACCCAACTGAGAATGGGTTCTTTAGCGAAAATTAAGCAAAATTTAATGAAAATCACACACACAAAAATCTTAGTCGTTACCACAACTAGAATCGAGTAAAATGCCAAATCCCTCTGGAATGTGTATTAGCCTTTGTAGACATTTCATGACCCCCTCTGGTAAAAATTCCTGGATCTGCACCTGGAAGTTCCAAATGGGAAGTGGGACAAGCTTATTTCTGTATTAGTCATTATGATTTTAAGAAGAAATTATGAACTTATGTTTTAACAGTGTTGCAGTAAAGTAATTTGTTATAATTATAATGTTATTTTTTTTACGTTTCCAGAAATTTGCCACTTGCTATATTCATATCGATGACCTTGGTAATTATCGTATACCTGCTGGCTAACGTGGCGTACCTTGGTGTTCTATCACCCTTACAGATGCTCTCGTCACCCGCTGTAGCTGTCGTAAGTCTTTAATTGTCTTATTGTCTTATTATTTATGAAGACGTGACTACAGATGTAAGGAATAATGTCCCTCACATTGGTACTGGCTAGTTCCAGGAATTGGTAATCACTGGTTAGTTTACTGGTTAGTTATCCAGAAAAGCAAGCTATGTGCAAAGATTGCCAGATGTGACTAAAAATGTATTGTAATTGGCATAAATAAAATGAAGTAAAAATAAACAAACATCAGGAAACTGATTAAGAAATGAAAGATAAAATTAGCAAGAAATAGTTTCACAGTCCTCAAGCTTAAATATAATTGTATAAACTATAACAAAGACATTGAAAGTTACCATGTAGCCTTCAAGTTTTTATAGTAACTTAGGTCTCAAAGTGTAAGATATATATGAATAAAATACTGATAAATTCAGAATTATAGAAATAAAATAATTCTTTCTGTAGAATTAAATGATAAGTTTGTTACGCAAGAATTTCAATTCACTTGGTCAATATAATATATCTACGACTTAAATGTTATACTTTTCTAGAAATGTTACTGCTAGAAGTGCAGCCTTTTACCAATAACAGTTACGTTAACTATTCAAAATATTATTGTCATATGAATGTATAAACGGCCAAAACATTTTGTTTATTTATATATACAATACATGATATGTATAAATGTTAAGGTTGTTTGGATATTTGATCATGTATACAAAATTTGGAGGTCAGACTGCAAAATGTTTGACACTGGAAGTCTGGTGTATATTTTATTTAAAATTCTTTTGTGTTATTTCACAGACATTTGCAAGCCAGACGTTGGGACCATTAAAGTGGGTGATGCCTATCTTGATAGCTATTTCTGTCAGCGGAACAATGAATGGAACAGCTCTATCTATGTCAAGGTTAGGCACAGATCTCTAATCTAGGTCATTCTTTATCAAGATTGAAAATCTTGCTTGCATTTGCATAAATTGTAAGAAGAGAGGTCTCCTGCAGGTTTAAGTATCTGTCTGTAAATGCAGGGTTTTGTTGGTTTGAACCCTACAAGGGTCATGAGAATCACGACCATGTAGCGGTATACAATACAAGTACAGTCAAACCTGTGTTAAAAATCAACTCTGATTAAAGACCACCCCACCACTCTTTGACAAACTTTTAATGATAAAAATACAATAGAGTAAACTCCAAATAAAGACCACTTGTCAATAAAGACCTTGTATGGTCTCCCGTTTGGATGACCTTTGTTTGCAGGTTTGATTGTATTTGTTTTTCTAGAAGCTTTATAAAAAGCTGGCTTAAGAATGGTTGAAATAGGCTAGAAGCTTCCTTTAAATAGATAATACTTAATTAAACTTAATTGTAGCTGTTTTGCGGTTGAATTACTCTCAACTGTATGCGAAATAATTTTTTGTTTAAAAAGATTGCACATCATACTTGAATAATTGTAATGAATGCAAAGACAATGCAACAATAAATATGTATTAATGGATAATTCTACTTAAAAACTTGTAAATCATAATGAATAAACAGATAATATTGTTGTTTTTTGTGTGTCATAAATATAGATGTTGACTGTTGCTGTGATATATTAACTATAGATAAACCATGTACAGTGTAATTATGATACTAATAATCAGGTTTTTTGGAGAAAAAAATTCAAATGCCATGTGACATGTTTGCATAGCTCTGCAAAATATTTAAAGATAGGTTATCAAAGTCTTTTTATCTTGACAATTGTGTGAAGTCATCTGAAGTCATGTGATATTCTGCGTAACTGTAATTGCAGGTTAAGGTTAAATTTATTTAAAAAACCCCAAAACTTTTATGTTATTCTAAATGGCCATTTATAAAGCATACATTTTGATTTATATTTTTAAAAAAAAAGTATAAACAAATTGGGGGAAAAAAAGACGGTCTAAGAAAATTTATTGTATGAAAACCTAAATTAGATGTTATTTTGTTAAAAGATAACAAGCCTACCCACTTTAATTTTTTTTAATTTTGCACAAAAGGCTAAACCACTTCTTTTCAAGGGTAAAGATTTATTTTATTGAATGTGCCAATTAATTAAATTTTTTTGTCCCCCTTTTGATTTTTTAGCTGAAAATTTTTAATTTTGGGGGTTTTTCCCTTTAATAAAAAATGTCAAAAAAACAGGTTGGGAACAAAAAGTTTTAAAAACTCAGCAATTTTCTTTTTTTTCTTAATTTATAAAGTACAAAATGGAGTTGATTTTGTTGAAAGATGACTAAATGACAATTAATTATCATGATTATGTTTAAATAATATTGGATGAGAGGTAACTCTGCAATGTATATTGGAAATCCTTGCAGTATGAAGAATGGCCTTTCACAAACAACAATTTTATATGTTGTTATGTGTGAATGAAACTTTAATAAAGATTTTTTCATTATATTATTTATGCATGTATATGTACAGGAGGGAAGTAGTGGCCCAGTGGTTAAGATGTGTCCCTACATAACCAGGAGTCATTTGTTCAATACAGAACTGGGAGGGGAGTAGGGTCTAAATGGTTTTTCCTCATAAGTTACCAGTACTGATCTAATCAAAAAAAGGGAGATAAAAATAATTATTAAGGAATGTGTTTCTCAGTCAAGCTGATTAGTTTTGTATCATCATATTGTATAATGTTTATATTTATAATCTATAGAAAGTTTGGTGAAGTAATAATTTGATAACAGCATGAAGGGTACTTTACTATACTGACTAACTTGTTTCTAATGGAAAAAAAATACTATTTACTGACTTATTAACTTGTTTCCAATTGAAAAAAAAAATACTACTTCATTATTTCTAAATAGTGAAAAATGAAAAGTGATTTTAAGAAGAAATATAAAAATAATTTTTCTTCAGATAAGAAGTGATTATTATATTGCATTTCAATCTATGATTTTTAGTCCCCTACCGGTTTAACCGGAGGGGACTTTAGGTTTACCCTCCGTCCGTCTGTCCGTCTGTCTGTCCGTCCGTCAGTCCGTCCGTCCACAAAACTGGATCCCGCGATAATGCAAAAAGTACTGAAAATATTTTTATGAAACTTGATATATATATAGATGGCAGTATGGAGATTATGCACGTCTTTTTTTTTTCTTCCTATGTTGAAAATTCTGGTTGCTATGGCAACAAATAGTCTGAAAATATGGCAAATTTAACACATAAACTGGATCCAGTGAAAACTCAAAAAGTACTGAAAATATTTTTATGAAACTTGAAATATGAGTAGATGGCAGTCTGGAGATTATGCACATCTTTTTCTTTTCTTCTTATGTTGAAAATTCTGGTTGCTATGGCAACAAATAGCCTGAATTTCAAGATTTCTGATTTAAATTTTTCAGCTTTTTCACTATATGTTCTTTATTTCTTAAGGTGTTTACTTCAAACTTTAAATATAAGTTTCTGGTCATCAACCACATCATATGTGACAAGGTTTATAACTCTAGCACAAAAAATATCAGTATTACCTCCCTTGAACTTAGATTTTTTAGGGGAAAAAATGTTGTCTTTTTTAAATAACTTCTTTATTTCCTAATGTATCTACTTCAAACTTCATATATATGTTTCTTATTAACACTCGACATTTTTGAGAAGGTTAAATACTCTAGCAAGACTATTTCCAGAATTATGTCCCCCTTGAACTTAGATTTTTTTCGAGAAACTGGTATTTTCACTCCAACTTCTTCATTCCTTATAGGATTTACTTTAAAATCCCACATCGTAATAATATGACAAGGTTGTATAAACATAATTTCCTTACTAAGCATGGAAACTTAACACATTACTGTGATATAGACAAACTTATTTTATTATGTTTTGTGGTCGATATTTTCAAATACAGACTTCATCCTCAAATTCATTATAAATGGCAACACAGGAGTGTATGACAATTAAAGAACTTTTTGAGGGACCGGTAGGGGACTACTGTATTGCCCGCAATACTATCAAATGCTTGTTTTATTGTTTACTTAATCAATAATAGAATAAAACCATACCTTTTAGTAATAAAGTTACGATTGACAATGTATAAAGTGACTTACTTTTTACCAATGGAAAAAAATAATACTATTTATCGACTTATTAACTTGTTTCTAATTGGAAAAATATACTATTTCATTTAATTTCTAAATAGTAAAAAATAAAAAGTAATTCTAAGAAGAAATTAAAAAAAATGTCCATTTTGAAACGATTATTATATTACTTTTTAATCTATTATGTTTGTTAAAGTTAAAAAGATATTGTTTGCCCAATCACAATTATATACAACCATACCTTTTAGAAATAAAAGTTGAAGTTGAGAATGTATAAAGTGAAACATAATTTATGTATTTCAGATTGTTCTTTATTGGAGCTGGAAATAATCATCTACCAAAGTTTGTATCCATGATAAATTACAAGAGACTTACACCAATGCCTTCATTGCTTATCATAGTAAGTGTATTTAAATCACTTCAATATTTACCTCCCTTGATCTAAATTGCAGTCATTTTAGAGTGGTCATTATTTTATTATTCATTATAACAATTGACCAATGAAAATAAGCAAAGAGAATATGTGATACAACAAGTGACTTGTAAAATTCTTTTACATTTGAGCCGTGTCATGAGCCGTGTGATCAGGATCCATGCTGTTCGCTATCAGTTTCTCTACTTGTTATAGGGTCTGTAAGCGAACAGCTATGTTGGTTTTGTCATGACACAGCTCATTTATTAATGTGAAAAAAAACAACATAGCAGCCTCAACTGGACTTCAAGACTTTATCCTGTTTCTCAAATAATGAAACAATTATATATTATTTCCATTTCAGCTCGCGTTAACTTTGATTTTCCAAAACAGTGGAGACATTTTCTATCTGATTGAAATGGAAGGGTTTGGTTTTGCTTCAATTCTTGTGATGACGTTTGCCAGTCAAGTGTACCTCAGGTATAAGGAACCAAACTTGGAACGACCTATCAAGGTATGTTTTATAAACAATATTTAAAAATTTGAACGTTTATTTAAAAAAAAAAGGAAACAATTTCAATAAAATAAATGACAAGTGGGAATTATTTTTTGTCAGAAAAGCTCTTAATTGGATTTTACAAATAAACTTACTTCAGGAACTTAATAAAAGGAGTTATCATGTACAGTCAAACCTGTACTAACAGTCACCTCTTTTTGGTGGCCACCTGACCTGATTGGCCTGATCTGTTCAGTGGTCACTTGCTCTCGCGGTCAACGTTCACCTAAAATGCCTCCTGTGGTTTTTCAATCGTCTGAAGTGGCCAGGTAGGTGAAACAGCCAGACAATCTACTGCTCATTTTTCATAAAGTACATATTAAGTTATATCATTGAATGTTTGTGTCCACCCGCTTAGCTGAATAGGATGAGCTTGTCTTTGTAATCCAGGGGTCACTTGTTTGATCCTTGGGAGAGGGGAACATTTCTTTATTACAATTAGTTTAAACAATATTTTATTTCCATTTTTACAACATATATATGTACAGTAAGCATATATAAACACACTGATATATTTCGTGGATTGGAAAACAAGTCAAATGTGACTTATGTAAATTCCTTTCCACAATTTATTACAATTGATCTACAACATGGAGTATAATGGTCAATTGTCTCTTACCTGTGATTCATAAATCATGTGGGATAAGTAGGTGGTTTCTTAAGAAGGAATTGGTAATTACTGGTTAGTTATCCAGAAAAGGCGGTTAACTGGACTGACAACATATGACCAAAAATGTGTTAAAATTGCAGTGAAAGACAGATAAACAAACAAATTAAATGATTTGTAAGTTTTTCCTCTGTACTTATTAACTTTTTGCCATTCATGTAAAAGTTTTTCCTCTGTTGTAAAATATTTTGGAGAGGTGAGAAATTTCTTGATACAAATCAAGAAAAGCTTCAATCAATATTCTTGCATTCAAATATTCAAAGAGTAATACTTGTAAGTATTTGTAAATCTATTCTGTATGTAAGATCATTTAAGATGAGTTTTCTACTTGAAAACATTTCTGCAGTAACTGACATTGTCACAGTGTTGGTATATATATGAAATAATTATTTATACATGATTTACCTGTGATTTGTTTCAGGTGCCCATAGCATTACCTGCAGTATTGTGTTTCATCAGTTTTGCTATTGTGATATTGACATTCTATCAGAAACCTCATGAAAGTTTCCTCGCCTTAGGTCTTGTAGCTGGGGGTATTGTCCTGTATTGTATAGGTGGAAAATGGCAGAATAAGCCAAAGAGTATACAAGATAAGATTGGTAAATTATTATGTTTATTATGTTTTTATTTGAGTATCTTCACGTAGTTTGAATATAATGTTTTGCAAGGGAAGCAACTGTTGAAAGTGCAAATTTTTTGACGTGTGTGGTTTCCTCCCTTGAATAGATAATTGTGACAAGAAATGTATAAAATTACAGGTTTGTAAAAACAACTGAAATCTTATTGTGCTTTCTAACAAGATGAATATTGCAACATTTTTCTATGGAAACAATGATTATTTCATTTTAGTATTCTGGGATAGAAAAAATAACTTTTTAGAGCGTTGTCAGCCACATTCCAGTCACACCTGTATCCAATAAACAATGCGTTCAGAGATTATATAACATGCAAGATTTATACATAACCTAAAATACAAGTTTTTTTCCGGTTTTCCATCATTAATGTAAACAAACTAATAATGAGAATTCTAACTTTCTATTGCAACAGTGAATTTAATAATGCACACGTCCTACCATGATTTCTACTCGTAAATACGAGTGGACAAATGGAATTTTCAATCCCTGGTATTGCAAAAGATTGCATGTATACGGAAAAAACTGCTTGCATTTAGTTTCACTTTTACTTTGCCCACCTGTTCTTATAACTATTATAATATGCTGATTAATTTTCAGACTGGCTCAACAACTTTATTCAGAAGCTGTTACTTGTTGTCCCCCCTGCGAAGCCAGAAGATTTACAGTTCGAGTAATACACAATCTGACACCATACTTGATCATTGTAAAAACTTGTTGTTTGTGGAGCTTATAGAATGCTGTTGGCTTAATGTTTTAAAATCATTGCTGAAAGGTTTAAATATGAAGACAGGAATATGGATAGCACAGTCAAGCATAAAACATAAGGAAATTGGCCAATCATAGTTTTTAGCCACCAGGAAAAATTCTATGATTTGACAATAGTCGAAGTTTTATGTTTTGGAATGAAGTATGGTTTTCATTTGTGGTAAGGAATCAAGATTCCCAAGTTAAACAAAGTGGTGAAGATGTCTGATGGCTTGAGATATTCCCAAAGCATTACCAAAGACAAATTAATGCTGATCAGTAGGTCATTTTGTTGTGTTTTTTTCCTCGAGTTGTTAATGTATTGAGTCTGAAATCGTCTCTTAATGTCATAGGGATATGATAAAGTAAGGTCTGAACTGTAGAGACAACTTTAGACCAGTGAGTTTTGTTCTGAATAGCATAAAAATTTATTATATTTTAGTATAAATGATCGATATTTTACAGTCAAAGCATAGTTCTTTTTAGTAGAGATCTGATTTGTTATGACAATATTTACCCTACATGACACTATGTAATAGTTATTTGATTAATTTTTATGTCTGTTTTATAGATTAATAGACATAAAGCTACATGTATATTTATGATTTATTGATGATATAAGTGTTAATGGTACTATTAAATGAAGTAACAGACTATTTGTGGTAATGAAGGTTTTGAAATTACAAATTTTTACGATCAGATTGTTAGGGTAATAGCGCATTGCCTTGTCTACAAATAATTTTTAAATTTTGAGTTTATCTTTCTTGTAATATAGGATGTTTTACATTTTGTATAGGGTAGATTTTTATTTTGTATTTTTTGCAATCAGTGCTATGATCTCTTAATTGAATCTCAGATATAAAATCTTGCTAGACCGTGCAACATGATGTAGTATGGGACTCTGTATTATCAGCGTAATTAACGTTTCCTATATGCAGGCATTGAATTTCATTGATGAATTTAATATTTTATGTGAAGCAGAATCAATTCAACTAATCATTACATTTTTTGTTGAATGAGGTCAAAGATTTTTAACTTCGCCCTATACATGACCGCACATGACAAAATACTGAGAGTATGTTGGAGTATGTTTAGAGTTGCACCGGATAACACAGAGTTAGAGTATACTTGCATCGCAGTATTTTTTTCCTGCTGTTGGATCGAAGGGTGCTTTATTGCCTCAGCAATATTGCTGTTGCAAGTTCTAACATCTGTGCAAACTTGACAGAATTAAGATATAAAATGAAAAAAAAAAAAAAAAAAAAAAAAAGGAAAACGATGACAAAATATGACAGTGATAGTTTAAGACAGTCTTAGTTTAACATACACCACTTTAATACCAGAAATGGATATATTAAGATTTTTCAGGGAGAAATATTTATCAACGATTAAGAGATACCAAATAGCTAAGAAGAAATCGAGAGCTAAGTGTGAAACTTTTGTATCTGGTATGAAATGTAGAAGTTACAACTGTCTTGCACTAAGCCCTTGAGATATCCATTCAATAGTTTAGACTATTTTACTAGATTTTTGATGAGAATTATTAAGTACAGACTTATTGTTGAAAATTGAAGGTAAATATTAGAAATGGTGTAATATTTTCATTGTTATTTAACTGATGGTAAAGCATTGCAAAGGAATCAATGCAAATACATGTACTGTGTATACAGTGTTAAGAATGAATATACAGGGTAAGAGAAAATCTTGTGTTTTTACACTGACATCAATTTATGAAAAAATGATGGTCTGTTGTGCTTGGTAAACAAAATGGTGCTTTGCCTTTTATATAAGTTAGTTTTTATTGTCTTTTTTCTATTCTTTAATGGAATTAGTCGTAATTATAGATCTTTCATGGGCATATAAAAAAAAGTTGTGTGTGTGTGTGATTTTCATGAATTGCATCAAGTGCCAAATAGATTTATGGATGTCGCATTTATAAAGTGTTGTTAATAATTGGAATAATCATTGAAAATAAAGGATATGATAGAGTTAAACGGTGCTTCCAACATTAATTTATGAAAATTTGACTTGATTGACAGCTTTCTAGTCTATAAATACATCACATAAGTATCAAAAATCCTGAATTGAAAAAAATGTGCTTTATTTTGGTTAAAATGATTTTAAGACTCACAATATCAAATTAGGGTAATTATTTAAGAGTTAAGGTTGTTACTGACATGTAACATAAATTTAATGATTTATGGAACTTGTTTTAGATTTATTGTTGTATATTTTACTCTTAAGACAGGGTTTGTTGTTATATACCATGTTACATTGTTTATTAAAGTTGAATTTTTGCCCCGTTAGTTGTACAAAACTGTTACTAGTTAATATTTTCTTTGACCTGTCATATTATGATGGGCATTTACCATGCTTTTATTTGGAACTCTCCATTGTTGTTTAAAAAGTTATGTTTCTGGGTAACTTATTTAATTTATTCTTGATTATAATAAACTATTTTTATGGTATTCAATTCAATTTATTCATTGGGAAAATTAAATTGAATACCTAAAACAATAGTTTATTTAATTTATTCATAGGGGCCTGTGGTCGAGTGGTGAAGATTGTTGACTTCAAAACGCTTGCCTTTTGCCGCTATAGGTTTCAAGCTTTGCGTGCCTCATCGGATTGTACATTTAGAAAGCTATCCAGCTATCTTACGAATGGTGGTTCTACTCAGGTGCCTGTTTGTGCCTTGAAAAATGCACGGAGGAGCACCTGAGGTCTTCCTCTATAAGTATAAGCTGGAAAGTTGCCATATGACCTATACTGTGTCGATGTGACGTAAAACCCAACCAAAAAATAAGTTATAGGCTATTGAACTGAAGAAATAAGAAAAAAAAATGTTTCATTATATATATGTCTTGTAGTAAGTGTAGAAAAAAATACATTCTTTCCATTCCAAAAAAAAAAAAATAAAAATAAATTGCGGTTATAACTGCTTTTCAAGGAGCGTAAGATTTTAATTTGATTCATATGTATGTTGCATGTTTTAAACATGTCTTTTCTGAAGGTTTACATTTCCTGCAATTATTTCTCTATCACTGATTATCATTAATAATTGTAAAGGAGTTGGCAGTTACTTGTGGGGAAAAGATCTGACTTTGTTAAAAATCATGGTTTAAGTTGTTAATAAAGATATTATAAAGTTCATTCTGTTTGGCAAGATAATAGCATTTAATCATTCAAGCGCCTTGTCCGGTATATACCAGAATACGTTATTTAATGTGGTGCTCCAATCCTTTTTTTAGTCTCACTCATTTGGTTATGTCCTCCCCATATAACAGGAGTTGTTTAAGAACCTTAATCTAGTATAGACTGTAGTATCTTTTATTGATTGTTAGACTTTAGTTAGCACATATGACTATTCTGTTTGACATTTTAAGATTGTTGTTGTTGATGAATGCTTAACATGAAATATTGATTCAAAATGCATTATGAATTATTTGTGTATTATGATTTTCCTGTTTGTACTAAGTTTTTTTTAGGGAAATTAGTTAAAATGTATGTTTTTTTAACACTGTCAATGTTACACTGTCAATGTTAATTTAAGTAAGATCTTGACCCAGTTTTTGTTTTAAGCCATCATTTGTTTAGGTATCTGCATCACAGGAATATCAAATTGAGCCCGTAACACTAGACAGGAAAATTTTGACTGGCGCAATGCTGTACTGGCTGCAAAAGCAGATCATTATTTAGGCTATTAGGGTTCAGAATTTATGTCAATGAAATTGTTTTGAACTGGGATTGATTTTGTTGCTGTCTGTATACTAGTATGTTTGTGTACCTGTTTTATTTAACTTTTGTTTATCCTTTTGGCAGCTATTTATCTAAATGTTATTGACTTATCAGCCTTTATTAGTGAGTACAAGGGCGTGAAATCTTAATTAAATGTAATTGATTTGTCAGCCTGTATTTGGGAGTACAAGGGCAGTAAATCGTAATGAAATGTAATTGATTTGTCAGCCTGTATTTGGGAGTACAAGGGCGGTAAATCGTAATGAAATTTAATTGACTATAAACCTGTATTAGTGAGTACAAGGGAGGTAAATCATAACGAAATGTAATTGACTTGTCAGCCTGTGTTAGTGAGTACAAGGGAGGTAAATCTTATTGAAATATAATTGACTTATCAGCCTTTATTAGTGAGTACAAGGGAGGTAAATCATAACGAAATGTAATTGACTTGTTAGCCTGTGTTAGTGAGTACAAGGGAGGTAAATCATGATGAAAGTCTGATTGAGTAAGTGTCACTGTTGGTGAGATAATTTTAGCATTACTTTGTTTAATTAGTATGTGTTTCATTGTATAATGATATGTGTCACATTTTATATTGCAAGTAAGGCATTCTTAAACTTTTTTAAAGGTTTAATCTTAACAAACTCAGGCAACCAAATAGATACAAGACTTAAGTATTAGTTAAATTTTACTGTTTTTACTTTGATTATCAACTACAATATAAGCATATTAAGTACTAAATTGCTAAATGGTTGTAGAATCTTTATATTGTTTCTCTATTCTTTTATAGTAACAACCAAAAAGTAGTGAGTCTGAAAGTTTTTTTACCAACCAATATAATTCATTAGAATTTTTGCAAAATCATCACCTAAGTGCAGTAACGGGTTAACTCTTAATAAATTATATAGGGAGTAAACCTGTCACTGCTCTAAGGTCACAATATGTGGTATTTACTTGTCAGGGTAGGTATAACTTCACATATTTCTTTAATTTATACCTTTTTCATTTATGAAATATTGATGAAAAAAAATGCATTTAGTCTATGAGAAAAAGCATTGAGATGTGTACAATCATTGTTTAGTTTTATACAACTTGTTTAGTTTTGTGCTTTAGTTTTGAATAATGAATTGATTGAGTACATTACTTGAATTTTGAAAACTGCTGAATTTCTTTATGATATAATTTATATTTACTGTTTTTATCTGACAATGTCACCTTTGCTTGTATTGTTAAATCAATTTTGATTTTTATTTGTACTCTTTTGACTATTACAAAACAACTTTTAACATAGCATGTAAGTAAAAGCATGTTTCTATATTTTTCTCATCCATTAGTAATCATCAGTTAATGAAATGAATGATACCATTCTGCCCTGCTTTATTTTGTGTAATGGACATGGCCTGCTTTGAATTTGGATATAATAGGGAGAGCTATTGTACTCACCCTGGTGTCTGTGTTCCACTATGGTTAAAGTTTTTGCATGCAAGTTGGTATCTCCAAAACTACTACAATTTCCCACACTTGTTCTCTGTGATTATCTATCATGATTGGCACAGGTCCCATAACTCTTAAGATAACTTTTCACAGAGTTATGTTCCTTTCCTTACTGTCAAGCACAGACGGATAATAGTGGAGCATGCTGTCTCACGCACAGCTCTTGTTAAACTACGCTTTGGCAGTATTGATTCTGGCAAATGTGTGTGTATATACAGACTGATCTAGCTGTATGCAGACAGGCTAAAGCTTTGTTACGATTTTATCATCACTGAAATATTAAAACTAACATTCTGGGTAAGGCAACAGTATACATAATTATAGGTTATCTTGTGTTTTTATTGTTGATATCAAATATGTGTACAACTTAAAACATTTCATGATCACCTTTTCTGTGCTAGCAAGCCGTCATGGTTTGTATTCAACTATTGTAATTTTTTAATTTCCCTAAATTTCCCTTATTAGCTCACCTGTCACAAAGTGACAGGGTGAGCTTTTGTGATCGCTTTTCGTCCTTCCGTCGTCCGTCCGTAAACTTTTACTTTAAATGACATCTCCTCATAAACCACTAAGCCAATTTCATCCAAACTTCACAGGAATGTTCCTTTGGTGGTCACCTTTAAAAATTGTTCAAAGAATTTAATTCCATGCAGAACTCTGGTTGCCATGGCAACTGAAAGAAAAAAACTTTAAATATCTTCTTTTAAAAAACCATAAGAGCTAGAGCTTAGATATTTGGCATGAAACATCTTCTAGTGAGTGTCTACCAAGTTTGTTCAAATAAAATCCCTGGGGTCAAAATTGGTCTGCCCCAGGGGGTCATTGATTTTCCCTATATGCATATAGTAAAAACTTAAAAATTCTTCTTTTAAAGAACCCAAAGAGCTAGAGCTAAGATATTCAGCATGAAACATCTTCTAATGAGTATGTACCAAGTTTGTTCAAATAAAAGCCCTGGGGTCAAAATTGGCCCCGTCCCAGGGGGTCATTGATTTTCCCTATATGCATATAGTAAAAACTTACAAAATCTTCTTTGAAAGAACTCAAAGAGCTAGAGCTAAGATATTCAGCATGAAACATCTTCTAATGGGTGTCTACCAAGTTTGTTCAAATAAAAGCCCTGGCGTCAAAATTGGCCCCGCCCCGGGGGTCATTGATTTTCCTTATATGTGTATAGCAAAAACTTAAATAATCTTCTTTGAAAAAACCCAAATAGCTAGAGTTTAGATATTAAGCATGAAACATCTTATAGTGAGTGTCTACAAAGTTTGTTCAAATAATAGCCCTGGGGTCAAAATTGGCCACGCCCCGGGGGGTCATTGATTTTCCCTTTAGCATATAGTAAAAACTTAAAAAATCTTCTTTGAAAAAACCCAAATAGCTAGAGTTTAGATATTCAGCATGAAACATCTTCTAGTAAATGTCTACAAAGTTTGTTCAAATAAAAGCCCTGGGGTCAAAACTGGCCCCACCCCAGGGGTGTCATTGTTTTTAACTATATGTGTGTAGTAAAAACTTAAAAATCTTCTTTTAAAAAACCCAATGAGCTAGAGCTTAGATGTTTAGCATGAAATATCTTCTTATGGATATCTACCAAGTTTGTTCAAATAAAAGCCCTTGGGTGAAAATTGGCCTTGCGGGGGGGGGGGGGGGGGGGGGGGGGGGGATGGGGGGCGGAGCAGGTGAAATCATTGTTTTTCCTTACATGTGTGTAGTAAAAACTTAACAGTGTGAAACATCTTCTAATGAGTGTCTTCCAAGTTTGTTCAAATAAAAGCCCTGGGGTTTAAACTGGCCCCGCTCTGGGGGCCTATATACAGGTGGGCGACCTCAGGGCCATCATGGCCCTCTTGTATTGTGTTAAACCATCCAAAACATTAAGGTCTAAATTCCTATTCCTGTTGAAATATATTGTATCTATCTAATTAGTTAATGACCATACAGTAAGAAACACAAGGTGGATATGTATCACACATATACTGTTTGTAGTTATGTTTTATTATTTGTTGTGTGTTTTCATATGTTAGGTCAGTTTATTTTCATATTTACTGTTAGCTAAACTTGCCCGGTAATGTTTAAACCCTTTGATTTGTCATTTAACTGAATTTTTAATATTGTTGTGTGTTAAACTGATTTTAAAGCATGATAGTACATCATGAAATATGTTTGTTTTTAATGATATAAGTGTCATCCACTTATATATGTATTCTATTCTATATATAATATGTATATATATGTGTGTATATATATATTACAAAGCTATGAAAACCAATGCAGTTTAGTACAATTTCATATGACTATGTTTATATACATATAGTTCCCATAATCTAATCATTATATATATGTACTCATTGCTTTTTTGACTTCCAACTTTATACATTACATTATTGTATTTAAAGTAATGTATTTTATTTCACAGTATTTGAGTATATGTCTTTATTTATGGTGTTTAATTTGATTTTTGAAGTTTAAATTGTGTGTGTTTAATCATGTTCAATAACTGTTATTTTTTACGTTTGTTAGAGGTAAATGGATTCAGCTTTGTGAATAGTAACATATACATCATTATGTTCTCATAGGTCAGGTTAATAATGTTGCTATATCAGTATATATGGCCTTATAATACTGCTTGTTTGTATCGTCACTTTTCATTGGATAATCATGTATTTACACAGCTGCTGTCATTTTATTAGTTAATTTCATTTTTTGTTTGCAAATAAAACAAGTTTTCTGTTATTAATTAAATATAAAGATTCTTGATAGGTCATATATCCATATATTAACAGTTGTTTGCAATGGTTATATATACAATCATTTATATTATTAGTTATAAAGATATTCGACAGGTTATATGGCTATATATAAAAGGTTGTTTGTAAATAGCGGCTCAAGTTATATGACAAACAACAGTTTATATATGGCCATATAACCTGTCAGGAATACTTAAACTTATTTTTTTGGAGGAAAAGTAAGATTTCTTCATAAATTGACAGCAGCTGTGTATATAAAACTGTATAAACATGATTATCCAATGAAAAGCGATGTTATAAACGTGCGTTAAGTATTATAATATTAGTTATAAAGATTGTTGATAGGTTATATGGCCCTATATAAACGGCTGTTTGTAAATATAACCCGAGCCGCTAGGCGAGGGTCATATTGCAAACAGCTGTTTATATACGGCAATATAACCTATCAACAATCTTTATAACGAATTTATAATACAGCAAGCATCATTTTAAGAGAAAAAAGAAAGATTTTTTCATGAATCCACATCAGCCGTGTATATAAAACTATATAAACGTCACGATTATCCAATGAAAAGCGGTGTTACAAACATGCGGTATTATAAAGGGTCATATAACCTGTTAACAATCTTTATAACTAATAATATTGCCCACTTTAATATAGATACATGAAGATATATAATATAATACAGTATGATATTTACTGGCCCAATATGTGGTATTACTGTGATATGCTTTAGTCCTTATGTGTCACAGTTTTGTCATGTGTCACACTTTTGTCATGTGTCACACTTTTGCCGTGTGTCACAGTAGTTTTGTCATGTGTCACAGTATCTTTGTTATGTGTCACAGTTTTTGTCTCTGCTAAATGTATTGTATATTAATACAGGTAAATAAACCAACAACTTACAGAATGTGGTAACCAAAGACATAAAGAGCTCTCGAGTGTTTTAAAAAAACTTATTCAGTGTCTTACTCATTCTGTAAAAATTATTCTTCTGTAATTTATTATGTAAATGAAAACATAAAATATATTGTTTAAACTAAAAGACACAAATGAAAATTTAGTGTAATTAAAGATTAATGATTATAAAGGTACAATGAATAAATAAGACATTGACATTTTTGGTACTATTAAAAACACGGAGGTACATATAAATCTCTTTTTCAATGCTCATTAAAAAATGATTTTAAATATTTGTTCATAAAGTATGGAAACACCCATAAAAACTATTGAAACACCCATAAAAAGTATAGAAACATCCATAAAAAGTATGGAAACACCCATAAAAAGTATAGAAACACCCATAAAAAGTATAGAAACATCCATAAAATGTCCATTTATTTTCATTGTCATTTCTTTTTAATTCATTCTATGTTCATTGTATTAATACATGTAGATTCAAATCTACATTATAGAATATTTAAGAAATGCAACCACTAGTTATTCGATTGCTTGTGTCTTGCTGTACAGTTTGTACTTAAAACAAGGTAGGATTCATTTCATAAAGGTTACTTACTGCAGGGCCTTTCAAATAGAAATTCTATTTAAAAGAGCCTGCTTACTGGTGTATTGTATTAACCATTGTAAAAATTATGTAAAAATGTAGTATACAATTTCACCCATGTATTTTATTTTTTCAACATATCATGTCATATTGCTCTTAAATAAATTGTGTGAAATAAAAATAAAATCCAAAAGTTTTCTCAGGATTTTTTGATGTTATTACCAAGGCTAGATTAATTACTAGATACTAGTATATATATCCGTAGTTTGAAATGTACAGAACAGAGCGAAACTTCAATACATGTACAATTATTTTAAATACAATACTTGAGCATAGTGGCCGAGTGGTTAAGCTCGTTCACTTCAAACCACTTGCCCCTCACCGCTGTGGGTTCGAATCCCGACAGGGACTTTGGATTCTTTTATGTGAGGAAGCTATCCAGCTAGCTTACAGAACGTCGGTGGTTCTACTCGGGTGCCCGTTCGTGCCTGAAATAATGCACGGAAGGGCACCTGAGGTCTTCCTCCACAAGTAAAGCTGGAACGTTGCGATATGACCTATATACTGTGTCGATGTGACGTAAACCCAAATCAAACAAAACTTGAACATAGTAATTAACTGCATACAAGTCGCATCATATATACAGAATGAAAATATTGATATACATGTACGTTGTAGATAGAATAAATAGTATTGTATCTAACATTGGATAAAGCGTTGCAAAGCGACACCTAGTTTGAGATGTTATTTCCGATCTTCTGATGACATAATATGTGAACCGTCCGGTTAGCTCAATAGGTAGAACGTCGGACATTGAATCGGACGACCCGGGTTCGATTTCTGGACGGCGCAGGTCACTTTTATTGTGATTGATCATGAAATCTTTTCTACGGTCATTCGTACTGCATATGTACAGAAGTTTCAGTTAACTAGCTATTACTTGTAAACTGTTTGACAGCCTGCCCAGGAACAATGTGGTGTCTGAACTGTGCGATATACGGAGTGAAAACTACAAACACCACCATCATCACGTGCTATGTAGAGCTTGGCATTGTGGCTAGTAAGCCAGGAGACAGATAGGCTGAGCGTCCATTTTAGTACTATAGACATTGTGCTCACTGATACAAGAAGACACTCTCGTCTTCCAAACTGGTGTCACCATATATGTATTAACTATTGAATTTGTCTTATAACCACGCCTGTATATTAAAAGTCCATACGAAAACAAAACGTTCAAATATTTAAAACACTTGCATTTGGATAAAAATAGAACATACAGGTATTGCGTCAGTTTTCTTTACAATTTCACAATTAATAATTGAATATATTTGTTCATTGTATAGTCGTATATAAAGTCCTGCTCTGTTTTCAATGGATAGCTATAATATATAATTACATGGTTATAATGCATTATTTAAACATAAATCGGTGCAAATCTTGTAATTAATGCTCGTGATTCTTAAAGGACTACAGAAATAAAAAAAACAACATTACACATTCGTCATGGATATTTAAGTTTGTTTGACATTTAACCAATTACAAAAATATCCAAATATCAAAATAAACATATTAAATATCACTCATCAACTTTGTAATGTGCCGGTAATCGTTTAAAGTGCGGAAATTATAAATTTGTACACACATTTGTGTTGTATTGTTTTACAAATTTTAAGTATGCGGATAATAAATTTGACAAACGAGAATAGTTAATGAATCATTGAAACTGATAGTCTTTGGTTGTGAACTTCTTAATTAAATAAATCAAAAGTACACGAATCTTACAGTCTTAAACGGCAAGCTCAGTTTTCTTTCTATTTTAAACAGATAGGCAATACATTCAACTTACGGTGTTTCTAACACTGACAGACCCGTGGAAGCTCGTGTGATGACATCAATGTTATCAACTTTTATGAACTGTTAAATTAAAAAAATAATTGAACTTCACCAAAGCAGCAGTGGATTTATTTATCTGTCCGTCGAATACACATACGCGTATTCTTTTGCTGTGTTGTTCAATTAAGATGCAAATAGAGAATGTAAAATAATGATAGAACGAGACAAAAATCGTTGCATACTAATAGAGAAAGGTTTTATCTCTGATGTTCTATTTATTCCAGCCTTTATTCCCTTCGTACAAGAGGATAAATTGTCACTGGCTTGGACGTTATAGATCTTCATATCTAGAGGTGGAAAATTAAATCTTTTTTTGTTGTTATTTCGAGTTGAAAGAAAAGTGAGATGCGATAAGCATTAACAAAACATTTGCAGTGTGCATTGTACAATACTTCAATTGATAACTGCGGTTTAAAAATGTGGGTGTCATCGTTACAGTAACATGCAATTTTCAAGGTCAATTGGTATTGAATTAAATTGAAATCACGCGAAGAAAGAATGGTTTTATACGACACTTAAATATTTGTCAAAAATGACATTATAAAACAAGTGTCTATAAATTTCGCTAATAAATTTATTGTGCGTATAGATTATATATATATTTTTGTCTGTTGATTAAAGTTTTGGAAATTTGAAATAAAGAAATGTCTCTACAAAATAGTAACGGAGAAGTTATACCGACCATGGAAAAGGAAACGACGGTCTCTGAAAATGATGCAACAAATGGAAATTTGAAACATTCGGATACAAACGGATTTTCACGTGCTATGAACGGACAAACAAATGCAGACGATATCATGGATAAAATACAAACTGTTGTATCTTTAAAGAAACAAATTAGTTTAACTCAATCTGTCGCTATTATTGTAGGTATTATTATAGGATCTGGAATATTTGTGTCTCCCGTCGGAATTTTGACTAATGTAAAATCCGTCGGCATGTCTTGTGTTATGTGGACAATATGCGGGGTTTTCTCTGGGCTCTGTGCATTGTGTTACGCCGAACTTGGCGCGTGCATTCCTCAGTCTGGCGGTGAATATATCTACATTAAACGCGCATTTGGAGATTTTCCTGCATTTTTGTGTCTGTGGATTAACTTCATTATTATTTGTCCGGTCGGCATTGCCGCGTCATCGTTAATTTTTGCAACGTATGTGTTAAAGCCCATCTTTCCAGACTGCGACCCGCCGGTTACAGCTTTACGACTTCTAGCGGCTGTTGTAGTCAGTAAGTAGCTTTAGATCTACCATAAGTTTATAATCAACGTTAAACAAGCACTTAATCATTATACCGAAAGATACATATATTTAGAAAGGCAAAATAGATATTAAGGATATATTAATAATTGATTATTCCATTTCAAATGATATTTTAAAAGTAATTCATTTTGATATTTATTTATTGAATACTTTATTATATATCTGTGCATATATACAGACGTACTGTGTCTTTTAATATAATAAAGAATAGACATAAAACAGAATGAAAATTGTTGCATATAAATTGTTCTATTTTTTATGAAAAAGAAAAAAATGGTGTATGCCGATCTTGTTTTTTGGAGGTATCTGTCCATAAATTAGATTTTCTTTGCATAGCGACGTTATTCAAACCGGAACGTAAACTACATCACTATATAGTAGATACGTTCTCTTTATTTGTTTAAAATATTTCATCATTAGTTGACGGCATGATGTCAGACATTTATTGTTCTGTTGCTTGTTTTAAAGGCCGTGAGAACATCTATTTAAGAACACATGCTGGCTGATATTTGGATTCGTGATATTGTTTCATAATAAATTGGGGTTCAACTGATAAAAATAACACTACATAATATTTAACTACTAGGTCACGATAACTTCGAGAACGTTGCAGTGTGCACTTTTCAAAATTTCTCTTTTTGACCACTTTTATTTCATCATTTGTGTTTTTGTGACCTATGCAACCAGCATAGAGAATGGTCATCTTGCACGCACCTAAGCAGGCTTGTCAGAATTTATGCTGTTGGTTTTTGATAGGGAAATCTCAGACAAAAGGTTCCGAATTCAAACCAGCAAATAAAGGGTTTTAGCAAATAAAATTAGATATTAGTATCATAATAGTTCTGGATGCCATTACCTTTTAATCAGCCTACATTTTATGACTGAAAATATCGTTTATATTTTCTATAATGAATAGATGGTATAAACAAGTCATATTTATGATTTTCAGTCAAATTATAGAATGTAGCTTTATTTTTCTCGACAGTGTTTTACCAAAGTGAGATTGTTTGAAAATCAGTTTTGGTGCCATTTATGAATTTTACTAGCTTCTTTAAATAAATAAATAAAAGATTATTTTATCATTATCTAGGTCGTGTTAAATAAAAAATAATCTTAACCCATTACTTCATGAGCATTTTGTGAAAAATGGCTGTTTTCATTGAAAAGTCTCCCGTTACAAGTTTAAATTGCTATAATACTATAAAAACTGCTTCAACACTAATCAAACTTGGCACAAATGTTGACTGGACCATTGCCCTTGCAACAACATGCTCAGGCTCAAATTTTCTGTTACCATGGCAACGAGGGGACATCTCAAAATTGCCAAAAATCACTATTTTGCGTTGATTTTTTCCATTATAATTGATTTCAAAGTGCTGCAACTTCTCAATGGATTGAGATAGAGTCAAATGCTTTTCAGCGTTGGTTACACGTTACCTTATGATCAATCTGGGGTCATTTATAGCCTCTCACAAGTCCAAAATTTTCTTGGCGATGAGGGGGACTCCGCCCCCTTCAAACCCCCCAAACAGAAGGGGGCACATCCCCCTTCTGGCAACCCCCTGATGTATCTTTTGGTTGGGGGGCCGCGCCGAAAAAGTGGTCACTTTTTTAACAACATTTCTCAAACAAAAACAAGTGTTAAGGGCCTAAATAATGCTTTTTTACACCACTTGAGACAACAAAAAGGGGGGGGGGGGTGAAAAAGGCGTTAAAAGGCGTGTATATGAAGTAATGGGTTAAAGAGAACTATGGCGGCTGATTTGGTACGCTTTTGTGCGTCTAGTCGGCGCTAGCGACAACACGACAAAGCGCCGTATGGCGCGTTGTGGCACTGTCGTCCTGTCTCCAGCGCGGCACGCCAAACGGCGCGTTTTCGTGCGGCGCGTTGTCGTGATATCGGCCCTTCGCTTGGCTTATAAGCCAATTCTTCAATTTGAACCGAGCGACAATGTGGCATCGCGACAAAACGCCGCACAACAACGCGCGCTTTGGCGTGCCGCGCTAGTCAGGACGACAAGACGACAGCGCGCCGTTTGGCGCTTTGTCGTGTTGTCGCTAGCGCCAACGAGACGCACAAAATCGTACCAAATCAGCCACCATAAAGAACACATGTACTAATTAAATTTCAGCCATGACACCATTTTATCTTCATGTCATGATATTTGCACTTGAAAACACCACAAGGCCATTTTATAGTCTGAATAGTCTGACAAGATATGCACAAAAAAACTTACAATTTTCTGTCATGAAATCAGGGCAGTAGGTAATGACTTTAACTAGGTTAGTGGTTCTCACGATAAAGAAAAGAAAAGTGTCATACTTCATATCACGCGACACTAATATACACGCAACAAAAACAAAACTTATCAAACCGGAAAAATAAACAATGGCAAAATTAGCAAAAAATTAAATCCTGTTTAGTTAACCAGGTGATAATAATATTTTTGCCGCTTTTGTTAAATAATTTATATGTGTATTACTTAATACTATTAAAATTGTTAATGAAGTTTCTGTTGTATCATAGTTTGGAGACCTTTCTGTTGAAAAAGTGTCAGGGTTAAATCGTATACATATACATGCACAGTGCGTTAACTGGAGTGCGGGTATTAGCATCCGCGCAATCTGATCATGCAGGATCCATGCTGTTCGCTATCAGTTTCTCTACTTGTAATATTTGTAAGCGAACAGCATGGATCCTGATCAGACTGCGCGGGTGCGCAGGCTGGTCTGGATCCATGCTGGTCGCAAACCCATTGTGTTGTTTTGTCATGACGCGGCTCAAATGTGTTCATCGGACGCTTATACCCCCACTACATTGGCATATTTACAATCTAAGGCATATTTCATACATTTCATCATTGGTAAGCTTTGTTTTACAAGTAATTTCACAAACCTTGTAGGAAGAAACTCTAACTATTGACTAGGATCTCTCATCAAGTGCCACTGTGACCTTGACCAAATTGCCCCAAAATCAATAGGGGTTACCTTGTCTAGGGCAACGTGCCTACCATGGTCAACACAACTTAGTTGTATTTTTCTCAATTAATTGGAAACTATATTTTTCTATGACTTTCATTGTGACCATGTCCTATGACACAATGACCTCAAAATCAAATAAAATGTCACCTACTAGCTATGAATAATGTGTCTACATATACTTTCAAAAAGCTTATTACTTCTCAAGTCATGTAAGGCTTAAAATTAACTGTCAGTTAAACCCTTTACTTAATCACGTCAAAATCAATACAGACCGTCAACTGACTATGGACAATGTCCCCCTACCAAGTTTAACAACCTAAATCTTAATTCTTCACAAGAGATTGATCGAATGACATTTAATCGAATGACCTAAAACTCAATAGGGGCCCATATAATGGCAGTGGGTGACGTCATAAACGTGGCCTGTCTCTAGCGCGGCACGCAAAACGGCGCGCGTTGTTGCGATGTCGCCCTGTCGCTTGGCTTTTAAGCCAATCCTTCAATTTGAACTTGGCGACAATGTGTCTTTCGCCGCACGACAACATGCCGTTTAGCGTGCCGCGCTAGAGACAGGACGACAAGACGACAGCGCGACAACGCGCCGTTTGGCGCTTTGTCGTGTTGTCGCTAGCGCCAACGTGACGCACAAAATCATACCAAATTAGCCACCATACCAGATCCCCCATCACGGTATGCTTTCCCACTTTTTAAGAGGGGCATACTAATGACCTAAAATGTTTGATCAGTGGAACCGATTTTAAAATATGTGTTTATAATTTAGCGTTTAAAGAAAGATAAAAAATAAGACTGTTTACCAAACATGTATATTAATCTTATTATTACCAGTTATAAATATGCCATGGTCTTGATTTATAAATTTTAACGTCTGTGCAACAAAACTCTTCCCATGTCTTCACAATGTAATAATTCATTGAATATCAAGTCAAACTTGTTTCAAGCACATATCATTTAAATACACTTGATATAAAGTTTTTTTCTTGTTGTCTTTTTGTATAAGTCTAACATAAAGAAATATTCAGTGCACATGAAAACCAAAACCCTTAATCATTATTGTACTGCATGGAATAACCTTTGTGATTGGCAGAAATATAACACAAATTACAGCAATAATAAATGTACTAGTATCAATAAACGTCTCAATAGTTTACATTTTTGTCCGAATTTCTGTTTTAAATAAAAAAAAACCCAAACATTTAAGCAGCGACGTTTATACCAATCGGAACTTTTCGGCCTTTTCCGTCAGTCTTCGGGATAAGGACCTCGGTCATGCATTAGGCCAGACCAGTAGTTGTTCAATGGTTATCCAAGTTATGCGAGTTCATTATAAACAATTTGAAAAGAAAGAAATATATTATTCTTTGAGACTGTGAAAATCATGTATGGAATTAAAGAGACCTGTTTCAAATACATGTATATATGTACATGTAGTATGATCATTTTTTTACAAAAAGGGGAAAAAAGAATGACGTTTTTATTGTATTTTCAGCATTTATAGTGAGCCTTAACTGTGTAAATGTAAAATGGTCAACAAAGTTGCAAGTTGTGATCACCACCAGCAAATTAGGAGCTCTGATCATGATAATTGTGATTGGTTTTATATACATTGGAAAAGGTTTGTCTTTCTTAAATAATAATAATAAAAAAAATCATGAAATTATTGCTAGATAATGTTGAAGATAAATAAATAGAATAGCTACTGGGTTACCTATATACTGATTTGAAATTTTGAGAAACTATGATCATATACGACGCTCGAACCAATAAGTGGTCTTCTTCGTGGTAAACAATATATGGAAAATCTTCTTAAAAAAAGACAAAAAAAAAAACAACAAAAACATATCAGGAAGGAGTCTATTTCACGAATTGATATTTTGTTCGAATACCCGGCTGAACGTACGGCGATTCATGGCATTTTTTGGTAATGCTAATACTTGTTCTTTTGCAATGCAGTTACTCGCGATCTTTCTCCGTAAACATTGTATTTGATGACAAAAAGCGAAACGGTGATGCCTGATAGTCGTAAATAAAATCTTTTTCGGTAAAATAAACTAATTTGGTAAAATAACAACATTAAAGCATAGCAATAAATGTTGGCAGTAAAAAAGATAGCAACAAAACATGGTTAAACGTTAGATTAGGAGGAGACTGTGGTGTATTGATTTGGTATAAAATCGAATTAAAACATGTCAATTTAAGAGCCCTCTTGTCTTACAATTCCGTTATTTATGTAAATTTAAAGATGCCATCGTCCACTGATAAAGAACAATATAATGAAAATGTCCCATCACAAATGAGAGAAAAGACAAAAGGAGAATTTTATGACCGGATTAGCACAACGAAAGAAATCGAAGACGGATAAATGTTTAATGAATAACATACGTAACGAATCCTGTCTGTTTTTAAAGCTGTATTTAGTTCTATAAAACGTACTTGTTTGAAATAAAATGTTCTAGTCAAGTAGATGCAATAGTTTTCAAATCATTGTTAATATAAGGAATGTTTCCTTTTTCTATTTTATATGACATCACATCCGGTTTGTTGTTTCTATTCATATCCTGAAAAAGCTGCTTGAAAACCTGTTGTGAAACTTTAATGTGAAAACACATGTTGTTATTTGTATATTTATGTTTATTCTTTTATCTAAGACTTACCAAGGAATGCAGTAAAGAATTTTAGCTGCAAGTACAACATACAAGCACAAACAGTGTCACATGTATTTGCAAAGAAAAAAAATAATTAAAAAAAAACAACGTTTTTGAAATCGGTTTCGATTCAAACGGCTTTTTGCTGATTCTAAATACAATATGAAATATAATAATTAGTTTACAGTTGTATATTTTTACATATTATTCCAACATTCTGTATACAATTTAGTTTTTAGAATATGATGTACTTTTCTAGGGGATGTTGAAAATTTTAAAGATTCCTTTGAAGACAGTGATTTCAGCGCGGGCTCCATCGCCATTGCCTTCTACTCCGGTTTCTGGGCATTCGGTGGATGGTTAGTTTAGATTCTTTATTCCAGAATATCTGACGAATAAAATGAGCCGCGCCATTACAAAACCAACATAATGGTTTTGCGATCAGCATGGATCCTGACCAGACTGCGCATCCACGCAGTCTGATCAGGATCCATGCTGTTCGCTATTAGTTTCTCTACTTGTTATAGAGGATCCTGATCAGACTGCGCTGATGCGCAGGCTGGTCTGGATCCATGCCGGTCGCAAACCCATTATGTTGGTTTTGTCATGACGCGGCTCAAATGTCACTCTTTTCCAAAATGTCAAGGCAAATCGATACGTGATTGAATAATGAGAAAGTATGTTTTCGTTAGAGATTTTGATAAGCATGTCTGATGTCGTTTGGTGAATCAATTCCTGAAAGCTTCGTCTCATCTACGAGGGCTGTCCCACAAAATCGTGGACAATGGCTGTAAAACAAATATTTAACTCCCGAGACATAAGTGTATTTCCATCAATTGGAAATAAAATAGGAAACATTACTTCAGGAAGGTAAACATACATTACATATAAGATCACTCATACAGGCCTGAGGTTTTCTTCAGAAGTCTGTTTAGTATTTAAACATCGTTGTCCATGGTCTTATGGGACAGCCCTCGTATATGTGTACGAATGTATTAAAGTGGCAAAGCTGCATAATATCAGATATATTCTCCTCTGTCCGTACATAGATTAACTTTTACCTTGCAAGTACTTTGTGTAACTTCTGTACATGAATCACTGTACGTGGATAATTCTAATCAAAGATAATTTTTGAGATCACTAAAACAATACCCTGTGGCATTTATCAAACCAACATAACGCAATATATGCTTCACGACCCGGATTCGGACTCCGAACCAAATACCGATAGATTCTAGATCTAAAATTTACCTCAATCAGCTTACTTGGCAATCATTCTAAGCATATAAAACATACATAAAACTCAATACGAATACTGAAAATAAACTTTACCATTTATATAATTTCATACTATAGTTTTACTTTTATTTACAGGAGCTATCTGAACTTTCTAACAGATGAACTGATTGAACCGCATAAGTAAGTTAAATTGTATTTCAGTTTTCTAAATTTAGCTCACCTGTCACAAAGTGACAAGATAAGATTTTGTGATCGCAATTCATCCGGCGTCCGTCCGTCTGTAAACTATTATATACATCTCATAAACCGTTAAGCCAGTTTCATCCAAATTTCACAGGAATGTTCCTTTGCTGGTCAACTTTGAAAATTGTTCAAAGAATTTAATTCCATGCAGAACTCTTTTTCATGCAGACTTCTGATACAAAAGGAGTCTATTTGACTTCAGAGCACAACCAACCAACCAACCAACCAACCAACCAACCAACCAATACAAGTTGTGTATTTGACAAAAATGAAATTTCGACTACTCATAAGAGTCTTTTTACAGCATTTTCTGCAACTATGCAGATAATTATACAGAATTTAAACAGATTTGTTTGAATTATTTGCAAGCTAAACAGCATTTTAGGCATTTTGGTTTTACTCACTTGATTGGGAAGAGGCCTTAGCCTCAATTGGGAAGAGGCTTTTTATAGCCATCTTTTATATACAAGATGAAATAACACCGTGGGCATATGCTAGCGGTGATAAGCATTTTGTACTTTCATATCTTATAGTAATTGTGTGAGTTCCCAGTGGCTATCCTGATTCAATATTTAACCTGCTGGCACAGAAAGAGATGCCATCAGTATATAGTCAGGCCAGGGTGTCATCTGACCACCTCAGTACTGTTAGTAGTTCAACCTTTTGATATTGAAATTCCTTAAACTTCAAGTGAACTGTTCCAAATTCAAAACTGGACAAGTCCATTTCACAAATTTAGCAGGATTAGGGTTAATTTGAAACATCAATCGTGAGAATAGTCCGTAACAATTAGATTAATTTAGTAATATTGCATGTTCTTCACTACTATTGTTTATATTTACCAATATGTTTCAATATTACGTATTATATTTTCTAGGAATCTCCCACGGGCTATTGTTATATCTATTTCCATAGTAACAGTGGTATATTTGATAGCCAATATTGCATACTTTGCTGTCCTCACACCGTCAGAGATGCTGGCATCCTCTGCAGTAGCCGTGGTAAGTTTGAATAAAATATTAGAATTGCACAAATTTTCAGGTCGGTTGGGAAACCATAAATTGAATCAGATGTAATTTTTTTCTCCACTTAAGTCCTAAAACGGTGTAAGTATACTATACAAAACACATGGACTTTGAAACTATGTTCACATTTAGTGTATAGAGGTGGTCTTTGGTACGAAGTTGCTCTGAATATCGTTTCGAGGCCAAAGAATGAAGCAAAATGCAAATTAAGTACACCTCCACATTCATTTGTAAAGAATATGTCTTTCTTAACTACTAAACCGTCATTTAAGGTAGTGATATGGCCACTTTATTCCCCTTTTGAATCAGAAATCTTAGGATCGCTATCCACGTTTATTCAACACCTTCTGAGGCAAGCAGTTGTTTCCTTGACACTCGTTTTTAGTACTGGTTGAAGAGTCCGAGTGTGCTTATAAGCTAGTACCTTCCTACAAAATCTAACGAAAATAAATTATGTCTGCAACTTACAAGCCTTAGGTCTGAACACCTGACAACTTGTTTGCATTGTCGTATCTATACTGGCGGGTCACTCTGCCGCCATATCTGTCGCTAAATTTATCGAAAGTCTTAATCAAAATCTTAGAAATTGCATGGGTTTGTAATCAGTGGGCAGCGCTTATGGATCTGATATCGGCCTTACAACTGGAAATTGCTTTTGTTAACCATTTTATATAGTGTCATATATCTATTTATCACGTTCTTTTTTCAGACATTTTCCCAGGTAACAATTCCAGCAGCATCTTGGATAACACCAATACTTATAGCAATCTCTGTAATGGGAAGTATTAATGGAAACTCTCTCTCAATGTCTAGGTTAGAAAATGTTTTTTTGCTTTTGAACCAGACTTTTGGCTATATACAGTTGCACTCTGTAGAGTGAAAAAAACCCACTAATTTCCGCATCTTCAACGCGTGTGTTGTAAGCGATTATTAGGTTCCTGGTAAAATTACTATCACGCGCAAAGAACTATGACGTCATTTGGACATTTTCTATGTATGGCCAGGTGATTTAATTCTAAAAATGCAAATTTCTAACAGATATTTAAGAAAATGCCTATTGCAAAATTTTGCAACTTTTGTAGAAATATATATGGTATCACGAGCAGTGTGGGTTTCATATCTTTTACAATCAGATCTAGTTCTACCTTAAGTTATACTGACGGAACAAATGTGCATTTCATGTATTATAAAACTTTAATCTGTTGGCAAGTAATTCAAGCTTGTATTCAAAACAATTATATAAATGATAGAAAAATATTTTTTTTTTAAAAATCAGCAACTGTTGTCGAGATAAGTTTTACTTTAAACACCCTTACACTTCTTATAATTAAATTGAACGTTTTTAGAAAATAAGAATTTAATAACCTAATTATTTTATTCGTATATTTTAGATTATTTATGACGGGAGCAGAGTACAAACATCTTCCACATTTTATATCTATGATCAACATCAAATATCTCACACCAGCCCCATCACTACTAGTCATTGTAAGTACACTGTGATGTATTCTTAATAAATTTAGTACCATAGTAATTTGCTCGAGTCAGATATCCAGCGACCGTTTCAACGGTTTAAGACAAAAGATATGTCACCCGCGTATTGACCTACCGCGAACTAGGTGAGAGCTTCTGTACAACCGCAAAAAAGATTAGAGCCTCTGTATTTATAACTTCAAACTAGCTGAAAGCTTCTCTACAACCGCAAACCAACTGATAGCTTCTGTAAAACTACAAAGTAGCTGATAGCTTCTGTACAATCGCAGACTAACTGATAGCTTCCGCACAGCTTAATAAACAAATATCCATTGTGAAATGTAAACTAACATAATCCACCTTAGTGCAGTAATGGGTTAACTCCTATTGTGTTTTAATAAGAGTTAACCCGTTACTGTACTTGAGTGACGATATGGTGATCATCTCCAGCGACCTAAAGGTTAAAGTTTCTTTAAACAAAAGAAACTGAAATAAAAATAAAATGTTATGTCTTAGTTTGTTTGGTACAAGACAGATCATTATATTGATGAAACATATTTTTGTTTTACAGATGGTATTGACAGTTATAATGCAGAGTTTTGAGGAGATATTTTATCTCATTGAGTTGATGGGGTTCGGATTTTCTGTGGTTCTTTGTTGTGTTTTTGCTGGGCAAATATATCTCAGGTATAAGGAACCAAATCTACACCGACCCATCAAGGTATTTGATATGTTTTGTTCATGCTTGTTTTTGTTTGGTTCTATTCTTTACTCTTTTCTTAATGTAGTTTAATATAGCTCCAAAAAGATATTGCTTTCTTAGGGTTAATTATGACATGAACATTTCTCGAGGATTTGCTATATTGCAATTAAAAGAAAATGTTATGAAAAAAGATAACCGCGAATAAAACAAATGGCAATACCTAAAGTTACTTTCCAATAATATTTCATTATACATTGTATATTATTTTGGTAATGGTGACCCGTATGAGACTCAAAATGGTGACCCGTACGACTCTCAAAATGGTGACCCGTATGACTATCAAAAAGGCTGACCTGTATGATTCTCAAAATGGTGACCGTATGACTCCCAAAAGATGACCTGTATGACTCTCAAAATGTTTACCTGTATTACTCAAAAATGATGACCAAAATTGTGACTCGATTGACTATCAAAATGGTGACCCGGATGACTGTTAAAATAGTGACCGTTATTACTTTCAAATTGATGAACCGTATTAAAGTGTGATCAAGTATGCTGAACAAAGTTCGCTATATATTACATATCTGTAATGTAATTGTTTCTATTTCATACAGCTACCACTTGGACTGCCAATTTTTCTATTGTTAGTCAGTATAGTTATACTGGTGTTGACAGTGTACCAGAAACCTAGCGAAAGTGGACTGGGGTTGTTGTTGATAGCGCTGGGAGCGCCATTATATTTTGTTTTCATTTTCTGGGGAAATAAACCTAAATCTATACAAAACTGGATATGTAAGTTTCATAGTTTTGTATTCAGTTTTTTTCATGGATTTTTAAATATGTAATCATATTTTGTTCCGTGTCTTTAAATTTTGTTAGAATATTATTAGTTTCACATATTTGTTTATAAATATTCGGTGAAAAAATGTTAGTTAGAAAGTTTTTAATAGTGACTTATTAATAACTCATATTTTGTACGACATTAAGAAATTTATGAAATGTGTTGCATATTGATTTCCCATACTTGTACTTTACTCAGTGTATTAATGTAAATTTACATAATTCATTATTAATGACGCAATCATCTCCCATATTTATATTAACCAAATTAATGTACATTTAAGAAAATTTATAATAAATGACTCTATTATCTTCATATTTCTTTCATATTTCTTTATATTCAGTTAAGCTGACAAATCTTATCCAGAAGATAATGTACGCATGCGCCAGTGACACTGACAAGACGGCTCTTTAACTTCCGCTAGTGATCAGCAGAAATCGTTACAACTACAACAACAACAACAGAAAAGCTTTAGGGAAATTAATTCGTGTATTTACGTACATTTTATTTATCTAAGCCTAGGACTCTACAACTGTGCATGCAGCAATCACAAAACGAATTATTTTGTTTATCAATGTATGAAAAAATATAAGTTGTAAAAATGTTGAAAAGATATTTGTGTTTATTTTAGTTTTGCAAATATTGAATACCTTTATCAGATAATATAAAACTAAATCAGCCGTGTCATGACAAAACCAACATAATGGGTTTGCGACCAGAATGGATCCAGACCAGCCTGCGCATCCGCGCAGTCTGATCAGGATCCATGCTATTCGCTTACCAACCCTGTTACAAGTAGAGAAACTGATAGCGAACAGCATGGATCCTGATCAGACTGCGCGGAGGCGCAGGCTGGTCTGGATCCATGCTGGTCGCAAACCCATTATGTTGGTTTTGTCATGACGCGGCTCAAATAGAATATAAGTCGGTGGAGGGATTTACTTGTAAATCTAGGAGTTGTTAGCTACGGCAACTCTAAACATCTACACTATAAAGAGTTTATTTCGTACATGTTTGTTATTTAGTTTTGTCTAAGATTTAATTTTATCACACAACTTTTTATTTGACAAAAATTATATAAAGAAATAAAAAAATGTGGCCCTAACTTGGAAATGCGTATGAATTTTCGACATTCCCTACAATATCTAGTTTAGGTTTGCTAGCACACTTACGGGTAGCAACATCTGAAACTTTTCAACAAGGAGTCCCTATAGGTTCAAATAGGACAAATACTCAGTATATTAACAAGTCTAATTCTTGTTATCGCAAGAAAGATGGCAATATATAGGCTCCAAAGAAAGGTACAGTGTCGAATTTTCAAATGTCATACAATGATTAATCATATTTAACTTGCCACTGCCATTTATAGATCTACGTGTAGATCTTGCACCAAATGGACAGTTAACACAGCATATACGTGTTCTTGATCTCTAAATATTGACAACCGTAATATATATACCCTTTATCAGTTAGGGTGAACCATCAAACTATTTATCTATAAATACCTAAACTGCAATTAAGACTGGGCGGCTATTCTTACAAATAACAGAAAGAAAAACTAAGACAATATGGCGTCGAAATAGGGATACAAGTGTAATTTGAATAAATCATATTCAAAATTCTGTGCAGAAGAATAACTAAATCTGATAAATTCCATAAATGTTCATTGTAACTGTCAAGTAGTCTCAAGAAAATCAAAATTTTCCCGTCGATAAATCATATCAAGAAAAATCAATTATGTTTCTATTTCAATCATTTTTGGGTCATCACTAGAGTCGTCTGCTTTCTTTAAGAATCCTGATTAGTAACATCCGATGACTTATCAGCTTCCTTATCATCAGACGGTACATTTTCCACAGAAATTTTCCTCCGAATTACCGGGTTGCAAGACTGCCTACATTTTGCCGAGTAATCATGCGTGTTGCAGAAGATGGTGTCGCAAAACATGTAGATGCCCTCGTGGTTGCTTGTGTACTCAAAATTGTCGAAGACAAATTTAGTCTCGTGTGAGGACTGTGAAATTATATGCGTGTTCGTGTCAACTTCACATCTAAAGATATTATATGAATATTACAATAAAGAACATAAAAGCCCATATGGCTCATTTTGGCGGCAAAGATAAATAAACTTTACATACACAAAAAATATAAAAAAACAAAACATTTGATGCTCAAACACAAATCTCATGCACATTTTCATATTTTCAACATGTAAAACAATTACGATAAACACGCCGTGGAATAATGATCACTTTTTCAATTGGTTGGGTCGTCAGACCATACAAATAATGGTTGTGAAATTTCAGACTCTGATATGCTAATTTGCAAAATCCGAAAGTAGTGCGAACTCCTCTAAGCGGTTACCTCCCTTTATAAGTACACTAACGCCGAAAAATTAAAGGGAGATAACTTCGTAAAGATTGTCAATTGACAGGCGCATTCATTTTCAAGCCTTCTCCGGGAAGAAAAAATAGTTTCTGAATGGTCGAAGAATATTGTGTAATTCTTTACAGATATCGATATACATGCTTATATTAAGCTCTATGATTATTCACATCAGTGTTAAACAACAGGTTTACCGTAAACATTAATAAGGGTTACAAGCTCTAATTTAGAATCACGTGGTTTTCTGCCTACAATATTACCCTTTTTAATACTACCAAGACATCTTGAAATTGTTATGAAATTGCCGTCTGCTTTATACACTGAAGCGGTGACCTACTTTTTAAGGCGTCTGCTTCCATTGTGTCAAGTACATATTAGTCACTTTGGACACAGAACAGGAAATATATGAACACAGAACAGGAAAGACAAAAGAGCAGGCAAGAAGGTAACCTTAATAGCAAAATCTTCATCTAGTTACGATAAGATAATAGTATAAAAATTTACCCGTTCTCGAGAAGGTAGTATTTTGTATGATCAGGCGCATTGTAGGTGGGTTTAGTGTAACAGGAAACGACTCTCATTCTAGCGTTCCAGTCGTATGTCTCTGTAAAGACCTTGACATAAACTTGTGCCCCTACAGCCACATGTAATGGACTTGCTGACACCTCTTTCATATAGTTTGGGTCTGCATAGTACGAAATGTTGACCGGGTACTGTGGGCTTGAGAGACTCGGAGAGGGCGAGCTTGTCCCGCTGGCAACATACCCTGAAGTCAAACCACCATAAATGAAAGAATTTCCATCATCTATTCACTTATCAAAATTTCATATGAATATAAATCGTCAACAGAGCAGAATTGGGGACAACTAAATCATAATCAACTATTTGTCTCTGAATATGGAAGGACAGAAAATGTGCTTTCAAAATGAGATTTTTTATTCTAATATAGAAATAGGAATGAAAATATAAAAACATACCATAACCATTTCCGTCACTAGTGACGTCACACTCTACGTTAACAGTCCAGTTGTAATGGCGTATGATGAACGTGTAAACAGGATCATGCTCTGCATATATCAATTCGTTGTTGTATGTATTTCGTCCATGTTGCAACTATATAATGAAATTTGGAAATGAAAAAGATATATTATTTCGCTTCTCTAAAATTGATAAGATTTTAATTGAGGCTCAAGCGGGTTATTTTCTTTCTAAATGTGTCAGTGAATACATAAAACATTTTCTTCATGTGTGTTGAAATATTAAATGAGGCCCAAAAGCCTTGAAACATAAAAAATTCTTGCATAGTTTAGCAATGGCAAAAAAACCCCAGAAAAATAGACAAAAGATGAAGACAAAAGATGAAGACAAATTATATATTAGAAATAAATTAAAAATGTCATTGTTGTTATATTTTTAGCGCAATTTGATTTAAACACTTTTAAAATTTTAGTCATTTTTCACAATTAGATTATTTTTGAAAAAAGACGGAGTAAGTGAATGATCTGAAATTTTGCACACATGTTATTGGTCAAGACCTAAATCAAATGGAACATTAATCTGGAAAATTCTTATAAGTCCTGTTATGTCAAACAACCTCAGTGGAGTCCCTTTAACAAGAGAACAACGTACCCTCCCGCTTGTGAGGCACTCGTCTAAACCCTGTTGAAATGTCAGGTGACCATTCTTCTCTATCCCAGTGCATTTATTTTCTCCAAGATAAATATCTGACCCTTTAGCGTTGGGAAATATCTGTCTTAGTTTATTCATGTCAACCAGTATGTTCCACGTGAATTCATTACAATCCACGTTTATGGCATTTTGAAAATATAGGCCTGCAATAGTTGGTAATGTTAATTGTCGTGAGATTTTGAATGATATATCTAACAATATATAATGAAATTAATAAAATTAAAACATAAATAAAAGAATGTATATAGGTATAGTTTGCGAGAGGATGAAATAAATAAATAAATAAATAAATAAATAAATAAATAAATAAATAAATAAAATAAATAAATAAATAAATAAATAAATAAATAAATAAATAAATAAATAATGATGATGATGATGATAATTATAATAATAAAAACAAACAAACACTATTAAACATGTTATTTTCATACTAAATATGGTCGTCAGTTTGATCAAAGACTTACTTTATTTTTATTTTTACGAGCACATTTATGACTATTCTTCAAATTAAGGTACATATGTATTTTTTCCTTACAGTATAGATCATTATTCTGAAGGTTATCGGTGGCATCTGTAGCTTTATACCTTTTATATTTAGAAACAAAACAAAAACAAATGTTATGACCCCCCAATAATAAACAACAACAACAACAGCAGCATCAGCAACAACAACACAACAACAAAAAGAAAGAACCAAAAGGATACCCCCCCCAAAAAAAAAAAAAAAAAAAAAATCACAAAAAAAGTTAAAAACCACCGCAAAACAAAACAGTGTCGTTCGTACCATATTAAAACAATCTTATTTGAACTAGCAAATTGTATTTCAGGTTTGTCAGAATAGATCTGTAAAATGATATGAAAAGTAATGTTTGACAAATAATAAATATTGACACAAAAAGTTCGGGTTATGAGGTGCTGAAACAAATATTTACTATATGTGGTGTAATGTGTCCACCAATGATATGAGGTGGTGAAACAAATATTTACTATATGTGGTGTAATGTGTCCACCAATGATATGAGGTAAAGCAAATATTTACTATATGTGGTGTAATGTGTCCACCAGTGATATGAGGTAGTTCTCATCACCCAGGGAAAGGTCGTTCCGTTCGCGTATTGTGGCATTGTCGTCATTTCATGTCCGTAATAATACGCTGAAAGTAGTAACATTTAGAGTGAAAGATATTGAAAATATTTCACTGAAAGAAAATAAAATAATTCGTTGTCAGTATATAATTATATTAGTTGGTAAATTATTATTGATACAATGTACTTGTCTTTTATCTTGATAGTTATTTAAAACCAATTTATTATCATAGCGTTTTTAAAGCACATGTTAAAATGTATGGTATCATAATCATTGGTTTGGGCCTCAAGATGAACCTAAATATTTCAAGAAAATCAAACTTGAGAAAAATGTGCTTATATTTCTAAAAAATAAAAAGATTTAAGTAATGATTTACATGTTCTGTGCGATTAATGATTGATTTTGCAGTATTTATCCCCATTTTTCTATTGCGTGACTAACACTCTTAGGGCTAATTTTGCATATTTTGACCTCTTTTTGGTAATTCACGTGGAAAGTAAGCCCCGTTTGCAAAAAGTAAATTCCTTTTTTTGTTTACTTCACAATACTTTACTTTTAAATATATTTTCAAAATTTTCATGAAAATTAGCATGAATCTGGAGGTATGCCGCTTTAAATACTAATTGAACCGTGTCATGACAAAACCAACATAGTGCGTTTGCGACAAGCATGGATTCAGACCAGCCTGCGCATCCGCGCAGTCTGATCAGGATCCATGCTTTTCGCTATCAGTTTCTGTACTTGTAATAGGGTTTGTAAGCGAACAACATTGATCCTGATCAGACTGCGCGGATCCATGCTGGATCCATGCTGGTCGCAAACGCTCTATGTTGATTTTGTCATGACACGGCTCAATTATTCTAGGTATAATCATGTTTTTTTATGACATTTACCCGAACAATTCAACCCCAGGTTTAGAGTTCAAGTCATGCTGGGGGATGAGTCAACTACAGGTCTAAATATAGACCGCCCCCATAGCTCAGGTATAAAATATTATTGGACCGCTCTCGACCATAGTATGCATTTGAATGTGCCACGCCATAGCTGATAATAGTATTAAAGAGTAGTTCTAAATTCACTCAACAAACAAGAAAAGAAGGCTTTTCGTCATATGAATCTTAAAATATGATAAACAAGATCAATAAGGAAAGGCGGCGTTCAATGAACGCAACCCCCATACGACCCAGCAACAAGAACCAGTGGCAGGGGGGCCCAGGCGGACCAGAAACAAAAACAGGGAATGACACAATAAATCATCATTCCAAAATATTTTCTGAATTATCTTCTTTAAACGGGAAACAGACTAGTTCATTGACACTCACCTAAAGAAACATTTTTAAAATCAAAATGTTCTTACTTTAATCAAAGAAAACCGCATAATACAAACAAAAAAAAAACATTAAATAAAATCTGCTTTGAATCATAGCTTAAGAAACGACCAATAGAAAAAGAAATCTGCCAATACCAACAATAATCTGTCATATCAATATAAAACCAAACAAACATATCCAATTTTACTCATTCCCATTTGATTATTTTTAGTTATTCTTATAGAAATAGATCTATAAATATCTTACTTATCCCCGTAATATCTTCCCAACATTCTACAGATGACCTTGACATCGTTGTGATCGAAGTTATCGTCACATACAGTACCCCATTGTCCATTACTATATACCTCAACTCTTCCATAGTTGCCATTTCCACCAACAAGTCTCACGCTTGTCACTAATATAGTTATAAATGTAAGATTGTTATCAAATTACAATCGTAACAACTCGGCAATCTCCGTCAAGTTCGGAGATCGACCGAGGTGTTCCGATTAATCAAATTACAGTAAAAGGTTGGTTAATAAAACGATAACGAAAACATATTTTAAACTTTATACTTATAATAACACGTTTACCATAATTCTATTTTGTTTTTCGGCCGAAGGACGTCTAAAATCAGTTTGACTTCCTGTAAAATTTACAGCAGAAGAACTGAATATAAGTAGAATTTCCATTGGTCATTTTAAAAATTACAAACTGTAATCTGGGAATCTCATTCTAAAACAAGTAAAATAATATTATAAAGGATTTCTGACATGGTTCACGTACCTAGTTTTTATTCAACCTAAAGGTTGTATCAGATGTCACCGATTGAAACGAACTTTCCTCTTAAGTTTCTCAGACTTTCAAGATTTTCACTTTCTAGTTAAATTTTTTCAGATATTTAACTTTGAATTAAAGATTTCTTCATGAATGCAAAAACAAAAAAAAGTTTTTGTTTGCAAGTAATAGTAGATCTGCCGAGTATTTTTTTTAAAGATATTTCTTGTTGATATTGAATTTCACATACCGGTGCTAGGGGTGTTAGGTTGAAATAACATAAATTGTGCTGTCCATGAATATGACATAGTTACATCGCATCTCATAACCACAACAAATACCAATGATAACCAAACTAATAAGGGAGCTATAAGTCATTTCAGGTGAAAATTTCATAATACCTGGAGCGTCAGAACTTTGATGTATCCACCATGGATAAGTTGTCGTCTGCTCATAGTTGTATGCTTAAATCAAGAACATAATATAAATGTGAATCATTTTAAGGCAGTTCTGGGCAGATCAGGTTAGCAGAAACGGGTTAGAAATGCAGCAAGTACATACAGTTAAATAATTTGTGTTGATTCTAAACTGAATGACTAAAACATTTCATAATATAAAGTTGTTATACAAGTTGGGTAATACATTTTTGTTGAAAAGAAACTGTACTAGAGTCACAGATGTCAGTATTAGATGGAAGATAGAAGTCTGAGCTCAATATTAAAAGGTACATTATTCCTCAGAAACAAATAAATCTTTCCTTTATCACAAAGGGCGAACGTGAGTTTTATAATGTTTTTTGTTTTTTTAAATAATGGTTTTACAGCCTGTTAAATGTTTCTCACTTGAGGAAAGTAAAGTTGAATGTGGAATTATTTGTCATAAAAGTAGTAAAATGTAAACAAAAAGTACATGTGTGTTTGACTTCCATACAAAATACTAAATCATTTTAACCGTACTCATTGCAAAAAGCCACAAAATCAATTGATGGTTAAGATAATTGGCAAATGAATCATTTTTTGGGACAATTCATGGACACAAAAAATAAAAATCTTATGTTGAAATAAAGAAACAAAAACAAAATAGTTTCTGGCGTAAAAAAGGCCTTACTTACCATAACAATCAACGCCGACATCTTCTGAGTGACTACAGTCAGACTGATACCAACCATTTGAAGAGCACGAGCCAATATTGTACTCATACCCGTTACATTGCAGGTTATCCAACATTATTGGCCCAACGCCTGTTCCGTAATAGCTATTGCCACGTACGACCCCATACCTAAGACAATGTTCGTTGTTGTTGTTTTTTAGTAATGTATCATTATTATTTCGTTATGGACTTACGTATTGACAAAATATATACATGTATCATAACAGGAAAAGGAAACTTTCTGTCAAACTGATTTGACCTAAACAATGATTACTTTATATTTTTATATAGACATTACTCATTAAAAATTCCTCCCCAAAGAGTTCTAAAATTACAAATAAACGAGATAAAATAAATGAGTCGCGCCATGACAAAACCAACATAGTGCGTTTTGGTCACCTACCCGCTGCCTCGGTAAAGATTAAGCATTTTGCAGACGACCATGACTTCACGGTGGTCGAATAGGTCATCACAAACTGTTCCCCACTGACCATTATGAAACACTTCTACACGACCAGAATGGTAATTTGGCCCATTCACAAGGCGGATTCCTTGGCCTGAGATGATAATAAAGAAAATGCTCTAGATTACATCTGAAAAAAAAAGCAAATTGCTTTGCGTGGAGATATCACGTGACAGAAAGTAATTTACTGTTTCACGACATTCACAGTGCGTCTCATTTTGATAACGACGATACTTTATGCGAAATTTGTACGTAAAAAACATAAACTTAAATTACAGGTATGACATCATTCCTTTGTTCTGACCGTACTGTAAATTTAATTTTAGTACAGTAGATATCCAATATTAATCGTGTAACACAGTAAATTCAATATTTTACATATTGGACATTTTTACTGATATCTGTATTAAAGTTACCCCCTCTCCCCTTTTATGTAAATTTTTTATTTTTTAAAAAGTAGAATAACTGTCTAAAAATAATGCAAATTTTTTTCACCCCCTCTTGACCAAGGCTTAGATCATTCTTACAGTTTGACCATACTATATTGTTGGTTGTTCAATTTTCATTCTTTGATTTAAAGTTTCTGTAGTTCCAAATACAAAATAGACTAGTGAAATTCAAAAACAATTGCTGGCTGCAGGCAAAGTAAACTTATGGAATCATAGGTGTTACATGCGGAGGGAGTGTTCTTATATTCTGGTGGCCGCGAAATAAAAAAATAAACGGACAAACAGCCAACAAAAGTCAAATCAGTGACCACAAGATGATAAAAATGGTAAATCGTGGCCAAGATTAACTGAAGTAAGTAGTTCTGCATGTTCATCCTCTCGAAAACACCCAGAAAAATCAGTCTCGCTTTACTAGCGGAAGCCTGTGCGGTGGACACGGGTGGTACCTAGACCACGTGACATTTTTATGATCTGCAAAAGCCAATACAAAAGGGATGGTCCAGGGTATATTTTTTTGCCCAAACATCTTTAATGTTTCATTTTGATGTTTTGAGATGCATTGAGAATGTAGAGCCCGCTCATATTGAGAAACCATATAAAATATTTCCTGATTTTTTTTTATTTTCTTTTGTGAAACCCCGTTGAATATCTGATTGTTATACATGGGATCCTTCCGTAAAAATACGGTAAAACATTCCATGTATGTGTTAAGCAAGAATGATAATTTTATATTCGTTATTAATCAAAAAATGATATATTTGAAAAGTTGAGGGAATAAATAATTCTGGTTCCCGTGCTATTTGTACTCCATGCAGATAATAGGCACGGTATACACCGCTAAGCTTCCGTGTAAAAAGAGACTTATGTGTTCTGGTAAACTTTGTTTTATATCTATAAAACTGCATTACCATGACTA